TCAAAGGCCTCAATGAGGGTATCTAATACCTTCAGCATTTCAGAGGTTGACACCCTTACCCTTTGCATCCTCCGGAGGTCAGCATCTGCTTTCTGCAGCTTGTCGCATGTTTCAGCCCATGCCATCCTGAATAGTCTGTCAGCCTCAAGAATTTGGACTACTGTAGGGGCAGGAAGATTTCCATGATGCTGTTGATAATCTCCCAGGCGATCTACAATTGATTGAACTTGCAGGATATTAGCAGAGATAAATAATCAACTGTTGCATACTTACTTTCAGCTTGATCATAAGATCTGATTGGCATGAACTCCTGAACCATGGCACGCAGCGCTTCATTGTTGAGTTCCGGCTCGGGCAATTGACGGTTGGGAGCTTCTGACATAGCTTAGGAGATAGCATCAGTAAAACACATAAAATGATATGAATATACGTACAAGGTATGGGTGTCCCTGGTACACCCGGAGTGGCCGGATGAGGCTCCGGAGTTGATTCATTCACTGGGGAAATCCCATAAAAGGTGGCCATGGGATGGACAGAGTAATCTCACCAGCCATAGGAAAATCGGGTACAACTGGAGCATCATCAGACGAAATCAAGGTATCCTCTGGACCAAGATACAAGTCCGGGTCATCGTACAGAGCCAGTCCATCCGCCAGAGCCGGAGATGATGGATCTGGAAGTATGTGATGAATTTGCACATGTAAAATATGTATATTTGAATTGGAAAACATACCGGGAATCACATTCAACACATCCAAACCACCAGACGACCCAGAATCAGAGTCTAACTCATCATCCGGCCCAAGGTATATATCATCTAATGGATCTGAACCATGTCAGATCAATTGACTGAAATCAGAAAAAACAAAACATACCAAGGGACATCCGGGACTGGGAGGACTCATCCACATCCATTGAAGTAAATTCAGTGACCGGAGGGTCATGAAATCTGACCCCAGGTTGAGAGCTCATGATATCTGATGAGCTGATGCACTGATGAACTGATTGATAACTGATAACGTCGAAGTTCAACACATGGCCGGCGATTGCCGAAAGTTGAACGATGACCAAACAAACACAAACAATCAACGAATTTTCAACATTGTCCTTCAATTGTATTGTTTGTTTGAAACTTCATTCTATTGATAACAGATTTCACCCTGCTTTCAACATTCTCACATCTGTCAACTCCATCTAAATGTCTACTCAAGTTCAATCTTCATTGGCCAACCTCAAGGCATCCACTGCTCAACTTGTGGGCATCATTGCCGGTGCCCGGCACATCCCGGCCGGCTCAGTGGACGTCCACCTTGTTCTAACAAAGCAGGTCACCACTCTTTTGGTATGTTGAACTTATTAAATTAGTGTAACATTAATGTTTGTAATGTCCGGGTAGGCTGACATCATCCGGGCCCATGAGAAAGGGGAGTACATCCCTGGAATTGTGGTGTCCTGCTCTAAGGAGCTGATGAGGGTGCGTTCCATGACTCCCTGGGCATTGCCCAACTGGCACAGCATTGGCCACGATGACCCCCGGGTGGCTAGACACGCCTGGCGCAAGCAAGTCCGTGCCTGGGAGGCGTTGGGTGACAATTCCTGTGATCTCCCTGTTGTCCCTAACATTTCCACTGGCCCACTCACTCTCAACCTTCCGTCTCCACCTGTCCCTTCCCCCACCCCCGTCATTGCCTCACCTCCGATCGTCGCTGGACCTTCCGGCAAGACAACCCCCGAGGTCTGGGACAAAGGAAAAGGTAAGGCCACCTCCGTTGACCTGTCGCCGGAAGTTGGGGGGAGCAACAAGAGGAAGTCTCCAATGATTTCTGGACACTCCTCCCAACCTCCAAAGTCGGCGCTGAAGGCTCGCAAGCGTGTCAAGTCAACTCAAATCCCCAAGTCGAAGCTGTTTGTGGAGTCGGAAGATGATTAAGACTCAATTGTTCAGGTATGTGTTCTGGCTGATTTGTGACATGCTCTCAATTTGTTGCAGCCGATTTCGCGTGGAGTGCCAGAGGTCGTCCTTCCCCAGCGCACCATTGTGGTAAGGAAGCCCCAGTCGCCTCGGTCACCCAGTTCCCCCAAGAAGCAATCATTTGGGCCTGCTTCGGTAAGTTTGCATTTTTCGTTTGGACCTTAAATATATGCTCATGTGTCCACAGCTGACTGCCGGCAGTCGTCCGGAGGTTACGGTGAGTCGTTTGGACTTGTCTGGACCTCCCATGTATAGTTCCCACTCATTCCCATTACATTAGAAATCTCCCATCAGTTGTCCGGAGGCTCTGGTAAGTCTTAGAAGTTGTCCAGCAACTCATATGTGTATTAACCATCGGTCAGGCAACCTCCGGCAGTCGTCCGGAAGTTGAGGAGGAGTCCTCTGATGATACTTCTGGTGCTTCGGATGGTGACCCGCCGGCCACTACCACATTTGATATCACCATTCCCGGCCCAGTGAGTACTCAAATAAATTCCCCTTCGTCCATCTACTAACGGATACCACAGAACAACCCCTGCCATTATTGTGTCAAGGAAAATTGGCCCTGTGCGACTCGATTGGACAAGAGATCCAGCCTCCCCTGCTTGTCTTGCATCCACTGCTCCACCAAGAAGATCAAATGCAACCCTGCATCTCTCGGATCGCCGCCAAAACGGACCCGAGGGAAGTCTACCACCGGCTGGACACATTCCAAGACACCTGCCCCTGCTCCATCCAATGCTCCGTCTCCCTCCCAGTCAAGGGCCCGAACTCATAGTCAATCTCGTGGCCCTTCCCGAACTCTGGCCATCCCTGCTGCAACTACACCCCAGGTGCAGTCACGTGGTCGCAGCAAGACCATCACTACCAAGAAGACGCCTGCACCTGCATCTGCAGCTGCACCTGCATCTGCACCTGCACCTGCACCTGTCCCTGCACCTGTCCCTGCACCTGCGCCAGCTGGTAAGTCACCCATACTGTTGATGACCGGCTGACCTAATTTTTTACTTAGCAGTCAGGTCTTCCAGCGTCGCAGTGCCTCGTGCAGCACTCCATGTTCCCATGCTGGATCTCCATTCCATGGCAATCGCGATTCGGGATGGTGCAGCTCGCATCGCTATTCTTGAGGCTCGGGTGCAGGAGCAGGACGCTAAGATTGATACCCTGCAACGCCTCCATGAGAGCCTCCGGCGCACAGTGGTCAACCGGCACCCTTCATTTTTACTTCCGGACACACTGGCCGATGGATCAATGTTGCTTGATCAAGGAGGTCCCCCCCGTCCATGTCACCCCTCCCCTCTGCACTTTCCAACCTCATTGATTTGGACTTTTCTGGCATGGAACCTACACCCTTTACGCCTGAGCATGGATCTGCTATGGTAGGTCCCATGGTTGAGCCCACCCAAGTTCAGCCTGAGGGTCCACAATCCTCTGGAGAAATTGTTCTCCCTGATGAACCAGGCAATCTTGTGCCAGAATTCCCCGGAGATATTGTGGTCCCTAATGAACCAGGTAACCTCTTGCCAGAATATGATTCTTCTGATGATGAGATGGATGTTGAGGGAAAGGTTGATCTTCCTGGTGAGGAGGTTGACATAGCTACATAATTGCTCAGTGATAGATGTACATAAATGTTTTTCCATGCATGTTACCTATGCCACAATTGAATCATTCAATGATCACTCCCAATATCCAGAACTCGAAACTGCAGATTGAGATAGATATCACCCAAAACTCAAACACCCGAATGTCAAATTATCAGTGCCGAACCCCGAGTCCCGGGTGCCGGGTACCGAGTCCTGACACCCGGAACTCAGGATTTGACATTTGAGATGAACGACATCTTCCAGACATGTTTAAATCAACCTATGTATATCTGTAAACATTTTACTAACCCCCAAACCCCAAACTGAGATGTACCAACCCCCGAAACCCGAAACCCAAGACTGCTGGGTCTCGGGTCTCGGGTGTCCGGAACTCAGCACTCGGGGAAATTTGGGGAGATCAATACAATTTAATTTACAATTGAGTTGACAACACATTGACTTACCCATGTTTGCAATATATTTTTGTTTAGACATACCGAGTTCCGAGTTCTGGACACCCAAAACCCGAGACTGCCGGGTTTCGGGTTTTGGGTGTCCAGAACTCGGAACTCGGTATGTCTAAACAAAAATATATTGCAAACATGGGTAAGTCAATGTGTTGTCAACTCAATTGTAAATTAAATTGTATTGATCTCCCCAAATTTCCCCGAGTGCTGAGTTCCGGACACCCGAGACCCGAGACCCAGCAGTCTTGGGTTTCGGGTTTCGGGGGTTGGTACATCTCAGTTTGGGGTTTGGGGGTTAGTAAAATGTTTACAGATATACATAGGTTGATTTAAACATGTCTTAACCCACCCGTCTATATAATACATCCTATGTCGGCCCACCCATCTATATAATTATACCCCACCTCGGCCCACCTGTCTATGTAATAAATATTTTATCGCACCCTCGGCCCACCTGTCTATTTGATATCCCTTTCGTCGGCCCACCCGTATATGTAATACATTCCACGTTGGCCCACCTTTATATGTAATACACCCTACGTCAGCCCACCCTTCTATGTAATATTCCCCTACCTCGGCCCACCCATATATGTAATACACCCACATCGGCCCACCCGTCTATATAACAATATTTGCCTTACATCTCTCTTCAGCCCAGCTGTCTATAATATCCTACTCTACATATCACCCAGATGGGCCCACCCATCTCCATGAATGATCATATTCCCCCGGCCCATCCGTCAACATTAAGCATATATATCATTGGCATACATGGGCCCACCCGTCTCTATCGGAAATAATATGTGTCCTGGCCCATCCGTCATCATCGAGAATATACACAACATGGGCCCATGCTCAGCTGGCCCGTCTCATACGGGATATTATGGAGGTCGGGTGGCCCGTATAATACGGAATTTGTCACTGAAGGGGCTCTTGAGCCATCACACCAATGGACTCACACGAGCCTTAACATTCTATGACATCAACTGCCAATATAACAAGCATTTCCGGTGTAGGGTAAATGAAAGTCCATACATGAGTATCCCTGCCGGTATGGAGATCGTACCGGGAATAGGACTGTGGCATGTCCATGGCCATCAGGACAAGTGCTATGTGAGGTATGCATTAACCTTTATTACAGGAGCAGCCAGAATAGATGGGGAGATTATGGAGACATTATGGGCACCATTAAATATTATATCTCCTTCTGCGAGAGGAATGTCAACCCTGCACCGACAAGAATGTCTCGACTACCAAATGAACGACTCTAATTTCATGAAAATGATAAGAATGACTTAGGACTCCCATTCTTTGCTCAATGATTGATGCTCATGATCTCCAGGTGGTTTTCTATGTCGGAAATATCGAGAGGCTGTCAAGGGAGTTTCCGAAAGCATGGCAGCATTTCAAAAGCTTCATGATGCTGCTGATCCGGCCATAGTTGAAAAATGGGAAGAGCAGGATCGACAAGCACAAATACAGAGACTGGCAGATCCTTCGGCAATGGATGTTTTTGACGTGCAGCTACAAAAGGGTGTGTCACGCCGACTGTGCTTCCGAACTAAATGACCAATCGGATGTGAATAGCACCGACGCGGAAACAACAAGAGCTGGCCTTGCTGGCTCGTGTTGGCCGTGGAGGTGGGAACGCGCAACGGGGTGCCGCCACATGGATCGCATCCGGGATCACAATCGAAGAGCTGCAGATATCTTTGTCGATGGACATCAGGAGGTTGGGAAAACATCCCACCGAAACGCAGCACTTGGAGATAGGGAGACGCCGGACAAAGTTGCAAAGCCGGATTGATGAATTTACGATTGCTGCAGTCAATCATCTCGGAGAGGACTTCGATCTGGATGACGACATCAGAGATATGGAGGTTGAATTCATTGATGATTCAGAGCAAGAAGTGGACGCTGTTACCGACAGTGAACATGATTCCCATGAAGATCCGCGATGCATGGTCTTCCGCCCCGAGAATGTCATGATACCTCTTCCATCCAACATCGGCATCCATAGATGCACGGAGTTAGGCGTAGGCCACCTAGTTGGTCAGGAAATTGCACTTCGGGAAGGGCAGGCTAACGACACCCTGCAAGCAATCAGAGTACTCCTAGCCGACAAGGCTGTGCTCTTCCGCACCACCGTCCGTCCGGCAAAATCTCAGGCCAAGGTCACCAGAGCATGGACGCAGGTTCATTCGGTGGAAAGGGTCATCAGACTGCAAACTATGATTTATTCAAAATGCCGGGCGCAACTTAGCAATCTACAAGCTCATGCTCTATTGGAAAAATATCTTCGGATGGAGAAGAGTCATTTGAAGGCAAGCGCTGCAGTCGCCGATCCGAACGCCCGGGGACAGAGAAACTCCACCCTTCCGTGGTTCTGGTCTCTTGATGTACAAGGTGATTCCATTAGCAACGATTGGATGAACGAATGTGAGTGACTGTCTAAAGATCATCATGACCGAACAATAACCGAACATAGTCTATAGGGTCCATTGGCTTCGGGCAAAGGCTTTGCGCGACCGATGGTCGGAAGAACAATTGCTCATCGAATATGAAATGTGTTGGACCTTACAGTTTTTCCTCCACAAGGCAGGTATGTGGCTGTCACGTATCACTCGCAACGGCGATCCACTGCCAGAAGGCCACAAATGTTACGCAATTCGGCAGGCCCACATGTACCACCAATTGGCCAAACATGCACGTACAAGCTTTCTCAAAGCAAATCCGATGTTCAAGGTCATTGTTTAATTGCCGAGAGTGTGGTTTATCTTGTGAATCAGAGTAACGGTTATAAATAGCTACATTATGTTTTTTGTTGCATTCATAGACATCCCGGAATATGAGCCACATTATCGGATTTGTGGTTTCAAGCTCCGACAACACATATAAACAATGTGTCCAGGACCGGTTTCATCGCAGTTCTCCTATTACCACTCACCATGACTGACCAAACTCGCTCACTCTACGAGTCTGTCGCCGGCTCATTCTCAGTCTGGGATGCAGCCCATATATTTGAATACGCCACCTCCAGATTCACCGCTATTCATCTCGCGCAGCTGGCGGAGCCAAACCCAACAGGTTCCTATCAGTACTCGTTTGTTCAACACCTCATCTGGGAGGCAGAGGTAATTCCATGTCAAATCATGAAACCACTCTACTGATACGGACTTACAGCGTTTCGTGATACCTTTCGTCAGCAAGTGCGCGGCGATGAACATCAATAGCAGCATGCCGGTCTATCTCAGCAATGTCCTGCTCCACATAACAGATTTTCAAACGGAAGACCGAAACCATCGAACACTCTTTGCGAGATTCCGGGACTGTCCGCACAACAAGGATGGTGATGCGGTGGCTCAATATCGGGTTGTTCCGCGCTACCGCTACTGCTGGTGGGGAACCACATTTCATTTCACGCCTATGCAGATGCCTCTCCGGCTCTCAGTAGCTGAGGTGAACGAGCTCACAGCCGATCACTTCAAACAGCGGGTAAGTGATGTTCAGTCTTGTCCAAATTGTAATTGCATTGACACACCATTAGCCAGCCTTAGGTTTGCTCCTACCGGAACCGATTACTCATCCGCGACTGGATGATCCGCTCATTCAACAACTTCATGTTCTACGGACTGAAGTCGCCCGGCTAGGTCTAGACCTCGGACAAATGCTGGTTGCGAAACTCGAAGCCACGGGAGCGGCGGTCGATGCAATGAACCGTCTTGAACAGCCTCTCGACGAGGTTTATGACGCCATGGCTGCCTCTCAAGCGGCAGTGGACGTGTTGGCGGAAGATTATAACAATGGCCGGATCGGAACATCTACCCGCGGAGATCCATTTCCTGAATTGCATCCCTTTGTGCGCAAATGAATGCAGCCGCAATGTCCAATAGTTACGGAAGTAAATCGACATATTTAGCAGACGAGTCTGGTATATGTACATATTACATGAGTTATGTCCGGTAGATACCTGTGTTGTACAATTTGATGACAAATGGTGTTGCCGGACACTAGAGCGTTCTGATATTACGTGTATATCATTGCTGCCGCTAGGTTTGTTACATCATAAGCTAGGAGGCTGCTCGGCAAATATTCACTTAAGACGCAACCCTTGCTGACACACCATACCCTTTGTCTACATCATGATATCCCATGAGTATTGGGCGGCCTACCATGAGAAACTGGCTGCCCTTGATCTCGACACTCACCCAACATCATTCATTCCGCAGGATTGGGCTCTCAATGCTGTCGACATAGCTAGCGAATGGGTTGAGCAACAGTTCGCGGCTCATGTTGCTGGCAGACCCCTTGTTCCTGCTCCTCCGGAACTTGATCCGGAAACAATGCTGGCATGCGGACAACTTGCGTTTGTGCTTGCAGAGGCGTATCAGCATCCCAGTGAGTTCAGCGCTATATCGTTATATAATTATCCTGACATGTGAAGTCAAACTGGATATCGATATCATCCGGTACAATGAGGCATTGACCAAACGAGAGTCGGGACTGAATGATGCTCGTGAAGAAGCTTTGTTGGCAAAGTTCCCTCCCGCCGAGCGCATTCTGTTGGATCGCCCATCGGTTGTAATCGACGCTGGTTGCAGAATTATACTTTGGTATCTGCCGGGTGCACTGAACTGGTCCCTGCAGGTGAGCTTAGGCACGCAGAGATGTCCGATCACACTGACCGACAACAAAAAGCGTGATATGTTTACTGCCACAGTCGGTATGGGCAAGCTGTTACAACAAAGCATGACCACCAGCAAGACATCGACCGGAAAGACGACGAAATGGAGGACAAACACTTCGTACTTTCACCCATCAAAAGAACCCGGTCTGATACCCGGGTGTATCAATCTTTCGCCTTGCTGGTTTCAACAGGGGCACGAGGTGAGACCAAGCTTGCCCAAATCATTGAGTACTGAACACAGGCAGTGTCAAGGCCGGCCGCCGCAGAATCCGTTGGATGGGTTTATTCCGGAAGTCTCTGCCGCCTTGAAGGGCGATAGCGGCCTGTCATCGATTATAGATATGCAGCGTCCGGCTCTCTTGTCATCGGCTGCCCTTCGGGTCATGCACCCACAACTTTACCTGGGCATCAATGTCCACTCACGTAGCGCTCGGGCATTGGGCCGCAGCGCATGGTGAAGATCAGATGTACCGATGTCTCCAGCATTGGGCATCAGCATATTCCGGCACCTCAATTGTTTGTAACAGGCAATCACCCGGTCATTGTGATCCCAAATGTCCTCCAGAAGGATTTGACATTCTTACTTGCATAGGAAGCTATAAACATGTGGTGATGAATTTAACAAACTTAGGCATCGATTTGTTATACAATCCGGGAGTCATGGTAAGTTATTCTGGCCGGCTTGTGAGGCACAGGTGTCCGGGTGGGAGATGGTGACAGAATTGTGTGGGCATGGTTTATGCAGGACAGTGTGCACAACTATGCCGGAACCCCACGTACAGAGTTCGCAAAATACAGCCTGGCCGACTTTGCCACATACCACCTTGCTAGATATAATCAGGCTGATTTTGTTCGATACCGATCATTATCATGTCGGTAGTTCTTACATTACTTTCTTAGCCTTGGTTGGTTATCGATTCTTTAGTTACTACATTGTTGCTGGGGCATGATCCATAGGCTGATGTTTGAGCAGCTATCTGATGTAGATACTGCACGACTCACAATCATTGATCTGAGAGCTTAGTTCAATGGAACACGTTCATCCGACATGACAATTGGCCACAGCCGGTCAATTGCGTTTATATAGGGGAATATATGCAATGGTTGGCATCGGCCCAGCAATGAACATTACCCGGATACGTTGTCGGTGCGCTTATACAAGTTCTTCATTGGCCAGGTCACTCTCGGCAGTCGATATAATTACAATTACAATCTCTACTTGTACCGTCACCCGGCATGGGATGCCTATTTATGTAGCCCAGCCATCCCTTTCACAAATTGCAATCATGTTGTCCAGTTGTTCCATGATCCAACACTGGACATTAAGGAAATGGTGAATGGTTGCAACATCTTCACTTAGTTCTGTCACTTTGATCACTGTGTCCGTGTATGTCCCCAGAACATTTCGGTTTGCTGTCTGCGTCACTGCTGGCATCTGGTCATGGTCAATTTTGTCGGTTGGCAGTATGTTGTTCAGGTAAGAATTTGCTGCCCATTGTGTTAATCGTGAGCAATGCCACATAAAGGTACTCACCATCCTCATGCCAAATACTGCATAGGCTTCTGATGGCATGTCGCATAGAATGTTCCACATGTTGGAAGACATTGTGTTCATTTCCTGCATGCCTGCCGGGCATACCTGCACTGCTTCAAAAGTCATCATGCAGACGTGTGGAGTACGACTTACCTACTGCATCCCATCTGCAATCATACAGATCCTCGGCCACCAATGGGTTTACATCCCCACAGTGCTGTTCTGCCATCACCGCTTGGGATGGCTTGTCAGTATCCATTGGATCACCCCATCTGCAGTCATATTGATCCTCCGCAGAGTCATCGGTGGATATGGTGTGATGATCTTTTGGATCATCTCAGCCACAGTCATAGGCATCAGCGGGTGACTCACTGGATTCCATGATAAATTGATGATCCATCCGGTCATCCCATCCACAATCATACAGATCGTCCCATCCACAATCGTAGGCATTGGCCATCGATTCACTTGAACCGGCGATGCCTACATCATGGCTAGGATGGCCCCATTGGCTGGCATATGGATCCTTCAGTGACCCCTCCGAACTAGGATTATCCCATGCACAGTCCTGCGGATCCCTGTCGTTTCTTCCGGTGTTGTCAGCAGTGAATCCCGGTGGTGAGACCCTGTGTACTGTAATGTCAGAGGTCCGCATGCTTTCCAGAAGATACATATCTTTAGACGGTTAGAAAGCAAAGTCGATCGAAATAAATGGGAGGCTCACTGTTACAAGTAACATCGGCTACATGGCCCCCCTATCATTTTTCCCCTTCATCCTCGCCCTCGTATGCCTCCGGCTCATACTTCTCTACCGACTATCCATTGACCGGATCCTTGGGACTGTTCCCGTCCCTCGTCCCCCTCCTGTCGCACCAACGTGCGCACGTGCCCTCGGGCTATGACTCGTTCTGACTCGTGCCACCAATGTGGCTTCCCTTATCTTGTCTTATCATTCCTCTGACTCATGCGCGCTGCGCATTGTATCATTTACCGTTGGCTCGTTCCAACATTTCTGAGTCTCATTCCGCATTCAACCTCACACCACTAATCAGGCTCTGCTGCCAGCGTACCTATACCCTTTCTGTTTCCCCTTTGCCCTTACCTACAGTACGGTAGCCTTGCCCTGAACCCTTTCCACTTAGTATAAGTAGTCGGTCACCCTGTACTAGATTCCCTAACTTGAATCTACTCAATCTTCCCTCGAACATACTTCCCTCTGAAGCCCCCTCAGCTTCAGTCTCTAGTATCTTTTCTTAGGTGCTCATCGCGCCTAAGTCTACCTCGATCGACTACTCATCGTACGGACAAGACTGTCCTTACTTTGAGAACGTCAGTGACCTTGAAGACATCCGTCTTAGAAGTCACGTGACACGCGCGTCTCTGATATCTGCCGACTCATCGTCACCAGTCTCAGTCGCTACACCGGACCCTTCCGGTTATGTCATGAACATTAGTGGACGAAGCCCCTCTTAGGGTTCCGCCTAACAGATCTATTTGAGTGCGTAACACTCACCGGACAGCATGCTTCTGATTTCGTCCCAGTGGCCATTGAAGCACAGCTCGTATGCTAAGTCACAACATCTGGTGAGTGAAATTCAAAACTATGGACACAATCAGCTTACCTTGATCTCTTTTTGCGATGGGGTCATCTGTGTTTTCATAGCCGGCTGGAAATTCATTCTCCAAGTTATATTCTGTTGTTGCAAGTTTGTTAGTATACCGGCTCAAGATGGGGCATGCTTACTTTTAAAATGTGGATAGTCCGCCAATCCGACTACTCCTTTGAACTTTGATTTTCTCAGCTTAGGAGGAGTCCATGACTCTAATGGTAGATATGCACCCCACCAGGCGATGGGATCTTTGTCCAGAGGAAGGTGTAGCGCTGCTGGACTGTCTCTGTCGACATTGCTGCCATATATGGAGAACATGGAGGGGGTATTGCCAATGTATGGCTGTTCGGGAATAACAAACTGAACTTTTCTTGGTATCATCATGGCTGGTTTGAAAAAAGATTCGAGGAGGATAAACAAACAATCCGACGAGTGGTACCATGTTGTAACTGTGGACCTTTGAACAATGGTGGACGCTGTCATGATCTTATGTCATCATATCCATCTTCTTCACATTGCACAACACTCGGAAAGAGCCACAAACCGACGTCTGGATATCAATCCCGACCTGTGTGCAAATTTTTCAAAGTCACCTTTCTGTCCTTTCCATATACTATCTCACCCGTTACCCTGCAACAAAGTTTTAACATCGCCATGACACCTGCGGACACAGCTAACGAGGCTTTGAATGAAACACTGGTGGCTGTGCAATTGTTGATGAAGCGGTGCATGACATTGCGGCAAGGAGATCCAGAGGCATTGAAACTATTGGATGAGATCGCCAGATGGCTTGTGAGTGTAGTTTGTTGCTACAATGTTATTACTTTCATTAATATGAACGCCTTTGACAAAGGCAAATGACTTGGAGCGTCATGCAGGGATTGCCACTTCGTTGTCCCCGGAATTATTGTCATGTGCTGCGGTTGTGAGAGACTGCTCAAAGGGTGGCGTCTTTCAGACTTCGCCGGATTGGGGGTCTGTTACTGACAAGGATCCGAGAATTAAGGGTCACCCACGGTTCAACAAGACAATCAATTACCGCCCTATCGTCGGCATTGAGAGTCCTGTTCTTCCTGATGCTCAGACTACAACAGCATTAACACAAATATCCTCCTCTTCCTCCTCCTCTGGAACTTCGGCACTGGTCTCATTGACAACACCACCCGTCGCGGCTGTATCTACTTCAGCCCCTCCTCCTGGAGACATAGACCATTCGAGCATATCTGCCGCACCTGCAATAGAACTGTCGCCTTTGTCACTGTCCCCATTCTCAAAGGCATTGGAACCTCTGACCCCCCTTCCTGTGTCAGCTCCAATCCCGCTGAAATACAACCTTTTTGTGCCAGGCATTAAGAATGCGGTGAATGCAATTCCAAAGGGCGGCAATGGTAAGAAGAGACGGGCAGAAGATGACCAACTGGTAGAGGCAAAATTAGTTGACAACTCGACTTCCCAGTCATGGAAGTCTGTTCCGAAGAGGAAAAGGGTAATGTTGGCTGATGAAGACAATGAAACTACCAACCCAGTTCTGACGCAGGTGAGTCCCACATCTTTCGTTCGGCATAGCTGACCCACCGCATGATTATATTCCCTAAGGTGGTACCATCACAACGCATCATCAAAGAGGATTTGGCATTGGCAGGTTCGCATCACTCGGAAGGCACAGATGATAGAGGTTTCTGGGATGCAGAAAGCAGGGTAAGTGTTTTTATTGGGCTAACTGCAGATGTTGACTCTGTTACGCACTCAAATAGATCTGTTATGCGGAGCCCTAAGAGGGGTGTCGTCCGCTAACGTTCGTGACGTAACCGGAAGGGTCCAGTGTAGCGACTGAGACTGGCGACGACGAGTCGGCAGATATCAGAGACGCGCGTGTCACGTGACTTCTAAGACGGATGTCTTCAAAGTCACTGACGTTCTCAAAGTAAGGACAGTCTTGTCCGAACGATGAGTTGTCGATCGAGGTAGACTTAGGCGCGATGAGCACATAAGAAAAGATACTAGAGACTGAAGCTGAGGGGGCTTCAGAGGGAAGTATGTTCGAGGGAAGATTGAGTAGATTCAAGTTAGGGAATCTAGTACAGGATGACCGACTACTTATACTAAGTGGAAAGGGTTAAGGGCAAGGCTACCGTACTGTAGGTAAGGGCAAAGGGGAAACGGAAAGGGTATAGGTACGCTGGTAGCAGAGCCTAATTAGTGATGTGAGGTCGAATGCAGAATGAGACTGAGAAATGTTGGAACGAGCCAACGGTAAATGATACAATGCGCAGCACGCACAAGTCAGAGGAAAGATAAGACAAGATAAGGAAAGCCACATTGGTGGCACGAGTCAGAACGAGTCATAGCCCGAGGGCACGTGCGCACATTGGTGCGATAGGAGGGGGATGAGGGACGGGAACGGTCCCGAGGATCCGGTCAACGGATAGTCGGTAGAGAAGTACGAGCCGGAGGCATACGAGGGCGAGGACGAAGGGGAAAAATGATAGGGGGGCCATGTAGCTGATGTTACTTGTAACATTACCCCCGTTTCAAGGTAGAGTTCCACGAACTCTTTAATCGTCGTCCAAGGGAACGTAGTCGTCCTGGTTGTTATACCACTCGGGGTCGAAGTCGAGGTCTTCGAGCCAGGAGGCGGCTTCGATTGCATTCTCTTCGCGTTCTTGCTCGAGGCGAGCAGCGTCCTGGTCATACGCAGCTTCGAGCTGGCGCATGTCCCTGTAGAACCTGTCAGAAGAGATTCCATGGCGAAGGATCTTTCTGCCGTCGAGTCGAGGGCAGAAGGGAGTGAGATGTTTTGGGGCAAATTGCCCACAAATGCGGCAGAAGTATTGCGCGCAGTGTTTCTGTTTGTGTCCAAAGACACGACACTGGTGGCAGACAATGTTGCTGCGGTAGACCCGGGTGGTCTCGGTGGCATCACGACGCGCGTCGTTGATGGCGTCTTCCTGGGCTTCCTCGCGAGGATAGTGCCTGGTGAAGTTCTGGGTGCGCGGGCGATGCGCATGGGAGAGAGGTAGTCCTAGAGACAGGATGGATCGTGCACGAGCACGGTGATTTCGGCGTTGCGGAGTGGGAAGAGGTTCCAGAGAACCAATGGAGAGATGTGGGACTACTTCAGTAGGTACCCAATCGTCGGGGTTGAGAACAGGTGGTTCGGGAGGACACTCATCCAGCTCAGGGATGGTGATAGAGATGGTGTCGACATCAGGGATAGGGGAGGGGTTATGTGGAGCGTAGAGCTCGCGTTCGTATTCGTTGTAGAGACGGTCGATCTCGGGATTGGTCAACTGGGTGACGTTGGGGATATGCTCTGGTGATTCAGAGCGGGGTAGTTGGGGAAGGAAGGGGCTCGGAGCTCTGTCATAGACAGCATGCTCGACGACTGCAAGCGGGTCGGGAGGGGGATTAAATGCCCGCTCCTCCTCGACGGCCATGACAGCGGCATGGAAGTTCCTGAGCTCAAACAGATTTAGCAAGGCTCGCTTGATCTTGCCTTGGTTATATCTGGTCGAGACGGTGGATAGGGAAGTCTCCCTAGCCAGGTCGATCCTGGCGATATCGCCGGTGAGGGCATCGGTGGCCCTGAAGGCCTGGACGAGGTTCATGGTTATGTCGTCATTGGTGCGGTTGAGATAGTTGTCGAGTCGAATTGCATACTGGGGGTCGCAGATGACTGCTTCCCAGTAGGCCCGTTGCCTATCTTGGACAACTGAGCGAAGGGATGGTCGTCGGAAGATGGTGTATCCCGGGGGGGAGGGCCTATCATGGCCATGCGTTGGCTGGCTCGTTGGGTCGCGGTCGGAGGCAGACGCATGAGAGGTAGCGGATCGGTGCAAGGAAACAGACGACGCTGAGACTGACATAGTGAAGCGTCTTTCCTTGGGTAGTGGCGTAGGTGGGGTATTGGGTAACGGGTCTCTGTTTGTCGATGGGTTTGGGTTTCGTGGGGCGGTGGCGATTGCGGATTCGTTGGCGATGGAAGGTTTTGGTGTTGGTGTGGATGGGTTCGTCGGTGGGGTCAGCCCTCGTGTAGTGAGGGCGGTAGGAGAAGTTGCAGTGGCATTTGTTGATCAACATGAGATGGCGATTGAAGCGATCTTGAGTTGCTTCTTATACGCCTTCAGGAGTTCCGCTGCGGACTTCAATTCTGTTTCGGGGAGCCACGTTCGTTCGGAGGCAGGATAGCCAACCCAAGACACGAGGTACCGGCGACGCGATCCGGTACCCTTGTGTTGGAGGATAGCTTCCACTTCGTAGTGTTCCTCTCCATCGATAAGATCAGGAGGAGGTTCGGTGAAATTCAGTCCATGCACGTCTGTCTCCTGATAGGAGGAAAGTTCCGAGGCATGGAACGTGGGGTGGATAGGCCAGCTGGCAGGCAGCTTTAGCTGGAACGTGATGGGGGAGAGGACCTTCTGGATTGGGAAGGGTCCATATCGTTTCGGGGCGAGTTTCCTAGAAGGGAATCCGGTGATTAGGTTTGTGGAGGATAGCCATACCTTATCACCAATGTTCCATGGCTTGTAACGCTGGCCATAGGAACGATCAGCCATGCGTTGCTGCGCGAGGCTGTGGCATGCAAGGGCTTCTTCACGGATCTTGGCGAGTGACTTGACTCGGTCTTCGGTGGTTGGTAGGGTAGAGTCGGGGAAGAGATGGGGGATGCCTCATGGTTTGTAGCCCATCATGAGGTAGAAAGGAGAGGCATTTCTGGCGGAGTGTCATCGAGAGTTATGAACGAATTCGGCCATAGGCAAGTGCTTTGCCCATTCAGAGGGAGTCGTCCGGCAGTAGATCCGGAGGTAGGTTTCGAGCTCTTGGTTGAGCCGTTCGGTCTGGCCATCTGTCTGAGGGTGGTAGGCAGTGGAAAGTGCGACTTGGTAGTCGAGGAGTCGTCCTAGCTCTTTTGCTAGCTTCGAGGCGAATTGGGGGCCTCGGTCCGAGATGATCTTGTCATAGAGTCCGAAGCGCATGAACACTTTCTTGAAGAAAAGTTCGGCTACTCCTTCCACTGTGATGGTTTTTCTGCAGGGGCAGAGAATTACCCCCTTCATAAGCCCATGGTCTACCACGACCATGACAGAATCGTAGCCGGCGCTCTCGGGGAGGTCGGTGATTAAATCAACCGAAACCTGAGCGAAGGGCCGGAGGGCCGAGGAGGGTATCGGAGTGAGGGGAGGTGTCGTGGGGTGGGTGTTAACCTTCATCTGCTGGCACATGGCGCAGCCATCGACATATTTCCTAATGAAGGAGCCCATTCCGGGCCACCAGTAGGATTTCTTGATGTTCCATTCGGTACTGGAACGCCTGGGGTGCCCGGTGGTTGGGTGATCGTGATGTAGAGACAACACGCGATGCCGGAGGTCGGGGGGGACGTAGGCACGATCCTTATAGAAGAGAACACCATCGGTGAACCTCCAATCGGAAAGTGCAGACTTCATGGGGGGTGCGCACACCCCGGAGAGAGCGTCCAAGGCTGTTTTCATAGTCTGGTCGGAGGGGTCGTCAGAGAGTCGTTGGAACTCGTCTGCGAGTTCAGCGTCGATTAGACAGGTGAACAGGAAGTCGGGGAGGAGGATACGGTCTTCGTTATCCTGACCAGCTATGGCGTGGTCCGGACGTCGGGACAAGGCATCCAGTGCAGCGAGCTTTGTCCCGGGAACGTGGTGAAGTTCCAGATCAAAGTTGGTGAGTGTGAGGTGCCACTGGGCCTGTCGTCGGGTGAGTCGTTGCGCGGAGCGGAAATAGATCAGGTTCTTGTGATCCGTGAAGACAATGACCGGGTGAGGGTTTCCTTCGAGGAAGTGCCTCCAAGCCTGAAGGGCTCGGATGATGGCAAGGAGTTCCCAGTCGTAGATCTCATAGTTCCGTTCGGCCGCGTTGAGGGACTGGGAGAGATAGCCGCAAGGGTGGTAATCCCCATTGCTATCTGTCTGGAGCAAGACTGCTCCAGTCGCGAAGAGTGAGGCGTCAGTTGCAAGTGCAAACTGTCGCAAGGAGTCGGGGTTCCGCAGAACTGGTTCGGTGGTGAAAAGCTTCTTCAGATGCTGGAATGAAGCTTCGGTGGAGTCGGACCAAGAGAAGGGAACCTCCTTCTTGGTTAGGTCTAGGAGAGGGCGTGCGATGTCGGAGTAGTGGGGAATGAAATAGCGGTAGAAGTTGCAGAATCCAAGGAAAGACCGCACATCCTTGACCGAGGAGGGATGTTGCCATTTGCTGATGCCTTTCAGCTTGGCAGTGTCCATAGCGACCTGTCCAGGTCGAATGATCATACCGAGGTACTCGACTTCTTGAGTGTCGAAGGTACATTTCTCGGGTTTGAGGAAGAGAGACTCTTTGCGGAGTTTCTCCAACACTCGGCGGGTCCTCTGCCGGTGTTCGTCCAGGTTATCTGAAAAGATCAGGATGTCGTCCATATAGACGATTAACCATCCTTCATTCAGTTCTTCTGAAAATGTTTGGTTCATGTAAGCTTGGAAGGTAGCGGGCGAATTGCACAATCCAAAGAACATTACCTTGGGCTCGAAGAGCCCATAAGAGGTGGAGAACGCAGCTTTCCACCTGTCGTCGGGATGAATGAGGATATTGTTGTATCCTGAGCGTACATCGACCTTTGTAAACCACTGCGCCTTGTTGAGTTTCGCAAGCAAGGGTGGCATCAAAGGGAGTGGGTACGCGTTCTTGATCGTCCATGGTGTTGAAGTCGGTGTCTTCAAAGGGCATGATGATTGGCGCCGTCTTCTTCTTGTTACACTTCTTGCGTTTCTTGATTTCTTCGAGGCAATGTTGAGTGCCTTCGGGGAGTTGCTTGAGGGGCGAAAAGTCCTCGTCGTCGAGTTCTTCTAGGACAGCCTTTTCTCCACGAAAGAGATATGGCTTGGCCTTGCTTGCTTTCTCGCCGGGAGGCGTTGAGTTCCCTCTCCACCTCCTTTGACCTATTGGTCGCAGGCAGGGAGATCGTGTTGGCCTTCCAGTCGATATTGGGCATCATGGCGCTAAGCCAAGGTTTTCCAAAAAGTAGATCATCATGCTTGGAAAGTTTCGTTACGTTGAACTTTCCATACATAAGTCTCCGATCGAGACGAATGAATAGCATGCAGTATTGGGTTACCTGTCCTGCCGAGGACGGGCTTCCGTCTACTGTGGTGATCCGGAAGGGTTTCTTGAGTAGGTGGGTCTGGATCCCATTTCGCTTGACGAAGTCATAGCTAATGAAGGTCCCACCTGCCCCTGAGTCGATGATGGCGGTCGACTGAACGGTTTTGGCACTGCAAGAAGAGAAAAGTGTCACCGGGACACGAAACTTGTTGGATTTACCAACAGCTTTAGTATACAATGCGCAGATAGAGGGAATTGACCGTTCGACAAGCCCTCTCTTTAAAAATCCTTTCTTGTGACAAGGTTGACTTCCATGTCTTCCTCGTCAGAAGACTCGTCAAGCTGGCGGACGCCAGACTTGCTTGGCTTCTTGCCTTTGTCTTCTTCATCATTCTTGTCTCCTCGGCGCACCTTCGGGTGGAACCGGGAGTCGTTTGCTCGATGGCCCTTCTCCTTGCATTTGAAGCAAAGGCCTTTATCGAAGCATTTCTGTCGTTCCTCAGGCGTGAGGGAACGATCGACGTCCATAGCATCAGGATCGCGTTGGCGGACCTGAGGCTTGGGGACGTGCCGGTGGCCGGAAGGGCGTACCGATCTGTTGTTGGACACAACTGCTCTTGATTGCTTGTAGTTGGCTTCCAACTATGTCGCGGCAGTGTACCATTTGTCGATAGTAGTGGGGACGACCTCCTTCCCGTAGATGGCGGTTCGGAGTCCTGGTTTCAACCCTTGTTCGAAGAAGTGGATGAGGGCGACGTCCTGCTTGAGACTAGCAGTGGACGACAGGGTTTTGAACGTCGCGATGTAGGGCATCACGTCGCCAGTTTGGGTCAAACCATGAAGCTTGGTTAGAGCCTCAGTCATCCGGTCGATCGGGTGGAAGGATTCGGTGAAAGCCTTCTTGAAGTCCTTCCAGCTACCGAAGTCGACGGCAGGTTTGTCGAAGGCTGCTCGGTAGAAGGTGTCAGCCCAGACGCGGGCGTCTCCATCGTTCATATACTGGAGTGCAACAGCGACCTTGGTTTGGTCGGAGCTGTAGATCGTCAAGTTGATGAGGAAGTATGTTTCCACCGAGTACATCCAGCGCTCGGCATCATCGATGCTTCCATCATAGTTCTGTGGTACTCCAGCCTTTAGTTCAGGCCTGGATACGACCACTGTCGGTTGTTGGGTGGGGCCTCCGGACATTCTTGTTCCAGGGTTCGAGTTGAGGTTGCCGTACGGTTGTTCGTCAGGAAACTCGTCGGAGGACGTGTGGTCTTCTTCCGATTCTTCTTCTTCGGAGTCCGGAGTGTTGGGATTACGTTCCCAAGGGTACTTCGGGATCCAGGTAGTCGTGGTGTCTGTCGGTTAATGGGCCATGCGGATGGCAGGGCGCAAAAAGGAAACTTGAATCTTTTGTTATGCACTCAAATAGATCTGTTATGCGGAGCCCTAAGAGGGGTGTCGTCCGCTAACGTTCGTGACGTAACCGGAAGGGTCCGGTGTAGCGACTGAGACTGGCGACGACGAGTCGGCAGATATCAGAGACGCGCGTGTCACGTGACTTCTAAGACGGATGTCTTCAAAGTCACTGACGTTCTCAAAGTAAGGACAGTCTTGTCCGAACGATGAGTTGTCGATCGAAGTAGACTTAGGCGCGATGAGCACATAAGAAAAGATACTAGAGACTGAAGCTGAGGGGGCTTCAGAGGGAAGTATGTTCGAGGGAAGATTGAGTAGATTCAAGTTAGGGAATCTAGTACAGGATGACCGACTACTTATACTAAGTGGAAAGGGTTAAGGGCAAGGCTACCGTACTGTAGGTAAGGGCAAAGGGGAAACGGAAAGGGTATAGGTACGCTGGTAGCAGAGCCTAATTAGTGATGTGAGGTCGAATGCAGAATGAGACCGAGAAATGTTGGAACGAGCCAACGGTAAATGATACAATGCACAGCACGCATGAGTCAGAGGAAAGATAAGACAAGATAAGGAAAGCCACATTGGTGGCATGAGTCAGAACGAGTCATAGCCCGAGGGCACGTGCGCACATTGGTGCGATAGGAGGGGGATGAGGGACGGGAACGGTCCCGAGGATCCGGTCAACGGATAGTCGGTAGAGAAGTACGAGCCGGAGGCATACGAGGGCGAGGACGAAGGGGAAAAATGATAGGGGGGCCATGTAGCTGATGTTACTTGTAACAGACTCGGATGTTCATCAGCCTGTTGAATGGGGCCAGGACTCTGCTATTGCCACGGCAGTGAAGGTAACCTCATTATTATTTGCATGAAAAAACATTGACACTAAGATGTTTGAAGTATTCTGTTCGTCATCACCCACAGAAATGCGACAAGTGCATCAAATTGGGTGTGGCCTGTCTTGTCCTCCCGGATAAGAAGTTCAGATGCATTCAACTTGCCAGTGCTAATTGCGATGATATGAAGATCACATGTGTGATCAACGGAGTCGGCATCCAGGAAAGAATGCAGGCAAAGGCAAAGGCAAAGGCCACAGCGGCAGGTGACTCCCACCCTGTCAGATGCTCTAAGTCACGTGCCCCCAAGTCCCGAGTTGTGAACAATACTCCAGTCAATACCTGGTCCCGGCAGATCTTGATACCGCCGGCACTTTCCTCTTTGGATGTTAAGCCTAACAACATTGAATGCAGAGGTGAATGTTTTCATTCTCTGCACTGGATGCTAACCCAATATCTGTTGATATTCCACTGGTTCACACAGAGGTTCAACCGATGCCTACGATGCGCCCATCGGTGCAAGCCGAGGCGGAAACGCCGCGAGCAGTCAATCCCACGCAGCCCGAGCCAACTGCGAGGGATATCCTCCAGAGCATCCAGGACCTTGGAAGGCGGCTTGATCTTCTCGCCACCAGCGAAAGGGTCGATGAGTTGGATGCAAGACTCGGTTCGGTGGAAGATGTCTTTGGGCGGCGATTGAATGCACTTGAGCAACGTCTCAATTCATCTGATACAGAATGGAGAGCAATGTCAGCTTCTGTTGGCCATTTAACCATTGCTCTTCGGGATCATAAAGATGATCTTACTGCACATCGTTCCCGGATCAACACTACCGCTTATGCCCCCCCAAGTCATGCAAATGCACACCTGCCGGCCTGGCTCGCTCAGAGTGACGAAGACCCGCACATCTCAGCAATCGGCCGACAGTGGACTCATGCGTGGGATGTGTCCGTGATGACGGGTGTTCAAGGGCATGTCGGTACCTCAGCATCTGCTGTGCTCGTTACGGAAACCGTCGATTCCATGGTCCTGGCAGCGGATGTATCGCCAGACACCTCTAGCGATCTCTCAACGATATCCGATGATTAAATACTTATTATTGGATCTTGATGGACAGTGATGATGTCATGTCTTTACTTAGTTTTGATTGCATTCATTTGGTGCTCCTACATACCGACGATATTAAATGGGATCCTGTATTGGAAGGTGTGTGACGTTAATAGTTAGCCTGGGCCAGGAAGATCAATTTGAATATTGTGTTAGCGTTCCAGAACTAAGTCGTCTGAGTATCAAGGTGTGATATATCCAACGGCATAATGCTCTGGTTCGGATGGTTCTTGCGCTTGTGGCACAGGCATGAATGCAAGGTTTGTCACTCCCGACTACGGCCCAGCGAATGCTATATGTACTGCATATTCATCCGACATGAATATTCACGTCAGATCAGGATCTGATATTATTCGGTTGCATGCTGTGAGGCACATATCCATCTATTAGCTATACCAGCATCCGGAACATAAGTATCACAAGCCTCTGGCATGTCGCCCTATATTTAGAGAATGGTAATGATTATGACAATCTCGTGCTTATAGCAGGGCCCGGCAGACCCATGCCGTCAGCATGAATATGAACGTCAAATCCGGATCGGCATTGATATATCATTACAGAGTTCGGTTGCAAATATGTGGTGCTAGACGCCCGATATTACTCACAATCTTGTATTATGTAGTGTAGAAGTTTGATGGGTAGACCTACTTGCACAGTATACACAGATGGAATAAAGAATGCTTTACCGGCAGGAGCCAAATGTTTGATTCTCGCTCCAGCGCCAGATGAATGCAATGTTAGAGCAATCATGTTGAACCGTTATAACCGTTACCACATTCGGATTCATTCATCCGGGGAGATTATTACGTAACATTGCGTCAAACAATTGTCGGACCTCTCATGGATACAAGACTGAGACCACAAATTTCCAATCCACAATCCACAATCCATCACTTTCCAGTAACACTCACAACCGGATCGATAAAATCCAGCCTTGTCGGAATCTCCCAAAATCAGCTTTTGATATCTACTGTATTCATTTCCCTCTGCACCACCGTATTTTGTTGACAAATCCATCATGTCCGTACCTCCGGAAGCAGCTAACGACGCATTGAAAGTCACACTGGCCGTCGTGCAATCGCTCATGAAGCGATGCATCAAGGTGAAGGAGGGCGATCCCGAGGCCTTGAAGCTATCGGATGAGATAGCCAGGCACGTGGTGAGTGTATCTGATGTTCCCCTCAAAATGCTTTTTGTCAAACTAACATTTGTCATTTGATACAGGCAAGAGACTTGAAACTTTACGCGGGAACAGCAACATCATTCTCTCCTCTGCTACTCTCCTGTGCCGCCATTATCCGGCAGTACTCAAGGGGCGGCGCCTTTCAGAGTGTCCCAGACTGGACCTCTGTTACTGACGACGACCCACGAATCAAGGACCACCCGCGATTCCAGAAGACCGTCCACTATCACCCACCCTCTGCGCTTGATGTCCCCGTCATTGCAACATCGAGCATTCCCACAACCATTCCCGCAACCACTTCAGCTCTCATTGTCCCGCCATTCCCACCCTCAGCTCTCCCTTCCCTGCCATCCCGCACAGACCTGGATCTCGTCGCCAAGCCGGTGGCGGAACCGAGACGATCAACGCGCATACGAGCACGCAAGAATCCATCCCGCACGGACCTGGATATGGTCGCCAAGCCGGTAGCGGAACGAAAACGATCTTCCCGCCCACGAGTGCTCAAGAACCTGCCACCTCTCAGTCGTCCGGCACATCCACCCTTGAGATACCGCCACCTGTATGTGGCCGAAGCTGAGAGGGAACAATGGAAGGCACTTTTCGAGGCCGGCGATAGCAAGAAGAGAAAGGCGGATGATGAAGATACCGATGGGGCCGATGTAATTGAAGCCTCCAAGTTGGCTTCCGCGTCCCAAGAGCCGATGAAGAAGAAGAGGAAGTTGAACCAGAATGTCGACAATAGGCCAACAGGAATCATCGATGTGAAGCCAAAGGTATGTCTGTTGATCTTAGTTCATGCATCCAATGACTTACCGCTGCAGACATTACTGACCGTCACCACTGACAAGGTTGTTCCGCCAGGCGATGAAAAGGCTTTCTGGGACGCAGACACTCGGGTATGTGATCTGCACTTATCTATAGCGCTGGTATGCTGACCAATTTCAAAGCCTGCAGAATGGGGCTCAGATGCTCACATCGCCACTCCGTGCCAGGTAAGTCTGTCAGTACATTCACAGGAGTCCATGGCTAACATATGTCAAGCATTCCGTTCGTTACCATCCTCGGCAGTGCGACAAGTGCACAAAATTGGACATACCCTGCGTTGTCCTTCCGGACAAAAAGTTCGGCTACATTCGACTCGCATGCGCAAATTGCGACCAGATGAAGATTACGTGTGCGATCGACGGCGTCGGTGTCAGGCAGAGAATGCAAGCGAAGGCCGCCACGGCTATAGTTGAAGGTGAGTTTGCTTTCAAATCCGGCGAGGATCTTGAAACCAATCCAGATGACTCTTAGAGGAGAAGCAACAGCCTGGTCCGCCGGCTGGTGTGCCCATGTGCAAACTCCCAACCGTTGGTACAAGCCCTCGGCCGGAACAGGATGATCAGCCCGCGCCAGCCAACATCGCCGATCCCGAGCCAACTGCAAGGGACATCCTACAGGGAATCCGGGACCTCAGCAAGAGACTGGATCTCTTTGCCACCAATGACCGTGTGGATGCCTTGGAGATAAGAGTGCGTTCGGTGGAAAATATCCTCCACCAGCGGTTGAACGCACTGGAGCAACGCTTCAATGCCTCCGATGCCCGGTAGAGAGCGATGTCGCCACCTCCGGTATATGTAGAACAAACTTGTCTCCAATACCATATATAGTGTACTTTTAGCTATTCTTTCTTGCTGTTCCCGGTCACTTTCCCTTGTATTCCGGTTCTCGCTCTCTGTATTTGTTAGATGAGAATCACATTGTTGTTCCCCTCAATATGTTGTGATCTGTGGTGAGGGAATGCTTCAATTTCATGATGCTCACATGAAACTGTGACAGCCAATGGCATGATAATCCGGTGTACATAGTCCATGCGGTCGTGGGTGCATCACCGATGCTACATGCACGGTGCATCCCTCCAAGAGGTGTATCAATAAAGTACATATATAACTGTCTATTATCATACCATCTTCCGGAACCAGGCGTCTCCAGCTGATCGGCTGTCCGGTCATCACCTGCTTATCGGATTTGCATTGCTGTGCAACTTGTGCGGGTCCGACATCTTCATTTAGTCCTAATTTCAACTCTGTCCGAGACGCAGCCCTATAAACGTTCACCATGCCACCTTCGGAGACCGCATGCTATCCGTGTCACCGTAATATCGGTCGCCCCTTCCGAAATCAGATATGCAAGTACCGGGCACTCATGAGCCTTTCCGAGATTTAATGCTTCACTCTTTGGGCCGATTAGTAAGACACTCTATAGACTCAAACATCACTCGCCAGACATTCCTGACCTGTTGGGCATATCCTGTAGGCCCTTTCGGTACTCTGGACCAAACGCAAATTGAGTGGGCCCATCCGTCACTCATTCCGACAATCCGTAGATGCACTCTCGCCGGCCACTTGTGTAAGCCAGTTGAGGATAACCAGTATCCGTGACTACATGTGCACCGACAGCCGACAATCCCTAGCCGAGCCCTTCTCGAACTCACGAGATGAAACACCAATACCGGGCCGGAGAAAAATCCTACTGGGCCTATCAGGAAATTCCTGCACTTGCACATGTATGAAGAACATCCCGCTGGGCCCAACCGTCAGCCTTTCTGAGATTGTGTATGTCTCTCATGGGCCAGAAGCAATAACTCGCTTGCCCTCCGAGACCAAATGCACAGTCCATACCCCATATTCTTATTGATCGGCCCTTCCGAGACCAAATACATTCTCTTGGGCCACAAATTACCAGCAGTGCCCAACCATCTGTCCTTCTAAGATCATGTAGGCCTATCATGGGCCAGAAGCAATAACTCGCCGGCCTTTCCGAGGTCACATGTACCGTCCAATTCATTATTCTTGTTAGTCGGCCCTTCCAAGATCATTTGATGCCTATCTTGGCCAGACACAATCACTCGCCAGCCCTTCCAAGGTCACATGTACTGTGCAAGCCGTATATTCTTATTGGTCAGCCCTTCCGAGACCAAACACATATTCTCTTGGGCCAAAATCACCAGCCGGGCCCAACCGTCAGCCCCTCCGATATCATGTAAGCCTACCATGGGTCAGAAACAATAACTTGTGAGACCAAACACATTTTCTTGGGCCGAAAATAACCAGCTGGGCCCAAGCTGGGCCCATCGGTAAGCCCATCCAAGACTACCCAGCATTTGTACTGGGCCGAACAATAACCAGCTGGGCCTTCCCATACGCACTGCCAAGATCAATACATTTGGGCTGTACGATAAATGGAACCATACATCGCATCTCCGGCCTGGATCATATGCATATCTGGTGGGCCTATCCACCATTCCTTCTGGAAGATCCTGTATGGCTGTCCGGGTATACGATGCACCATTTATGGGTGAGAAGTGGATTGGGGCCTACTTTGCCTATGGAAATTTCATCATAGACCGGTTTACCCCTTTCCGGGTATCTGATGCACCATGTATGGGTGAGAAGTGGATTAAGGCCTACTGTGGCTAGAAAATTTTGTCATAGACCATTTTACCCATTTCCAGGTATCCTATGCACCATTTATGGGTGAGAAGTGGATTAAGGCTTGTTGCGGTGCATGCAAGATAAATAAACTACCTCTGATTGCGACAGCACATGCACCGCAACAGGCCTTAATCCACTTCTCACCCATAAATGGTGCATTGGATACCTGGAAAGGGACGAAATTTCCCAGGCACATTGTATTCTCACAGAAAATCAATATCCCGGTCACGGGGTGTTGCTGCTTGGCTTTGTAAGTGCATTGTTGCTGCAGCAGTGAGCACTCACTGCAGTCACCGCTTGAGACACTATCACTCTTGTTGTCAATGTCAGATGTCTGGACCACTCCACCTGAAACTCAACTGTATTGTCTTGGGCAATAATCCTCGCCGTATTTTCCCAGTCAACATTGAGTGGACGGAGATTGTTGGTGACCTCAAAGAGGTCATCAAAGACAAGAAAAGGCCGGAGTTTGACCATGTTGCCACTGACCGTCTTGAGTTATGGAAGGTGAGTGATCTGATGCCTAGGATCAGATATTGATAATCTGATATTTTGGAAGGTCAACCTGCCTATCGACGAGATGATTGAGCACAATCTCAACAATCTTACACTTGACCCAATGAAATCCCTATCACCTGTGGATGAAATGGTAGAGATTTTTCCTGATGCTCCTCCGCACAAGTATCTGCATATTATTATCCAATGCCCGCCTGCCGGTGAGTTGTCCTTCGATATTGCCACCCTTTCCTCACTGATCGTGGTCCGACTTAGTGTCTTCCAGACCGCTCTGCCTGAAACTCAACTGTATTGTCTTCGGCGATGATCCTCGCCATATTTTCCCAGTCGACGTTGAGCGGACGAAGACTGTCAGTGACCTCAAAAATGTTATCAAGGTCGCCAAGAAGCCAGAGTTTGACCATGTTGCCGCTGACCGTCTTGAGCTATGGAAGGTGAGTGATCTGATGCCTATGGTTGAATGTTAATAATCTGATATTTTGGAAGGTCAAGATCAATTTGAATGATATACAGTTACGGAACGCGATCATGGACGGAGGCGTCGAGCTGCGCCCATTAACCGAGCTGTCCAATGTGTTTGTGGATGTAATAGAGCGCGGATGTATTCATATCGTAGTGCAACATCCTGCCGTTGCACGACACATTCCAGCTGTTGATAGGCGAATCGCTTATCTCAAGAAGGGTGCGGGTACTCCATCGGCTGGTGCAAAACCATCCGCATTCTCTACAAAGCAGGACCAGCAAGAGTACCTTTGCAATTGTCCTCACAGAGCCACGGACCCTGTTCCCATTACTCTTCTCGAGCCTATCTTCGCCGAGTTTATGGATGATTGTCAAAAGTATGAACCAACTGTCCATGACAACGACTTTGTTTTGCAACTTTCAGAAAATATGGCCTCCTTCTATCCCAATGAGCTCACGCGGATGAATACATTCCAGCAAGTGCTCCGGAACTACGGTATTATACTCAATGCTTCTATGGTTGGCTCGACCGGATGTACGACGGATGGACATCTTTTGTCTACCAACGGACAGTTTGTGCTGATGATAATTGAGGGGAAGAACGAGATCGGAAGTGGTGCTGCCAAACCATTTATGGAGGCAATGCTGTACTACTGCAAGTTTATGGAAGACTCGAAGATTGAGATGGCAAGGCTCTGGTCTTTCATTCCATGAATCCATATCATTGTCTTCGGTTAGTTCATTTCACCAGATTAATTGCTGAAGCTTTTTATTGATCACAAATAGGGGCATGCATTGGCTTTTCAGGCTCTGTTTTTACTGAAAAAGTCCAGTCTGATGTCCTGGTCCCTATCATTCCTCTGTTTTGGCATTCAACAGACCTCCATATGCAAGTGATGGCAGCTCGTACTTTCGGGGCTCTCAAAATTGCCGTCGAGAAACTTACAAAACTATACTCCTGTCCAATCCCGTCCCTTGAAACCGAAGATCCATATCTTAAATGTCCTTACCCTCGGAGTTATACAAATTCCACTGGTTTCATTCAGGAATTCCGGTATGATGAGACTCAAATCCTCAGGGATCAACTTATTTTCTTCGGGGAAACCATCGGTGATGCGGCTGGGAGCAAGATATGCATCAAGTTTGTCAGGCACTATTCCCCTCAGGCTCACAAATTCTGTGCCAGCAAGGGGAACGCCCCCAAACTTATCGCCTACAATTCTTTACCCGATGGCTGGAATCTGGTGATTATGGATGCCCTTGGTATTGATAATGATTGCCTTCCGCAATGACCTGGCTCATATCAACTGCTCAGTGAGATAGGTGTTTTGGACTGTCAGCCGCTGAAGGAGACCATCACCTGTCTCATCCGGGAGTTACACAATCACAATGACGGCTATGTGCATGGTGACCTTCGATATACCAATTTTGTTGTGCGAGACGATAAACACTTCATGCTTCGATTGGGCCGGACCAATCCAGAAGACGCATTATCCTATGTATGTCAATCGGAAGGATATTCGACGGCCTGATGGTGTGTGGGATGGGCAGAAGATTGTGGCGGAGCATGATTTGGATATGCTGAATTATCTATTTCATCCTGAGCAAGATGTTCGGGAGCCAGCTGCAAAGTGCCACCATATATTAAGTGAAGGGTCACTGATGGTCATTTGAGTCATTTATCATTTGTTGCATTTGCTTAATACCAGTCTGTTTTTTCATCATAAAGCTCACATACAATGACTTTGGGAGAATGGCAACATAGATTAGTATCTGTTGTATTGTAGCTAGCCAATTCGATGATTGCCAATGACACACGCCTTCTCACAAGTCTCAGTGAGGATTCTACTGTACATAAATTGAATACATGGCCTCATCCTCAGCGGATACAGCGATAAAATGATCTCAGAGTGGACGGTACCTCGGAGCCATACAGGATCTTCCGGAAGCAATGGTAGATCGGCCTTTCCCGATGTAGATCCCAAGAGTTTAGCCTATGGTAGCCGTGGTGGTTCTCTACAATAGTCTTACACTCGGTTCACACATATGACTCTCCACAGTTGTCGGAATGCCCATAACCGACGGGTTGATATAGAACCCGGCTGCTGTCAGACATTTTCCCATACAACGATCCCCCTTCCGTACATCCCGTGAATTGCAACATATCCTATCAGCAATGGATCCTGTTATGCCGCCAGCTCTTCCATACGGCAAATCCCTCGGCAATCTGATTGCTGCGAGGGCGACGGAACCAGAGCTTGTATCACCAGCACCAGACCCAACGGCTGCGGGTGTGCGAACTCTGCCACACCTCCCCATCAAGCATTCAAGCGCAAGATCTATTTACGGCGAGACCCGGAACCACCCGCCAAACGGGTTTGCTTGGACTACCAGTGCATGTTTTGCCAATATAGTCTCGAGATCCATTGTGACTTATTTTCTTTGGGTCCGATGACCTGTAGGTATTACAGCCCGTCCGTTGCCCAATATGTGTAAGATATCTGGTCCCATGGGTTTGGGCCATCAGTCGGGCCCAGGTGCCACAGCCTTCTGAGCATAAGACAGGATGCACCTGTCAGTCGGTCACAGATACAACGATGCGCCCATCATTGTTGGGGACATAGTTCTGGGGCCATCAGCCGGTCTCAGATATGAAGGCCCAACCATCGTCGATGAGGACCTAGGTATCAGTTCCATCTACATCTGGGACATCCGCCGGTACCGGGTACGATAGCCTGCCCACTGTTGGCTGAGATGAGGTTCAGTTCTAGGCCCATCCGCCAACATCTGCCTGTACCATGCATGACAGGCTGTCATTCCCCGTGCATCATCGCGGACGGTACACGTATGGTGCATCCCTCCGACATGTATATCAACGTCGGATCTGGATCAGCATTTGTATCGAACTTTGTCCCGTATTTCATTACTCGTTTCTGTTGCACCAGTTGCATCTGTAATACTAGTCTCTGACACAAAGTGCACTGACTTGGCCAACATTCCCTAGCCGAGCCCTTCCGAGATCCAACACTTGCACTGGGCTTATCCGGAAGCCGCTCCAATATTATTTGCACATGTACTATGCTGAGGAATATCCTGCTGGGCGCAACTGTTGGCCCTTCTGAAATCAGATGCCTATCATGGGCCAGACCACATAACTAGCTGGCCCTTCAAGAATACAATGCAGTCCCATGCCATATATTCAGCTTAGTCAGCCCTTCCGAGATCAAATGCATATTCTCTTGGGCCCATCCATAGGCCCATCCAAGACTATCCGGCATATGTACTGGGCTGAACAATAGATGGGACTATATGTTGCCCCTCCGGGCGGGATCATATGCATATCCGGTGGGCCGAAAAAACTTGCTGGGCCCATCCGTGACCCCTACCAAATCAGTACCACATCCATATACTAATGGCTCGCCCATCACTACCGGAAATTCCTTCATGGTAGGCCCACCTGACTTGCCTGCATATTGGGGCCCACCTCGATCTGCGTGAATGTGCATGTGCTGGGCCAGTTCGGGCCTTCTGGATATTGGTGCACTGGGCCTAAACCTTACCAGCCGGACCGATCCGCATATTGAATGCGAGGACCAATTGGGCCCTTCCGGATGCTTGTGTACTGAGCCAATCCGCACCTGAATTTGTTATGTGCCCAGGTCTTGCATATTTGACCTATCCGCACACTGAATTGGTATCTACTGGGCCCAAAATAACCAGTTGGCCCATCCACTAACCCTTCCCAGTATTGTGATGGGCCCAGGAATGACTGGTCAGCTCACTTGTGCCCTCTTCCGATACTGTCAATAACCAGCTGGGCTCATCTGTAAGCTATTCCGATATGAGCTGAGCCCATTCGCCAGCCATGCCTGATACTATTATGGGCTCAAAATTTTCCTGTTGGCTCTTCCGACATCAAATTTCCCCAATAATAAGTAGCTAGGCCCATCTGTACCCCCCTTCCAAGATATATAACTGGGCCCATGTACCTTGTGGCCCATTACAATTGTCCCATTCATGCTATGGCATCCACACTTGGCCCACCCGCTAGCATGGGCGCTATTCCACACTGTGGGCCCATCCATGCATAAGCACATATGGGCCCACATTGGATGGCCCGCCTAACTGGGTCAATTCTCAACCTTTGGCTGTCCAACTAAGTCGAAAATAAAGTACTGAATTATGTGTACGGAATATGCGAACCCAGTTCTGTGAGAATTCCATCTGCTGCAGTCACGCATTGAGGAGTGGTTCTACCGCACCCTGCCATTCCTTGAACTTGCTTAAGGCTTCGCTCTTTTGTCTCATGAAGAAGACCCAAGGGTAACGAGTGTGATCGTCTATGAATATGATCCAGTAATGATATCCTTCTGGTGATTGCGGTGTGATAGGACCCCCGACGTCAGAATGGATGAGAGCGAGTGGTGCGACAGCTGATTCACGCTCATGTTTGAATGGAAGTTTCTTCATCTTTGCCTTGACGCAACTCTCACAGAAGTTCTCCTTTCCTGTGACTGCCTCTATTTCCTTCAAGTGACCTTTAGACACCATTCGCTTGATACTGTCATGATCCAGATGACCAAGTCGCCTATGCAGGACATTAATGTCTGTTGCAAGATGAGTCGATTCATGCAGTTTTGATACATTAGTCATTGGTTCGGAGATGAGATGGTAGAGGTTGTTGCGTTTCACACCCTCCACAATGACTTGGTTACTTTTTCGATCACATATCTGACATAAGGGTCTGTCGAACATTATGCGGTTGCGGTGTGCAAGTCGTCTCACTGATAGGAGCGTGACTGCAAGATCAGGAGCATATAAGACATCATTGATGATGAGGTGGTGTCGCTCTCCATTCAGGTGTTGTACACATTGTATTGATCCAAGACCTATTGCGTTGATCTTTGAATCATCACTGAGGTGAATTGCAATTGGTCTTCGCAGTTTTCAGAATGTAGATTCAACAAACCATGATCTGTGTGGTGTCATGTGATGAGAGCAACCAGAGTCGATGAGGATGTCCTTCAATTGTCGAGTTGTGTTAGTGGCTGCAGCAGTCATCAACGCGCACAATTGAACATGTTTCATTAAAGCCTTCGTGACATATACACATTGAGAATTATTACGACAATGCTTTGTATGTGCATGCTGTGCCTTCTTGCTCCTGCTCTGAGTTTCGACAGTGTCTGAGTCAGTCCCATCTGTGTCCGAGTCTGAGTCCATATCCGCTTTGTTTGCCTTGGTCTTCAATCCAGACTTCTCTCATTCCCACGGTTTCTGCTTCCTCTTCTTTCGCTCCTTCCTCAAGTCCTTCAAGTCTCGGCAGTATTTCGTAGCATGACCATGCGACTCATGGTAGTCGCAGTATTTGCCTTGGTCACGATTTGTGTTCGCACTGGTGCGCACATCAGCAGTGAGTGCAGATGAAGATTCTGAAGGTGCTGAGCTCCCTTTGATAAGCAAGGATTGTGAGAGCAGTCGTGTGGAGATGGCTTCGAAGGTAAGTGTTGAGGCAGCAGGGAGTGCTTGGAGCAACGAGGTTGTGAATGTGTCCCATATGGTAGTGGATGGTAGCAACGTTAACACGAGGAATGCCTGCATCTCATCACTGATTGCTTTTCCCATGGCTGTGAGCTTTCAATTGTCAGCCGCAAAGGTAGCGATGTGTTCCTCCATTGACGAGGCGTCAGCGTACTTCCATTTCATCATGGTCTTAAGTGTGAAAAATGCAATTAATCCTGGATTAGTGGCCGGTCATGTAGAGCAGTACTGGCCAGTTAAGCCAGCCTCCTGCTTGTAACTTGAATGCATGGCCTATACCCCTGGCCAAGGCTCTTATACAGTGCAGTATAAGAGTCCTGGCTGGGGGCTATGTCATAGCTGAGTTGCCCAGTACCTGCCCTGTGTGCTCGGCTGGGGCTCTTATACAATCATGTATAAGAGTGCTGGCTGGAGGCTGTGTCCTGGCTAAGCTGGCCAGTACCTGCCCAATACCCCCTGGCCGGGACTCTTATACAGGGCCATATAAGAGGGACAGGCCGGTACTGGATGGGACACATTCTACAGCCTTTTGGCACATCTGGGGTACCACTTCTACATCCCAAGTGACTGAAGGGTCTGTAGATATTCCTTACGAATTAGTAACAAGTACAGGTACGCAGTATTATTACTTATTAGTAAAATGAATGGTATCACTCAGGTGGTGTCATAGAGCACATCAGGAAAACGTTAGTGTGCTTATTTTGCCTTATTCTACTTGCAAGCCACATAAGGCTGTTAAGGAACATAAGAAATTTCAATCACTCTAAACTAAGGACAATGAGAAACATAAGGAAAGATAAAGCCATATAAGCAAATTTTATTTCTAAAGGGACATTTCTATATAGTCCTGAAATAATGATACTGCCACAGAAGTGTATATATTAGCGGTGTCATCAAGATGTGTAACAATGAGCACAGAAGTGACAATAGTAAAATATAATGATGGTTACTTGACTGGCTGGAACGGAGTCGACGGACAAAAGCAGTGATAGGAGCAGTACAGTCCTCCATACCCAGGGGTGTTGGGGGTGATGCCATTGATACTGGAGATGTCGATGTTGAATAACGATCCCTGAGCAGTAGACAGCGTGCTTTGAGTTGCTGGATGGTAAATGGTAATTAAGAGGACAACTCACCTGATTGATTTCTCGCAATTGGAGCATGCCCTGGGCTACAATATTCCAGGATTTGTTGGCATCAGTGTCATCACAGATAACCTTGGATGCGAGCATGAAAGTGGATATGAAAAGACAGTGACTTGAAGATCCTCAAGCAGAGGGGAAGCACGCTCTGAGTTGCTGGATGGTAAATGGTAAAAGGGCCAACAACTCACCTGATTTATTTCTTGCAATTGGAGCATGCCCTGGGCTACAATATTCCAGGATTTGTTGGAGTAAGTGTTGTCACAGATAACCTTGGATGCAAGCATGAAAGCGGCATGAAAAGACAGTGACCCGGAGATCCCTGAGCAGTAGGACAGCGCACTTTGAGTTGCAGAATAGTGAATGATAATCAAACTGACAACTCATCTGATTGATTTCTCGCAATTGGAACATGCCCTGGGCTACAAAACTCCAGGATTTGTTGGAGTAAGTGTCGTCATAGATAACCTTGGATGCAAGCATGGATGCGGGTATGAAAAGATGGTGATTTGTTGGAGTAAGTGTCATCACAGATAACCTTGGATGCGAGCATGAAAGCGGATATGAAAAGACGGTGACCTGAAGATCCTCAAGCAGAGGAAGTGCACTTTGAGTTGCTGGATGGTGAATTATAATTACACTGACAACTCACCTGATTGATTTCTCGCAATTGGAACATGCCCTGGGCTACAATACTCCAGGATTTGTTGGAGTAAGTGTCGTCACAGATAACCTTGGATGCGAGCATGGATGCGGATATGAAAAGATGGTGATTTGTTGGAGTAAGTGTCATCACAGATGGCCTTGGATGCAAGCAAGGTTCATGTAGATAGTCCTGGTAAATGATTAAACTGTAAAAGGGGAAGACAGAGGATGACAACAAACCTGCCTCTCATGCTACTTTGAATGCATGATGGTCGGCATACTTATTGATGTAGAATGCACGAAATACATTGTAGCTGTCATGAGGGGTGATTTTACAAGGCAAGAAATCAGCACCATAGAGAGGAATAAGATGAGCTGTGCAGAATATACAATCAATATGGATAAGTGAGATATCCAGCATGCTATCATCATTAGTTGACGGTGCAACAATGTGTATTCCAGTGTCAGGATCCAGGCTGTCTGTGATGTACGAGAACCAGTGAACAACTGCACATTGCAGGTATTTTGTCCGGTACTTGAAAACAAGAAAGCGCAATACTCTTGCAACAGCAAGTACATCCAAGCCGCAATTGACCTTGTTGTTTGTACTTACCAATACACAGTCATGCCTAGCAGGACCTCCTCACCATGATGTCGTCGCCTGAATGTGCTCACGTTGCATGCCTCCAGTACCACTGAGGTCACTGGGGGCATGGAATGATCCTGCTGCCGAGCTGAAAACCACTCGGCCCATAAAAGATGGTACTGCCACAGGGTCGAAATCGGGGGCCTCATGGTCTCCAACATGAAGCTGGTCATAAAGGAACTGCTGGATCATTGTGGGGAAGTTCGGGAGTTCGAGTTCGAGTGCAAGTGCAGAGACATCATGCGCACCACCCAGTACTAGAAAGCTTTAGCAGATAATGTGTGATAGAGATGAAGACCTACTGGGGAGTGCAGCAAGTTCCATGTGAGCCTGGGCAGCAGGTCCATCAACTATCTCAGCCACATCTACTTTGATGGACTGATTTGGTCACTCGTTGATGCGCAAACAGTTAGGAAGAGCCTGTAATGTGTCCACAAGTTTGTTGTCGTCATTGTTGTCACTGTCATTGTCTGGAAGCTCACGACTACCTGTATATTACAAGTTAAAAACTAAAAAGCCTTAAATACAATGAACACTCATGATTTTTCAGTGCACGCAATGCATCAGATACACACGAGCCTTGAAGCATGCCACGAGCTTCAAAGTCGCTTCGTGCTGCTGCTATTTTATTGAGGCATTGGTTGGTGAGCAGCATTTGGCCTAATGCTTTGTATCTGCTGGAGTGATGCCAAGGCTCTTTAACGGCCTTGATGTGCTTTGACTCGGTGTTTGACGAGCAAAGGCCATTTGGGGCACCAAAGAGTCTAATCATGAGGAAATAGTGGTTAAGAGAGTGTTGGTGTGGAAGTGAGAAGTCAGGCACAACTCCTGTCGTCTTGAAGATTTCATGGTACTGGTGAAAATGGTCGAGTGCATCTTGAAGTTGGGTGAGGTCATCCTCTGTGAGCGTGTCTCGTCAAACTATGTAACAGAAATCGAGGAATGCGCTAAATGCGCGAATGACATCCCGAGGTACATGTCCTTTGATGGTGGCTCAGTGTGTCCCGTAGCGACAGAGACTGTAGTCTTGTCGCTGCCAATGATTAAAGGCACAAAGGTCAATCCATGAGTTTCTGGATCCTCCACGATAATGTCCTGTATAAAAATGTATTATTAGTTCAAGGAAAGGAGCTGCGAGGCATGAAATCCATACCGCTTGCTTCCAGGCCCAATCACCAGAGAAAAAGTTCTTGTAACAATGCTGATCATCGTTAGTATAGTCCCAATACAGAACATATTCTATCTTGGCGTCAAAGTCAGGGTTGGAAAGCATGTGATGAATGAGTAGATGTGGATCACGGAACCACACATCGTATTTGGCAGTCATCCAGGGCGGAATGTCTTCAGCTGGCTTGACTCCATTATAAGACATGGTGAAAGTCTCCAAGGCGACATAACCGAGGGGAGTTGAATCAATAGTTTCATATAAGTCACGATGGCCAGTGAACGGAGGACTATCATTGTGTTGAATAAGTGTTGCTGCCCAGAGGTCGAGAAGAGTGTCAATTTGAGCCGCAGACATTTGGTTACATGTATATAAGAACTCTGCTGTCTCAAATGCAACCCGGCTTTCATACGGCATCCAGTCAGTAGGTGAGGCTTCAGTTCTGGATGGTGGAGGCGCATTCTGGTTAATAAAGTTGCCGTGAATATTACACTTTCGGCCTGTACTATGAGTGAGAACTGAATGGGTGAATGATGTGAATCAGTTACCTGTAAGAAGAGGATGGAACGTCCGGAACAGTGGCCCCAACTGCATGCCCTCCTCTGGCATAAACGCTCCATCATTGTTTTCATCAAAGTCATGGTGCTGGGGACTTGGAGGCCGATCATCAAAGGCAGGATTCTCGAGACTTGGAGAGCGAAAGTCAGGAGCTGCTTGATGGAAGGTTACATGATTGTGCAAAAGGCTGTGTGCTGTGCGAACATGCTTCATTTGGCCTGACTTATGTTGAAGACCCATTTGCAACCAGGAATGCGACAAGGCAGTCGGACTATTTTGCTAGTAGAAATGATGCACATGATGTACTAGCTCAATGTAATGGTACTGTGTGAACTTGTTCATTTCGGGTCAGATTGAATTAACAGAACTTGAAACCGAGGCTCACCCTGAAGTGTTGAACTTTGTGACAAACCTTAGTCAGTAGTTTTTTTCTCGAGTCGTTTGTTTTTAATTGTCCCTCATTCTTTCATCGCTCTCTTCCTAATGTCCCATCCAAGAACATGCCCCGGCAATGCAAACAAACATCCTGGAAATGTTGTCAGGGAAGCAAACCGAGCAAAACCGAGCACAGCGCCTATCCAAGGAAGAAGTTGCTGCTGAAAAGGCCCAGAAGCAAGCTGAGAAGGATGCACATGCTGCAGCGATAAATGAATCACATATGACAATTGCTGCAGCTGAGGATGCAATGGCCATCCAGCAGAAGACCGTGACAAACAGTCCCCCCAAGCTCATTCAGCCACACATCATCACCAGCAAGAAGAGTACACCTGTAGTTCATCGTGAGTCACAACCCAACACTTGAAATTACTTACCCAACCATTTCATATATAGCTTCTCAATCAACTACAGCTCCTCAAGACAATCAGACCAGTCAACTGGTAAAGAAGAAACATGCCGGGTTGAAATTGAACTTTTGGGACAGTGTTGATGCCAACCGCAAAGTGTCCAACAGTGGAGTCACGATTCTGACTAGTGACAGTGACACACATGTTGGAAGTACAATTGGCGATGGGAAAATCAAAACATCGTAAGTCTTCTTTTGACTGTGATGCTGATTCTAACAGAACTCACCCTATACTACTTCGATTACATCTGTGAATGCCGAATCAGCTCCAATCTCCAGCAAGTCATCAGTTCTGACCTAGAAGGGCCCATTCCTGACTGGGCAGACAAAGTCGCATCACAGACTCAATGGAAGCCATGTGCGCCACCAAGTACCCAAGCCTCTGTGAGGATCACCCAACGTCAACTTGCTGATTCTGACCTGGATCTTGATGATGAACCTGAAGAGTACAGTGAGCCAACACCGACAATGCAGAGGGAAAAGGTCGGTACCCATTTGAATTATGAACATGTACTCATGTAAATTAGAAAATTGTGCATGTGAAAGAGAAACTAAAACTTACATCGAGAGACAAGAAGCGCTTGTTCCAAAATGCAGAGCATTCTGCTGAAGAACTCGATGCTGCCGACGAATTCAATGCTGCTGAAGAATTTGAGATGATGCAGGATCCAGATGCTGCCAAGGACCCAGACACTGCCGAGGACCCAAACACTGCTGAAGCATTCGAGGATGAGGAGGCTGCCAAAGATGAGAGCTATGTAGTTTCGATGACGGATGACAGTCGATGCACCGTTGGTGCTAAGGCTAGCATGGCATGATGCACAAGCTCTGTAAGAACTTTTTGGCTGATTGCGAGAAATGACTGATGCTCTACTAGATGTCAGTTAACATCTCTAACCAGAAGACAATGAGACAGCATACCAAGGGCAAGGGCAATACCAAGGTCGAGGCCCGGGTCAAGACTGAGGTCAAAGCCCCAATAAACATATGCTCAAAAATCAAGAAAGGAAAGGCCAAGAATTCAAACTTATCTTCCGGATGCCTTGAAAATGGATTATGGCGTACAAAGTTTCTTCCATGCCTGATGTTCTGGGTTGGCAACAGCGACTATGGATGGTCCATACCGGAGAATGAACTTGAGTACGTTCTCGAGAACATATTTAATGCGGTATATGATTCGCGTAAACGAGCACCTTGTGATTTTGACGTTGATGGCTTTCCATTTCAACTGGTCTGCATTTTCGTTTTGGCTTATAATGGCTGCTGATTCACATTTCTTAGGCAACCAACACATTCACGAGTGGCAGGTTGCATTCGGTTCAACAGCTGTCAGTGTTCTGATGGCATTCTTTGCTTCAATGCCAGAATATGAGACTCAGGAAGCTTGTGAGGAATATGCTGAGTATCAGCTTCAAGACTGTCACTTCGTGTATGACGATCCTGATAATGACAAGCAGCCAGGCGCATCTCTGTCCAAGTACCTCTTGTGCATTTTTGCTGCCCACCTCACTGCAATCTCTGGCAAAGTGAGGGTGGATGCACTCGTTGAATTTGGCAAGCCTGGTTATCTTACTGCACTCGCGCTATCGGCTGTGTCAGTAAGTCTCCATTTTATTTTCTCTTTCTTTGCTTCCGTTAAATGCTGACTATATTTATAGGCTGAACGTGCTCTCATCTTGGTTCAAAATCGCTTATTAGTCGACACTGATCCCTCTGGCAACAGTGGTAAAACCCACAAGATTATACAGACGCTGAATGAGGCAACTAATTAGATCAGCCATACTGGAACAGTGTTTTCATCTGGAAACTGGGAGACGGATACCATGGCGTACATGGAGAGCATCAAGGATCTACCTCATGAACGTATCCAAGAAATCCTTACTCGAGCAGAAGGTTACATGAAGCATGCACTAGCGACACAGGTGATGAACCTTCTGGTTCCAATGGCTCAATTGCTCCAGTCAACAAATGCTCCCGCCTTCATATCTGTAATGTTCATTTTTCCTCTTTTTTTCAACCACTAATAATATTTATTTAACAGGAGTCTCGATGCATGATTTTTCGAGTACGTACTTCTCAGATCTTGTACTCACTAGAGTCACCTCACAGATACCATCATTCCCCATCGTTTTCCAGGTCGTTCATTGCCAGCCGCAGTCACTCGCTACTCGCAAACTATACCATGTTCCCAAGCTGACTCCATTTACTGTCAGATTCAGACGCTATGCACCAGCTTGCTTAAACTCTTGAATGTCCTTATTTCGCCTTAGTTTACATTTCTGGCCAGGTTTTTATGCTCCTTAATAGTATCGCTTTTGTGTCCTTGCGGGTCTTATATGTGCCAGTGGCCTTATTTTAAGGAGATGGACCTACTTAATCTCCTTATTTTGAGCAACGAAAATCTTGGCCTTAAGTCGAACTTAAGGCAAATAAGACACTTTAAGGAACGTTTAAGCCTGTAAAAGCACACTAACGTTTTCCTGATGCAGCAAACTTTGTTTGTCCACGACTGTACTTGATAAACACTGCATACATATTTGGCGGGAGACCCGATCTACTTGAGGAAGTACATACATCATAGATTACATTACATAATTGTACTATTCGACAGAGTCGAAAAAAGTGAGGCGTCATAATTCGAAAGATAGAAGTACAAGGCATAATTAATGAATGGCATCAGCTAACGAGGTTGGAGGTGTTGCTTCTCAGACTAGGGCATTCGTTTTGCTCTGCGAATGTTCCCAATATAATGGAGACGAACTAGTTGGTTTGAGTTCTTTGACGACATAAACGGGCAACAGGCCTGCTGATGGATGTATCGCAGGCCCACGAGGAGCACAGTTCAACCTGTAAACGCTTATTAGGAAGGTGTATCTTGCTTAAGATAAGCTACTTGCCTGGTTAAGTTAATATGCTGTTGCGGCTTTGGTGGGTAGATTCCGAAAATCCTTGCTACCCACCAGAAAGCTATGCTGTAGTTCTTCCGCGCTTCTGCGGCAAACCCAAAGAAAGCGAAAAATGTGAACGCACAGAAGACTACAAGCCACCGCGTGAGCTGGATGGCAACAACCAGGAGGTAGTTCGTTGTCCACAGAACAGACGGGTATTGCATGACACGCGAAAAGTCGTAGTGAACATTTTCCCAGCTGATCCAGGGCTCTACAGGGTGTGCTGCCGAGTTGATCCATATCATAAAAGACGCGAGGGGGATGGTGCATACTATTTCCGTCGTTGCGAGTGCCATGAGACGGAAGTAGCGACTAGCGCTGAGAGACTTGTTGGATTTCATAAAATGGGTGAATTGTGCACGGCGAAGGTAAAAAGCCTTCAATGAAAGACCTGCGGGAGGTAAGAACGCAGACATCAAAACACCGAGAAGAGGCGTACCACAATAGACCGAAGATACAAGGCCAATAATTATAGGCCAGCTATCACACAAGAAAAACGCTGGTAGCGTATTGTAAATGAAAGGGTAGCAGCCGATGTCTTCGTAAATATCAAAGCGATGGCCTTGTACGACATATTCTGTAAAAGGATCAGTGGGGTGCGTGCTGTGGATGAAAGCAGTGCACTCACGAAGCGCAACGACTGCCATAGGAAAAAGTACGCAAATTAGGGTGTCGATAAGGACGGCTCGCCGTTTCTAAAACAAGATTAACGAAGGAACTGAGGCTCCCTTAATGTGGAATCGTACCCCTTCATCCGTGAGTGCGACCGCATGGGTTTTCGCAATGTTGTATAGCCTGCGATTGATGCATAATGATGCGGCAGGAATGCCCACTGAGGCACCGAGCATTATTCGAATGGCTTCACAGAGTTTCAGGAAACAAGCAGCGGAAAAACAGTATAACATCACTTACAAATGTCGCACCAGATGGGTGCCCAGTTGATGGCATTGTTATGCCAAACGATGGAGTTGATGAACTGGTTGAGGCAAGAGAGTGCCGCCCAAATCATGTAATAGCACGTTCCCGAATTCCATGCTTGTAGATGCCATGGAAGAGGTATCAGCGCGACTACAAAGCCAAGGAAGGCGAAGATGGGGAAAAGAGGATAGTCCAACCCAGTCATAATGATGATGGTAGAGAGAGAGTAGAGACGGAGACCGTAAACGATAGCCTTATAAAAGACATTTTGTGTTCAACAATGAGATGTGGTGCACAATACATTGTGTCCTTGCTGTGGACACTCCATTGTCAATTTGTGGCTACGTGTCGGAGACAAATGTGGTACTTAGGTCCCAAATTTGGACGATTCACCGGAGACAATACCACAAAATACGCCTGTAATTATCGAACAATGGTGATTATGAGTTGCTATATAATATGGGTGGAGATTCCTTTGTACTAATATTCGTACCACAAATCTCGAGCCTACTACACCAAAGCGCTGCCATATGGATAACTTCATCACTCTGCTCGATTTGAAGCCGTCGCCCTTCGCTGGGTCATCACATACTACATCACAGCTTAATTGGAGTGATCTAACGCAACTTGAAATGCAATACATCGAACCCTCTGATTCACCACTGGTTGACCAAGACAACCTTACCACTTACTTTTCCAATTTCTGTGTCATTTTATAACGTTTGCAGTTTGGTCCCCCGTCACTCTGATGACCAGCGCGAGGTGTGTCTGTTGAATATCTCTTTTGATGGACGCCTTCCTAACCAGGTCTTATGAAAAAGGTAGCATATTGTATGCGCTGGTTTAGCGTCGAATTATTCTCATTCAGACTAGAAGCTCGCCCTCGCATTATTTATTCCAGAGGCAGGACTGGGAACTTCGCGCTGTCGCACGTTTTACTGTGACATGCAGCTTAAAGTGATCTATAGCACAGTGCTCAATTCTGTAGCTATACATTTCCTTCGACGCTCTTTCGACACACATCTAACTGCGACATATAGTAATAGTATGTCTATAACAGAGTGCTTCAAGCTTCATTCTGTGGTTATACCCCTCCTTCGACGCAAGTTTAACTGCGACATCTTTATCTATAGTACAGTACTTGATTCTGTGACTATCATACCCCTCTTTCGACGCATGTTTAACTGGAACCTATATCTGTAGAGTGCTTAGTTCTGTAGATGTACCTCTCCTTTGACGCTCGTTCTATTCGTTTTCGTGTTTACCAGCATGTGGATATACCCCTTCTTGGACGTGTGTTATCTTTGTTGCGTCGTTTACCTACGACGTTTCTATAGCACAGTACTTAATTATGTGCATCAGGGAAAACCTCCCTTCCGAAATCGAGGTAATTCCAAGTAATTCCTCTTTTTCGGAAGATTTCAAGTGAATTCAGGTTTTGCAGAATTATTTAAGTCTGGTAGTTTGTTTAATGAATTCCTTTGAATTCCGAGTAGTTTCTTTTGAATTCCATCAAATTCACTTGTTGCTCAATGGATTATTCTGAATATCATCCAATTCACTCGATGATCGGTCAATGTCAAATTACATGAAAATCAACATTATATTGCATTAAAATGGCGGATCACAATGTATTATACATGAACATGGGTATCAACAGCACACAAAGATGCTAGTGCTTGAATTAGATGCAACTATGATCAAGTCGGATCAGCAATAGAGACACAACAACCTTTAATCCTCGGACATTGCATTAACATCAAGGTAGTCAAAGTTGCTCCCCGACACAATACCCTGTAGGTATGATATATTAATATCTAGTATTGTAGAAGGCTGATGTTATATCAGAGCCTGTGGTCCATAGACCATGATGTATCAACTCGCTCACCTTTCCTGCAGGCTGTGCTGTGATGTATCACGTAGACAGTGATACATCAAGTCTGATGTCCTGCATCATGTGATATATCACCAGTTTGCGTGATGTATCCCCTCAAACACTTGCGTGATATATCACCTTCAAAGCTTGTGAGGCCCATGTGATATATCATTAGTTTGTGTGATACATCACCTTAAAAGCTTGTGAGGCTTGCATGATATATCACTTTCATTAGTTTGCATGATACATCACCGGTTTCTGTGATGCATCACCTTGGAAGCTCTACATGAGGCTCACATGATATATTGCTTGTGAACAGAGTTTGCACATCATATCACCTTCAAAGTTTGAGGCCCGCGTGACACGCGGGCCTCAAACGTTGAAGGTGATATATTACTGGTTTCTGTGATGCCATCACCTTGGAAGCTCTACACGAGGCTCACATGACATATTACTTGCAAACGGAGTTTGCACATCATATCACCTTCAAAGCTTGCATGATATATCACTTGTAAATACATAGTATATTATATACTCACCCTCATCAAAAGGAGGGGAATTGGGGTTTAACTAGGAATGAAGATCAACTGCGAGGGGGGCTTGCCATGAAGAGTTGGCTGCCCACATGGATTTGAAGTGGACAGCCATTTTTTGGCGTAGATTGGCCTGGCATTGGGCATAAGCAAGTGCACTCTCTCCGGCTTGTAGTGAGCTAAAAGTACGTTGTGAACCTTGCGTGTCCCACCAGCCAGCGTGCCAGTCGAGAAATGCAATGACGCGGCGCATTTCCTCACACAGTAACTGCACTTCTTCCTCCCAGCAATGAGCTTGCGCTCGTGCCTTACACCATTCAACACATAGTGCTATAAAATGGCCAGGTCAGTGAGAAGCACCAGTGGTTAGAGCGTACTTATAGTCCTGCAGCCCTAGCTCGTTGCTGTTGGAGCCTGAAGTCTTCCAGATCCACGATATACTTTGCTGCCCCATCGTTCGGCCATTGTCGTGTTTGAGTGGTACCGCATCCTTTTGCTTGTCGAGTGGCTTCAGGCTCCTCTCCCAGTTGTCGTTCTTGCCCAGCCTTGATGCCAGATTCAGAAGTGCGCCTCTAGAGGTGGAATACTTAAGTGATAAGGTGTCAATGCGATGTTCAGTGTTATTGATGATTCCGTTCGCTCAGGTATTTGCTCGCTGTCCTCAGATAAATGTGTCCTTATACTTGTAAAGATGGTATCGCAGGTTGAGCACAGTGCGGAGGTCATTCAGTGTGTCATACGCTTGAGCTTCATGCAACTCCAACTCATGTTCGAGCAAGCGGTCATCACATGGTACTCAATGGGGTAGAGAGGACGGCAGGAACAGGTTAATGTTGTGAACCTTGGCTTCAGTGGCAACGTCATATGGCAACCACAGGTGGGAGATGCCAGGCATATACAACAACTGTACCCGGCCCCATGTGTCAATGCATTGGCGAAGAGCATTCACCTGCTGTAAGAGCTTTCCCTTCTGAACATCTGTAGCATGTTGTCCAACCACCTTGGCATCAAATTCAAGACAGCGCCTAGAATAGAGTCAGTTTGTGATCCAGTGAAGTTCAGAAATGTCAATGCAACTGTTGATCTTCAAGTTCTAATCCTGATGAAATCAGTACTGATGGCGAGATATCATCATGTAGGGACACATCGTTACCGCGCTCAATCTCTGTGGCCTCTGCCATTGATAAGGCCAGACACACGGCAGCCTGAGTCATTGCTGTTGAAAACACCATCAGCTTCTCAAAATGCATTGAATAGAGTACATGTACTTGTCGTAGCTCTGTCTTCAAATGGGTTCGGTCGTGAACGGTCTTTCTCCCATGCCTCAATGTCCTTCCTCCATTCGGCTAGCTCATCTGTGGCAAGAGAAGCCTCGAAATTGGTGAGATCGTTGACACGTTCTTGGACCTCAATTAATGTGAAGTTGTACTTTTGGCAGAAAATTAAACCTGCGAGACAGAAACTGTAAGTTCAGATATTCAGTGAGAGGCCAAAAACTCACTCATTGCACATATCTTCTTCCAATTCCAATCATTGAAGTGGTTGTCTAAGGTATCACACCTTGAACCGGGACCCATTTCGCGTGTACTTGTAGCAATGGGGTTTATGTCCGCCCACCCGCGCTCTGGAGCTTCACCATCCGTGCGACCAATGCCCTTGATCAGATTGAAGGAGAAGGATGTCTGGCATTTGGTGATGTGGGCTGGCAGGTGAAATTTTGGTATGAGAAACACAATGGACTTTTCGTGGTGCTTGATGTGGTACTGGTGCGGGAAGGCGGACATACGTGTCCAGATATGCTTGCTCCATTGGCAAGCGATATCATACGATATATTTAATGCCACTATGTCCAATAAAGATCGCATGCTAGAGAAAAATAAGTAATCCATATTAAGGTACCTGTATTGTATTGTTAATAATAATATGACTAAAAAGTGAACATTATGCACTGTTCGCCCTTTTGTAAGTCACTGATGGAGCAGGGCCATTTGAAATTGTGTCGTGCGCAATTGATGGTACCAGCGCCAGTGGCCGTAAGCCCACATGAGACTCTTGTATCTGCAAGATTTACCGCATTGTGACTGGAGCATGAACTCATCTGCACAGAGTTATACTTAGTGCCCAGGACGAATAGAATGATGGATTTACCTCCTGGACAGCTCATTCTTGTGAACTGATGAAAAATTTGTAGGCATGTTCCTCTACAAAGAAAGCATATCCGTGATTGAGACCAGGATCAGCCATGGCCGAAGAGACGTTACGGCAAGCCAGACGAAAATTGGCGTCAATGCCCAGAAATAAGGCATATAAGAATCTGGATCTGTGTGAGAGCAAAGTCGGAGGGAAAAGATGCTAATTGTACATACTGTATTTCAGATGGTGCATTTTCCCATCCATCTGGCAGATTTTTTCCTACATGGGGACATGCAGGACATAATACAGCACATGCACCTGGTTCAGTTGCTGCAATACCTTTTGGGTGATGACCTTGACCAGCGTGTTGCATCTGCTTGATGAACCGCCACTCTCACATCATGCGCAACATAGATTCATAATGGTCCTAGATTGTAATATGACAAATTAGAAGAGAATTCGAATTAACATTAGCACATACCTTTGGTACATGAATTCCTGTATTGTCCGTCAAACGGGCAGCTGTTTTGTAAAATTCAAACATGGAAACTTTGGACTCGAAAGACAACATTTGAAAGTATTCCAGTGCCCAAAATGTCGTGGCTGTTTTGGGATCAACTGTTGTGGCAGGAAAGAGATGAACATGTAGTAGTTGAACGATGTGTAGCTGAGCAGAAGTGCATCCGCAGAAATCTAACCCCACTTTGTAGATACCGTTGTAGTGGATGATAACGAAGTTGTCATTGAAAGCAGGGAGTGGGTTGTCACAACAAACGCCAGAGGTGTGTCCAAGTTGCAAATGGATCCCCATGGACTTCGAGGTAATATCGTTGAATGAGATGCCATCCCAATGCTAAGTTTAGAACACAAAAGAGTTAGTTGATGTAAGGAATGTGAGTATCTATGCACATACCTCCATTTTATGAAATGGCTGTCTCTCATGTACACGGACCATACACAAATGACAGAACATCTCGGAACCATGACAATCCTGACAACGATATATCACAGCTTCCTCACCACAAACACAAACATCTTGCGAATAGTCGCCCTGACCCTCCAGACGGAGGAATTCTTCCAAGAACAAGTTGGCATCGGATTCCCATAAGCGCAAGGCCTCACCATGAACCACAGTGCATTTTTGCCTCGTGAATTCTACAAACTCTGGCGTGTCATTTTGAAGGTTATCAGGAAAGTCATTGAGAGTTGTAAAGTTAAACTCTGTAGTCTCCAGTAGGACTTCTGAATCTCCACGACGGCGTTTCCCTGGAGAATTTGGAATGGTGTAGTAGGCTGAAGAGACGTTCAACCGCCCACTTTGTCCTGTTTCAAAACTGCTGTGCTTGCGTTGTTGAACATCATGTGTGTGTCGAGGCACATCATTGGTATCGTTATTCACTGCTTTTGAAGCAGCAGCATTGTGCGCATAGAAATCGCGCTGATAATGCTTCAGGGCTTGCCGTCTCTGGCCTCCAACCATTTGTCGTCGGTGTTAGTGAGATGCAGTTCACAAATTTGGCTGGTTTATATTAAGACTTGTCTGATATATCAACCACAGTCTGCCAAATGAGTGAGTCGGCGAACATTGCCTCATCATAAGCTTCAACATCTCCTTCATCTATTATTGATATGACTTCCTTCTCTATTGCAAGCCGTCTCTCCATCAAGTCCACCAGTTCCTGGCTCTGCTTCAACAAGAGGTGATATCCAGTCCCAGACGTACATTTAAGTTGTTGTACGGCATCATGTAACTTGGTAGCATGCACCTTCAGACCCAGCAGAGTAATACATACATCATTCAACTCAGGGCATAGCACACTCCAACCCTTGTCACTCACTCTCTGGAGCACTGCGATAACACGAGATTGCATGATGCGTGCCTTGGGAACACCAGACTTGTACCCAAGTTCAGTGCTCAGTTGGTCTAAGGTGCGAAACAATGCAACAACATCCTGTTTGTGAAAGTGTAGATACATATAGCACTGTATATCAAGGAAATACGTACATTATTAAAATGACAACTTCGCACCTGCCAACGAGTTCGAGACTTTGCCTGCTCCGTAGTCTTATTGCTACAAGAAAACAAATAAAATTCATCAAGTATCTTGATAGACTCTGAGTGATTGAAATTGACCGTTGATAATGTTGTCATTTGCTCTGCAATTGAGCTCTGCAGTGTTCTTCTGCAGTTCCATATTTTGGTGCCATTGTGGTAATGATTTGAGGGACAAGGTGTATGTAGTAATGTACCAGTAATTAGTGTAAACAACTCACTGTATTGTTTGGTGGCATATGAGCCACACTTCGGGACAGACCTGTACTATGATAGACAATATAAAATTCAATTTTTGCAACGCGGATGACTTGGTGTCTTGCTGGATACTGGCCAGATGGTGGTGAGCTGGTAGGTAAGTGTCACAAAGTAATATACAGTTGTACAGCATTTGGTGTGCTTGCGCAAGAAAATGCTTTCGACAATATATTTTAACACAAGTGGCACTGAACAAAAAAAAACAAAAAAAAACATTACTGAAGACATCCTGAAATCAAGTTGCACTGTTTATCAACATCATCATGTGCCTTTGGTTATAATATATGACAATATCTTCTTCTCACAGGTTCTCTGATGTGACTCAACGGCAGACCTAGACTTTCTGATGGGCCTGTGATATATTATCGGCCATGCGAGAATCACTGTTGGCATGCTGAACTGAGCTTAAAGCTTATCAGATGATGTTGCTTGTGAGGCCTGGGTCATACAAGACTTGCATGTCTGATTCAAACATAAATATTTATCATGATTGAGTATCTAGCATATGTAAGAATGAAACAGTAAATCCCTGCGGAACCTATTCATTGGGGACACCCCATGATATTTTGAGTTTGCAGTGACAAACAGTACTTTCACGTTAGACCGTCTCACCACACCACACCGCCAAAGCAAGCCTGAAATACTCCTTAGCTTCATGGAGTGTGGTGAAGTAATGGACAGTTGTGCATGGGGCATGAAGCGTCCAGGTGGTAGATCTATGAATAATTAGATGCGGTTCAGATCAAGAGCAATAAAAAGCAACTGACATTTCACTGTATAGCCCCACACCAAAATGACTAGTGGTCACGAACCAGTTAAATTCAAGAGCAGGGTCGAGGTCAGCAAGTGTTTCAGTACCGCTCATACTGGACTCTCCCTCATTTTCAGAAGAGGAACTATCGAGACTGTTGTCAGCAGCAGCAGCCGTGGGGCCAATACAAATATCGTTAATAGAGACTTCTGAGGAAGTGTCCTCCTCTTTGGCCGGGGAGCGGTCTTCTGGGCTATGAGAGACTGCGCAATTTATGAGTAAAATGAAAGAGGAAAATGTATGCAAGTTCACGGTACCTGTTTGTGTATGGACTGAGCACACCTCATCTTCAGGTCGGTAAGGCCATCCATATGGTTTCAGTGATGATGGGGGAACTGTGTGAGACGCGATGGTGAGCAAGCACTTTGGTGATATCATAATGAAAACTTACCATGACCGTTCTGTACCATATGTATGGCCTCGATGAATTGCTCCATCGTGAAACACGGGTGGTGGAGCATTTGTATGGGTTGGTTGTGGAGGCATCTGACGTTGGAGCTGCTGTGGTCCATGTTGTGGGTGGAGGTAGAGAGAATTATAGTGTCAGTTCGAGTGCAAAAATGTATTTGTACCACTCACTCACTGATTGGTATTGCTTGGTTGTAAATATGACCGTATTCATCACAGAAAAAAACTTTGCAGCTGAGTAGGAAAAATCAACATCAGTGGGTCAAGTTGGCACCGCATCTCCCTGTTTGGCTCTGTACAAAACCGAGTGAAAAAAATAAGTGGTGAGTGAGTGAGATACCAAGCATAAATAACGGATACTCACCTTACATCCAGATGGTGCCCCCCAGATGGACAAGCACAGAGCAGTTACTCTGGCTGCAGAATGAGATGCCTGGATACTTGCAGATGCAAAAAGAGAAGAAATTGCCTCGATTCTTTGATTCATTGTTCCCAAGGTGGTTTAGCAACTTTCCAGAAGAGACAGAACTAAATGGCAGCCCACCTTGTGATGAGAACACTGGCATAAATGAGCCCAGCAGTGCAGGCATTGGGTCCGTTATTGACACAGCCCAGCTCAATTCTATAAATGCACCTGATTTAGTCGAACAAGAAGACAGCCAGTCCAACTCACCTCCAATGGGAGTGGCAGAACAACACAAAGTATGTGGTGTTCACATTGACCTAATTATAGAATATAACTTTGTTAGAAATTGTGGGAATGGTTCCGAAATAACTCAAAGCGAAAGACAACACCTGGTGGCAGCTCAACTGGTAGAGCCCTGTCTGTACTACTTGGCCAGCACGCACGAGGTACTCGAGACCTCAAAGAGATTGAAGTGTATTCCAAACTGCACTATGAGTCAAAAGTCAAACCGTTGGTTGAAGACACTCTTAAAAATAATATTGTGCAACCTACCCAAAGGCTTAGTACAGTTCAGCTACACACCACTGAATGCTTTGCAGAAGAGTCAGAAGACATTAAGAAAGAAATTCGGGAGGAGACTGTACGTCTCAATGCTTCCAGAAGATTGGGTGATATTGAGGGTCAGCATCCGAGAACAAAGGAAGAAGTTTATCGGTAAGTAAACATATTTGATTTGTATTACTAAGTACTGGTACTGATCACTCACCATTTATGTAAAGGACAATTCAAGAGCTGCCTTTGATTCTAGGTCAAGTTTTTGAGGAACTCTCAGCATTGACAGGTGGATGGCACTACACCATTGTCATGGGCGGAGCTGATCCGTTGTGTGAAGGTGACATCATGATGTTGAGGTATTTCAAATTCCCTCTTTGCGACCGTTTGTTGATTCATCAACAGTTACCACCATGGTAAAACTGCAGATGGTCTGAGCCTCAAGGCGTCTACCTCAAACTTCCATGAACAGTATCTATTACCATTTGAATGACACCTTGGATACATCCATGGTAAGTGAAATTCCAGGCTACACGACTCAAAATTTATTATTAATGAAAAATACCATAGGTCCATCTTCAAAGTGTATATCAGCACCCTCATCTACCCCGACCTCGTCTCATCTTGCGCCCGTTGGCCTCATCTCACTGGATGAATTTCCGAACAAGTCCTCACTTGGAGAGAATGTGATATCCGGGCCTGTGGTTGGTCCTTCTCTGTTGCAAGAACTTGGGGACTTAGTGTTGAATCCTTACATCAACCTGGACTTCGGTGGATCTGTGGGAGTGAACAAACATGGTGACTGGTTGATGCACGCTAGTAGCAGTGACCCAAACCTCCCATCTCCCCGTAACATGACGGACACGCCAATCACTGCTTGGAGAAAGTCAATGGCGCTCAATGAAGACCCGCTCGCATCCCCCACCTTTAATCGCATTCAACAACGAGGTTCAAGTGCAGAGGGTCCATCAGCCGAAGCAGTCCCTCCTTTCCTACCTCATCCATTGTCACCGCTTCATACCACCCTCTTGCCCCAGCCTTCTTCGTTCTTTGTGTTTCCTGCACTCGAGGAGGTCGACACGCTTCCCACGCTCCAACACCATGATCCATTAGCGTTCAACCAGCCCATGTTTAATTCAGGGCTACGCTCACCTCCAGACCAACCGATTCCGTTACCTTTGTCCCCGCTTGTATCCACAGCCTCCAAGTCACCGCATTCCAAGTCTGTTGAACATCAACCTTCGCCAGCGTCTCACCAGCCAACTCCTCAACCTAATTTGGAGGCGATGACAGTGTCCATTGACTGTCAATCTTCGCCAGCTTCTCACCGGCCGACACCTCACGACATTGTAGGTGTTTCTGCTGATGATCATCCTCAACCCAATTTGGAGGTGAGGACAGTGTCTTCATTACCTACCGCTGCCTCTGGCAGACGCTCGGGACACGCACCACGTCCTTCTATGCAAGCTGATGGAGCCAATAAAATTGGTGGCTATAACTCACAATGTGAAACAAAGCTCACACCAAAGAGGAAGCTGACTGAAGTCCAGCGTGGTGTTGGAGGGTCGAAGAAAAGGTCTCGGAAGTAGTTCCGTTGTGTTTTCAATGTACCTAGCTAGATAACATCATGTCCTGAAAATTTAGATGAAGTTGAATAATCCTAGATGTGAAATCATGTCAATGATGACCAGAAGAGAAAATTGATGTGATTGTGCAACGGTCCAGTGCTGTCCTATTAGTGCAGCCCCTCAAGAGGATGTATCCTACTGAGGGCATTAAGGTAGGTGATATATCATCAAAACTTGAACATGCAATTACTGCAGCTGTGGGAGGTGGGAATATATGATACATCATAGGTATTGCTGCCGCGCTTGAAAATGCATGATATATTATGTTCTGAGGTATCAAGGTAGGTGATGTATCATCAAAATATACAATTACTGTAGCTGTACACAGGGGGAGGGAATATATGATACATCATAGCCTATAGGTATTGCTGCCACACTTGAAAATAGTGATATATCACTATTTTCAAGTGTGGCGAGACCGGAAGGAGGGTATATAGAATACATCATATGTATTGCAGCTGTGCTTGTGTGTGACCCACTGAGGCAGGTGACGCCTGGCTACTAAGAAAGGAAGCATCACCCATCCAGTAGTTCAGAGGATCATTCAGCTCATTTTCAGTGGGTGATATATCATTAAAATATCCAGTAACTGCAGCTGCAAAACTTGAAAGTACCTGATATATCAAGGCTCTATGGCTGGTAGTATATCCTCTGTAAGTATGATATATCATGGCACTAGTATGATTGATGTATCATCTTCGGCTGCTAAATCCTCAGTAAGTACATGATATATCATGGCGCTGTGATTGATGTATCACTTTCCCACACATTGTGTCATAGACCAGGATATAACACCTCTCTTCTACTATGAGAGGAATATAATACATCATAATGACACTATTGCCTGTCCCCGAACCAGCCAGCAGTAACATGCTCTGCAACATGCTAACAGAGAGTGTGTGAATGACAGGCGCAATCCAAGGAACCTGAAACGCACCTGACAGCCTTGTAAAGCCATGCCATAAGTGCATGATACTTTTTTTCTAGCATTCAAAAATCCGAGTGAGGGTTGCAATGTGGAGGGTAGCATTGAAGGATTTGACTTGCGAGCTTGATGGTGGATTGCCACTCCTCCGGTCCATCAGTATAGACTAAGTCTGCGAAAATAATATATTTAGCATTGTCGGTCTACAATAAAAACACCTAAAAACCTATGATAGTAGCCACAGCACCATCAGCGTCAGATAAGTGGGCAAAAGGACAAGGTTAGCCTGACATAAGAAAAAAGGTCACACACATTCTGAAGCGGAACATGGCCATGGCACCATCAGCATTGGGTAAAGACAAGGATATGCACAGAGCAGGACATGGACACGGCACCATCAGCATCAAGTAAGCAGGTCAAAAAAGAGATTACACACATCCTGACAATGAGCGAAAACATTCAGTAAAGAAAAGAGTGTGAGCAACTCAAAGTAGTAGTGAGACAGAGAATGGACCTGCATGTCATTTTCAAACCAAACTTTTAAAATTCAACTGTGAGAATAAACTCGGCATTTCCCGCATTGATCAGAATCCATCTAAGTGTTTCACTCCTCAGCGCTGCGCTGTAGCTACCATTTACATTTTCAACTATTTTGATTATGCTAATGCTCTACACTCATTCCTGCTTGTCCACTTGTGAGTATTTCTTCTTATATGGGCTTTTGCCACTCATTTCACTCATTTTCAATCATTCTAGTTTGTGTTTTCATGTCTGCATTTCTGCGCTTGTTTGTCCCTGTCCACACTTATCTTTGGTTGCCTGTGAGTGTTCCTGCTTTTTTTCACTCATTTTCCAATTCATATAATTGCACTTGTGACCAGTGATCTTCCTCACTCATTCTCATTTGCCAGTTCTCGATGCTCAACAGTCACCGTTCTCATTCTTGTTCTAGTTGTTTTTTCATACTACTCCCTCACTAAACTAATATTTGATCATAAATTTCAGGGTATTGTGTTGCACAAGTCCATGCTGTCTTCACACTGACAAGTCATGCTGTGGCTGCCTTATTTCGCACACCTGCCAAGGCACCTACCCACTTTGCTTATGTGGAGTGATTCATGCCATTCAGGCAACCCAAAGCAAACCATGGTTTGTACAAAATTTTGTGCATCATTTGTAATGGAGAGCATCTTGTGAGCATCATCAATATCTCCGATATTCACAGGAGTGTACACCTTATTCCAAAATTTGGCCCAGTCATACCTCGCAAATGGACGAGCAGTACTGTTCTGGATCTTTGTTCTACCCTCTTTGTAAACTCATTGTTACACACTCAAATAGATCTGTTAGGTGGAGCCCTAAGAGGGGCGTCATCCACTAACATCTGTGATGTAACCGGAAGGATCCAGTGTAGTGACTGAGACTGGTGACGTCGAGTCGGCAGATATCAGAGACATGCAATGAGCACTTGAGAAAAGATACTAGAGACTGAAGCTGAGGGGCTTCAGAGGAAAGTATGTTCCTGGGAAGATTGAGTAGATTCAAGTTAGAGAATCTAGTACAAGGTGGCCAACTACTTATACTAAGTGGAGAGGGTTGAGGGCAAGGCTACCGTACTGTAGGTAAGGGTAGAGGGGAAATGGAAAGGGTATAGGTACGCTGGCAGCAGAGCCTGATTAGTGATGGGAGGTTGAATGTGGAATGAGACCAAGAAACGTTGGAACAAACCAACGGTAAAAGATACAATGTGCAGCACGCATGAGTCAGAGGAAAGATAAGAGCAGATAAGGCAAGCCACATTGGTGGTACGAGTCAGGACGAGTCATATCCCAAAGGCACGTGTGCATGTTTGTGTGGTAGGAGGGAGATGAGGGATGGGAACAGTCCCGAGGATCCGGTCAATGGATAGTTGGTAAAGGAGTATGAGCTGGAGGTAGGCGAGGATGAGGATGAAGGGGAAAAATGATAGGGGGGCCATGTAGCTGATGTTACTTGTAACACTCATTTAGTGACAGGCATGCTTATCTCACTATAATCTGGCTGGCAGAATTTACTCCAAGTTCATTGGAAATACAACAATTTCTGCTGAATCTGACCGGTAGATTTTATTACCTTTGAAATACAATGATTTCAGTTGATTTCGGTCAAATTAGCAGATTTTCTGGAATTCAGCTGTTTTACATGTGAGTTTGATGAGTTCAGTGGAATTCCCATGGGAGGTTTTTCCTGATGTGACTAATAATACCGCTTCATGGACCCACTGCTTGTGCAGCATTACATATTTCATTTGTGTAGTACTAGCTACTTTCTTACTAGTAGTAATTTATTTGTCTTTCTTGAATCTTGCTTATCTGCTGATTGTGGTTCTAGCTGCTGTTGTTCTTACTCACATGGTAGCTATTCATCAGAGAACTGGTGGACAGATTAGAATAATATACATAGGGATCCACATGGGTATGGGTAACCCGTGCAGGTCATGGGTAGTGTTGCCGCGGCTCCGGCTTGTTGCCGGTTCTAGCTGTGGCCTGAGCTAAAAATAGCTGAGTTGACAAGTGGTTATGGCTTGTGTAATTACAGTTCAGCCCAGCTCGAATAGTTATAGCTAAGTTGACTTAAGGGCTTAAAACCAACTCTATTAATAATATATTATATAAGCCAAAAATAGATTTACAATTTAGGACTCCAGTCATTGAGAACTGTGATGAGAACTCAGAGCAGATTGTCGATCACATTAATTCACAAACACACTCTACATTTACAATAACTTTATTGATATCAATGGGTCCTAGGCAACTGCACGGATGAACCCACGGGTGCCCGAAGTCATACCCGGACCCGGACCCGCACATATACTCAGACCCACAGCGCGGGTATCGGGTATCACAGCAGGTAGAGTGTATAGACACCCGGAGTACTACCCCTGGAGGGTATACCTGCGGGTCTCGCATAGAAATACCTACAGTAGGAACAAAATTTAAACAATGTATTCTACAACACAATAGCATCCCACCCATCCTCCATAAGCATCTCATCACCTTGAACATCAGCAAGAGCAGCAACAGACTGCACGTCCTCCATCTTGACGAGGCCAAGCTGGCTCCAATAGCCGAGACATAGGATTGCACGTGTCGTCTGGGCAGAGAGTCGCGAACGGACATGGGTGAGTAGAAGACGACCACAGCTAAACAGCCATTCAACATCAACAGATGTTGCTGTAAAGGAAAATAAATTATGAGCAACAAAAAAAAAACACGCACCTGGGATTGTGAGGTAATCTAGTGCCATTCACGAAAGACGAGGGTAGAGTGTGCGACGTTCATTCCACCATGCGAGTGCATTGTCGACATCTTCAACATCAGTGCTGAGATAGCAATCGAGTTCGTCCTGTAGGTCACTGTTTACTGGTGGGGCGAGTGCGGGAATGTTATCAAAGATATTCTATACAAGACAGTCAGTGAGCGAGTAGTACTGGAATAAATAATTTGACTTACAGTTGAGGACGCCACAATGCTGGCATCAGAATTATATCCTGCATCATCTATCTCCCCGTTAGCATTGTCAGTTGAGTATGAGCGGTCGAACTCTGCACGCACTAGTGTATGCACCAAGTCAATCCAACCTTCTTCCCATTTTGCGCATTGGAAGTAAGCTAATTTGTGGCGTGGATGGAGAACTATAATATAAGTTAGTTGGTAGGTACTGAAAATAAAATACAATTGGACTCACTCATTGCGATGCAGTAGACATCAGATCTGTCAGTGAGCTCATAGTAACGATTTAGAGTTTTCTTGGCAAGTCCTGAAGCCGCACGAATTGATGGAAGCAGTCGTTTGTTGAGCATGTGAGTTGAGAGTGTCTCGTCAATGAGATCCATTGCCGGGATCACTGTTGCAAGGCTTGGTGTTGAGCGTGAAAAAAACATGGTAGCATCTTTGAGGATCTAAATTATGTTAGCAAAATCAAACAACTCCACACAGTGCGCATGATGCCGGCCTCACCTTCAACATGTTGCAGAGTTGCTCAACTATACTCCATTCATCATCACTCAACTCAAACACCCTCAATCCCAATTCGCGTCTCTGCGACACTGCATCTATCGCCTTCCGATGGTTCAGAGCATATTCCAACATGTCATATGTGGAATTCCAGCATGTCGACACATCTCTCAGCAACATGCTAGGCTTCATCTGCAACTCACTCAAGATGTCGTTCCAGGCGGGGAGAAGCTTTGTGGTGGGGTGGATGATTTTGAATCCAAGTTTGCGAAGCTATTCAATGTGCGGTCAGCTGTGAGTTTTTTTATATTGTTGTGATCAACACACCTTCACTAGTGCTAACTGGACCGGAATTATCGTATTTCGTAGTTCTTCTCATTCGTCACTCATCAGCAGCACAGTTGCATCGACCAGACCCTCGGTGTTGTCCCCCACATTGTCATCATCTCCTGCAATCTCTGTGATGGTCACATAATCTTCCAGCTCAATATTCTCACTCAATTCCTCAAGTTGTTCCTTCAGTCGACTTTCCTCTGCCGTCAATGCAGCCTCATCATCATTGGAATTATCCTGCTTCCTCTTCATCAAATAAAACTCACGGATCACCGATTTTGCCATGAGATTGACCATGTGCAGGAAGCACCTGGTATGCGTCGCTCGTCCTCCAAAATTTGGCAGGTCAACAGTCAGTTCATCAATCATAGCGTCATTGTTCGACACGTTGTCGCATGTGACACAAAGAGTCTGCACCTTTGTAAGTTTGAATTTTCCTAAGTGTTCAAGTCTTTGCTTACCTTTTCATGTGCTACGAAATCTTCCAGGACACCCTGAAATGCATGAGCAAGTTGTTCACTGGTATGAGACTATTGTGACCATTATATTGGCATCAGCGCTTCAATGTTTGTAAGTGATTTTTACCTTTGAAACTTCAACGATATCTAACGGCAAGCACAGTGGTTCACCTTTGAACTCCAGGTGTGCCAATATGGCCACAAGGGCTCTATGGTTTGGAGAGGTCCACCCATCAGTACTGAAGTTAATCTTTCCTTCATATTCCTGGTTTGTTTTTCAGTCTTTGAATGAATCATAATCATGTAACTAAGCTTACACTTGTCATTTTAGCGATGCGTTGATGGGTTCTTGCAAAAACGAGGCAGACATCTTGCGAGACAGTCAAAGGAGATGGTAAGTAATATTCTGGTTGTCCAGTCTTCATTAATGACTGAAACCCTCTATCGCGAACGATTTCAAATGGATGCAGGTTTTCCGACACCCAACACACAATTTCTGCTCTGTCAAGCATGTCAGGCTCTGCTCAAGACACCATCGAGAGTACCATACCTTGTTTCGGTGTGGGTATGCTGACGGTGAGAGTATGTGATTTTTCCTTTACCCTTTCTTTCGAATGACGCAGTGATTGATCCATTTCTTAGGACACTGCCAACAATATTCTTCCAAACCTCGTCAACATCTTTTGCTTCATCTGCAGCCTTCAAAATGTCTTCTCCCCAACACAAGCGCATGTGTTTGCGCAGGTTTCCTGTTGAACGTGCATCACCTTTATCGAGGTAACACCTCACAGTGGCTTTGCAACCCTTGGCTTGGCACCTGAATTCATGCGCTCGCTGCCCATTCTGCTCACTAATCTTGGGAATTGGATGAAAGAATGCATACACTTGTGAGTTCCACTCTTTCATCAGTCATTCTGTTGGTGTCCAATGAATTGATATCATTTTTTGATAGGTTTAAACCTGCACTTAGCTCGTCTCCAGCACTTTCTTCTTCGTTCATGGGCACCACAAGTTCAATATCACTATCATTTGCATTGTTGTGCAACTCCTCCTCCTCCTCTGTTCGCACAAAAGCTCATCAACTTGGTGCAGCTGCTGCCTCAGACAATGCTGTGGCCTTCTAGGTGGTGCCACTATCTTTAGGCAATGCCGCAACCTTCTTGGGTGCCATTGCATCAGTACTTTCAGCATGTTAGTTCTTTTTCGCCTTCTTTGGCTGCACTGTCACATTATCTCCATTGGAATCAGCCTTCCGTTTCTTCAATGTTGTTTCTTCAAGGGCAGCCTTCGCTTTGACAGAGATCTTTGGGATTCATTTTTCAGTGTTGGACTGCATTGTGCGAGTGGATGTTGGGTGAATTTTGCTAGTATAGGTTTGCGAAAAATTTGATAGCCTTTGCCCGATTGTATTAGAGATTGACTTGTATAGTACATCCAAATATCATTCATTTGATGGACAGTAACTAGCTATCTTCTGAAAACCCGGGCTAAGGGTACGGGTACAGGTATGTGTGCCTTAATGTCAGACCCCTACCCCTACCCCAGCAATACCCGGACCCGTGCAGTTGCCTAATGGGTCCACAAGATAAAGTAAGTAATTCTGATACAGTGTACAACCACTGGTTGACACACCATCATTCCTTGACACACTCGGCCATAACTCATTAAATTAATGTTTGATCAACATTGTAATTCTGTAGTTAGGTCTATAGATACATCTAGTAGGCATGGAATTTTTTTTGACCAATCTCACTGAGCAATGTTTCACATATGAATGAATTCTTACCGAAATGTGGCTCAAAATGGAGCATCAACTTTGTAAAGGTAGTGTACTGGGCAATACAGGTTATCATGTTGCTACAAAAATGATGCAGTCAGTAGGTGACACATTCACCAAAGTGTGGACCATAAATTGTGGCAAAAGAATTGATATTTCACTGTGTCCGAACGTAGATTATGCAGAGGCCACTGAAGTGTGACACAGCAAGGCACTTAGGGGCGTGGGAACAAAAACACGTCAATTTGTATTGACACGTCAACAATGAACATGCTTTTCCCAGCCATATTTCCATCCATAGTGTCGTTCTGTTCCTGCTATAAATGGTCTATCATGCAAAATCCAATTCTGCGAAGAAGCGAGACAAGCACCATAGTGCTGCCTTATCTATGGCAGATGCATTAGCAGCATATATTGCAGAGCAGGCCAAACCAGAGAAAGAACGAGTAATTGTCGACTTCATCATTCAATCTGCGGACCGTGGCATCCCTCTTACACATGACATCATTAAAGGATTCAGGAGAAGAATTTGAGAGCTAGCGGTGAGGTTTGTGTTGAAGTGGATCGTGCGTGTGATAGTGTTATCGCAGCAACATGTGACATATGTCACACTGGTCACAGGTGTGTCAATGACAGGTTTCACTTGCCCAAGCTCAAATGCACTCCCATACATTATTATCATCACTTATTAAAATTCTAGTACCTCAGTCGTATATATTGAACTATTTATTATTATTCTAGCGCTTAGAAACTGCGATTTTCGAGGTGTTTGGTGTACAGGAGGCCAATTGACACTTGCTGTGTCAACCAGTGGTTGTACACTGTAATGTGCAAAAACTAAAATAAATCACTAGTTATATAGTACTGCAACTTGTGCAAGAAGGTTGCGAGAGCAGCGCACATCAGCACAAAACACGGAGAGACTCATTGAAAGGCAGCGGGGAGTCGAGAGAGCTGTTGAAATCCTAGGAGGAGGGGAAAGAACTGTTCAAATAACTCAGAGATCCAGGTGGGGACATTACTTGAGGCGACTTCTATGTCGCGGTTGTGGGGGCAGGAATTAGTGTTGAGATTGAAGAGAGGTATTAGTTGTGAACATTTGTAAATAGAATAGTCTTCTCGATTTAAATGTGAACTGGTGTTGTTATCGGTGATGATTGAATGGTGGGCAATGACTTGAGATCAGCGTGGTCCGAACTTGAATGAGAATTGATGGACTCACTCTGCAAATGGTAAGCAATGAGCTTGGATCAGCATGGTCTGAGCTCAAACAAGAATCGACTGACTCACTCTGTGAATGGTAAGCAACGAGCTTGGATCAGTGTGGTCTGAGCTTGAACAATAATCGACTGACTCACTCTGCAAACAGTAGGCAATGAGCTTGGATCAGCATGGTCCGAGCTTGAATGAGAAAAGGTAGGCCATTGGGCAGGAAAGAGTGTTGCAAGTAAGAAGAAAGGTTGTGACAAGAATGGATGAAGTTGAACAACAAGTACTTACACATTCAAAACCATCTCACCCCCCAAAATAACTACACAAAACAGAATTGGAGGAAAGGTGTATGGGTTCCTCAGTATCCTCTCCCATGGCACTTGCACTTGTCCTCTTCCTGGGACAGAGAATGATGGATGGAGTCGGGGGTGCTGGAATAGAGAGAGCGGGGATGGGAGGTGCATGTATTTGTTTGTTACTTACGAGAGGTGTTAGTTGAGGTTTAAGAAGGAAAAAAAGAAGAGGGATAGGGGACAAAGGAGGGAAGGATGTGCGTCAGAATCATGAGTATGTGATCAGTCTTCAGAAACATAACCTATGAACACCAATGCGCACCCAACCAGAATAAGAAATGAACAGTGAACGAAATGGAGCTACAGATGAAATGAAAATGAAACTCGGACAAAATAAGAACCACATGAAAAGAAGGGGCGATCGATAACACACACCTCTAACTAACACATCATGATGCTCAAATGTAATGGAAGTAGCGAGGAGGGAGAGGAGGACCATGATAATGAGACTAAGGGGGTAACACAGTCTGTGTATGAGATCATTGGCATTGGGAGTATTGGCATTATGTGAGACGCAACACAGATCCCCTGTACAAGAAGCAGAAAAATGGAAGACCAAAACAAAACAAGAAATCCATAAGCTTTGCTAAAGCAAACAAGTGAAGAGGAAATGTACCCCAACATCTCAAGCCTCTCATCCCCCCAATGATGATGATGTCCGTCATTTCCTATCTCACCTGCACCATGCAGACCCAGGCCTTGCATGATGCCCCCAGCTGCATTCAGTGATGCATTCAAAGCTAATATTGATGCAGTAAAGTGGAGGGAGGGGGAAGGGCGCCCATGCCTGTGCCCATGTCCATGTCCTGCAGAAAGTAGAATATGTTCAACAGCTTCTTTGGCTACATACGTGCCTGAAAACATGAGGTAGACACATTAGGTGAAGAGGAGAGTGGTTTGTGTGTGTGCTGGGCTGGGTAGGGGGTTAGTTTGGGCGGGTAATATGGAAGGGTAGAGAGGATACAAGGTTGCAAGAAACATAAATATATGTGCAGTTGTGCAAACAATGAAGTGATATGTGTTACAACATGCTACACGAGCCCCCAGCTACCAGCCTGCCCTCTGCCACCTTGCACGGCAATGACACAATACCTGGACCTTTAGGTCTTGATGATAGATGATGATAGAAGAAAAGCCCGGAAGATGCTGGCTTAGATAAATGGTCTGGACCGCATATGACGACATAGGTCTAGAAGACCTATTTATGTTATCAAGATAGAAGGCAAGCCTCATGGTTGCCCCATGCACTGATAGAAGGACGCCTCATGGTCCTTATCCTAGATAGAAGCCTGCCTCATGCATGGTATCTCTGACTCGATAGATAAGCAGATTAGAACCCAGCTTCAAGCTGAGCTTAGATACGATAGAGTAGCCTTATATAAGGTCGATGATTAAAGTAGATGTTCCTTACTTTAATTTTACTGGGTTTTACCTTGAACTGCTTGTCTTGCTAAAGCTACTTGCTCAACATTCGATCCGCACCTTCAGAAGGACTTGAGACCCCTTCTGCCTGTAACCACTACTATCGCTTGCCTCTGCTAGCATACGCAACTCTTGCTTGTTTGGAAGAGCCGACCTTGGACTCTCAGCATGAGGTATCACTGTTGTGATCGTCGCTGTTAGATTCATCCCAGTTCGCATACGACGACGCACTGTCGTAACAATATGTGCATGGGAACGACTGGAGAGCAAAACTCACCCAAACCCATCCTTGTTTCTACCAAGAAAAGGCCCGCCTGCTGTGATGCCAAACACATCAAACACGACTCAATAGCCTAGGCCTGTACATGCCAATGACCTGATAGCCTGTCTGCACACCCAGACCAATCTGCCCAAGCAGAATTGCAGCATGCATGTAACTCATGCCAAAAGACTGTCTTTGCTTAGATTCCAAGAAAATTGGTTATAATAAGGCAAGGAAGAGGATGCAGGGGATGCTGAGCTGGAACAAGAGCTGGTGCCCATTGTGAGATTGACTTTGCTAGAGCTTACGCCCTCCCCACCTTGGACGTTGCTCACCACACTCCATGGAGACATCAGAGCAGGGGTAGGAGCCATGTGCAATTCCTCAGGTTTTGTTACTGGTTGTGATTGATGAACAGGGTCAAGGAAAGAAAAGAAGTTATGAGAAAAGGAATGTTTGTGATGATGGCCTCTATGTGCTATCACGCTAGCTGGCACTGCACCTGCAGAGTTTGACTTGGAGATAGAGCCTGAGGAGCCGAATGAAAAAGAAGCTGTATGATCATGTCCGATCTGAAGGGGTTCGCTTTGAGATGCAGGTATATGAAGGTCGATTTGGGATTGTGAATTGATATTTGAGGCAGATTCGACGTCTGTAGGGAGATCTTTAGAGATAGTTGTGTGTGAGCTGGGAAAGAATATTGATAGGTTGCGCGAATGCATCTGGTTGTGTCTTCGTCCGTGTCCTCTGAGTCCTTCTGGAGGGTCATCAAGCTGAGCTGATTCAAATGGATGAAGTGGGACATGGAACATGTTGGCGAGTGGGGATGGCATGGGTGCCATGAATGGACCCAAAGATATGCCTCATACTTGACCATGAGATGCATGGAAGGGCGAGCTAGGCGGTGAATTTAAAGAAATGCTAGGTGGATGTCTACCTGTGTAATCTGTAGTATAGACTTTAATGAACACTTTTGAGATTATTAAATTGACTGAAAATCTATTCGAAATAATGCTACAATATATATACTAAGGTATGCTAATTGTAAGTACCTGGTCCATGTATGTGTAAGCACAGACTTGTCTATGGTCTGTGCTATCGATGACAAATCATGTCCATCTTGGACATTTCCAGTTATTAGTTGTTCCCTACATTATTCATCTATGTATTTATTACTAATCTTTCTCTCCTGTGCTCATACTCTCATCATCATGCACTAACTCTAACACTCCCCCTCAAGCACAGCTTACCTTCATTTCTTCTCTCAATCTTTCCAATCTCAGCTTTGGCAGTGCTTTTGTGAAAGCATCCACGAGGTTTTTGTCTGTTGGTATGTACTCTAATTTATCGTGCTGTTTTCAATAACTGACCAGATGAAATGATAGTATATGTTGATATGCTTTGTTCGAGCATGGAGCTTGTTGTTCAATGCGAGGGCAATGGCGCCTTGATTATCGGAATAGATGGTGATAGGTGCATCTGTTCTTTCATAAAGTTCTTTTAGTAATGACTGAAGATATAGCACTTCTCTTGTGACAGACATCAATGCAATGTACTCAGCTTCTGCAGTCGATAGTGCTATTATTGTTTGCTTCCTTGCACTCCAGGCTATCGGCGATCCATGCAGCAGGACCAAGTACCCTGATATAGAATGCCTGTGGGCTTGACTTGCCCTGTCCACATCCGCATAAGCCTCCAGGTCTTCTTCTTTTCCTCCTAAGGTAAGCTTTGCTTTCTTTGTTGCTTTCAGGTAGCGGATGACACACTTTGCTGCTTCCCAGTGTGACTTTGCCGGTTCTCACATGAATTGCAACAGTACCAACACTGCTAGTGCTATGTCTGGCCTGGTGCAGGTTGCTGCATACATTAGCAATCCAATTGCTCTCTGGTACAAGACATGTTGTTCATGTATTTCAAGTTTGGTGCCTGGCGAATGGTCTGACTGTTCTTTCATCAGCTGTATTCCAGTCTTCATAAGAATGTGTGCTGGTTTTGTGTCTTCGAGATAAAAATGCTCGACAATGGTGTCAACATACACTTCTTGTGATAGCATTATGGTTCACGTGCTTCGGTCTCTCTCTATCTTGAGACCCAACAACCAGGTAAGCTCCCCCAGATCTGTAATCTCAAACTTTTGACACAACTGATCTTTGAACTTCTGTATATGTTCTAGATGCTTCGACATTATGATGGTGTGCTTGTCCTGCTCCCTCCGATAGTACACTGCTTGATCGACTTGTGAGCGTGTATATCCAGCTTTGAGGAAAAATTCTTCTAGCTCCTTGGACCACTCAAAACTGACTTGCTTTAGGCTGTACAAGCTTCTCAACAGCCTCAAGACCTTTCTCTCATCTCCTTTCTTCAAGTATCCAGATGGTGCCTACATATACACATCGTCCTTGAGTGTAGTGTTTAGGCAAGCACCCTTTGTATCTACTTGGTGCATTTCCCAATCATTTCTTGCAGCCATCGATAGGACCGTTCATATGGTCGTCATATTGGAGGTGGGTGTGAAGGTTTCTTGATAGTCTATTCTGTATTCTTGTCACTGACTGTTTGCTACTAGATGTGCCTGGAGTTTTATCTTCTCTCCATTGGGACCTTGCTTGGTTGCCAGTATGAAGTGGCATGGTATAACATTTGCATCTCTAGGTGGGTCTATGATTTCCCATGTTCCTAGTTTCTCTAACTGACCAATTTTGTAGTCCATAGCTTCTTGCCATTCCTCTGCATCTGGACCATTTAATGCTTCTTTAAGTGTTGGTTCTTTTTCTGCAGCTGCCATGGCCATATATAAAAAAGAATCTGATTGAGTGTCATCCAGTGAGTCTTCCATTGCTATGGTCGCTCTTTCTCCTTCATTCAATGCTTTGTAGTATCCTGCAGGGGGTTGTACTCTTGTGGCTTTGGGCATTATTGGATCTGGCAGTCTCTGTATACCCTGGTGTGGCATTTTGGGAGGTTGTGTCATATCCTGCATTCCAGACCCAGACCTATCACACACATCATTTCTGGATTTCCAGATCCAGCTGACTTCTATCTATTGTCTGGATCTGACCTGCATCTATCTTCCATGCCTTATCCCTTTGTACATTCCTTCTCCAGTTAGACTATACTCATTTTCTGTACCTCATTTCATCTCTGCCTTTATTTTCCTATGTTCTCATTTCTGTCTTCATTTACTATTTTCAAATAGACTAGTGTTAGACTTTTCTATATCCTCCGTCCACAGCCTCGCATAGCTTTGGACTGCGCTGACTGATTCTCTATTAAGTCCTCAGTAGTATATAAACCCTGTAGAATCTTTGTACTTCCTTAGTTCGAATATTATCTTAGACTCTGCTCATCCCCTCCTCCGTCCGACTTGAGTTCCCTCCTGTCATCCTCTGCTAGTCTTAGGATTGACTCCTATAGACTTGTCACCTCTGCCTCTACCTCTGGTAGTCCTCTGCTGTTTCCTTTCTAGTTCGGACATCATCTGGATTAGTCATATCACTTGTTCCCAAACATCTGTTGGAATTCCCGTGCATCGGACATCGGACTCCGGACATCATCCAACAGCCTTCAGAAGTTAGGGGCACATACTCGGGTAAGGGGTGCAGCGCATGAGCTGAAGCCAAGCCCTTTGTATTCAACCCTTGAGCATGTTCTTAACAGGTTGGCTTGGTGCTTGGGGGACTTGGGGGTGTACAGTCCAGCAGTCGAGCTGTAGAATGCAAGGTTGATCGGATGGTACACCCAGCTCCTCTTTTTTCTCCATCCAAAACAGGACCAGAATATCTGTTACATACATACACATCATTTCAAAGGTAGACCAGTATGTGTCAGTCTTTGAGCAGGCAAACTGGAACTTCAAGTTCATTGCTTTGTCATACGAACGAGCATATATGGAAGGAAGGAAACACTTCGACTTCCCAGTCACAATTATTTACCATGGCAGCAAGTCGCTGGCAGCTGAGATGCCAGCCAAGAGTGTACATGCTTGTTTCTCCTCCTGGCCAATTATATCAACCTGCTTTGAACCAACAACTTCATAGGTATAACCACTGGCAGGCTGGTAGATGATATTGGTTTGGTCAATGTTGACTAAGAACTGGGGGAAGGTGATCATGTCGTTGCGGATTGTGAGCGCAAGCCGAAGGAACTGCTCATGACAGACCTCATTCAAGTTGGTAAGAAGTTTCTGAGCTGCACAGGTTCCTTTACGCATGGTGTAGCGCAAGTTTTCATACAAGAACATTTGCACCCAAGAGTCGGAATACTTGAACATCGATCCATTGTAAGCCTTTGTCATGAATATGTAAGGGATTCTGTAGCGCAGCAACCCAACAATGATACCATGGCAGTGTGATGTGTTTAGAGTGATACCAACTTGGCGAAGAGTTGAAAGCTGATCGATAATGGCTTTCACTACATCAGGATAAGGGGAAAGTACATATGTTGGTTCGTGTGACAGTGCTTGATGCTTGATGTCCTTGCTCTGCACATGTGATGACAGAGTCTTTCCATCATGGGTGAGTCCCAGTTCAATCAATCCAATATCTAATGACTTGTGGAGTAAGGGTCTCATACCGTGGATCCAATTTCTGAGCGTGATAACAGATGGCATGTGGAGACATGCCTGGTCCGCCACTGAGCTTTGCAGCTCACAGGATTATTGGCCACAGAATTGGACTCTGCCAATTCACTTGTTGTGCATCAGTTGGCACTTGAGTATGTTTACGACCACCATGAGTAGGTGGTCTTTTCTGGCGAATGTTCTCTTTAATGACATGGTGTGGGCGGGATAACTTGGCGAGTGAGTGAGAAGGCTGCGAGCCAAGGCTTTGCACTGGTGGCTGCAGTACATCATTAACTGATTGTAGTTTGTTCTTGAATTAAATGAGATTATGTCTAATGAACCGTTCAAAACAAGACTTACATTTTTCACTTGTGCACAATGGGCACGCTGGCGATCTCGGTCACAGGTGCATTTCAGGAGTTTCTTTTCTCTTGCTTTCAGTGTTGCACTGAATTCCTCTTCCTCCCGCTCATCACTGCGCACAAGATTCTCCTCATGGACAGCATCAAGATATTCTTGCCGTGAGATGATGCTAAAGTGCCTAAGCAACCCGGTCCTGAGCTGAGACGGTGAGACTCATAGATCTAAGGAGACATGCAACTTGGAGGGTGGTATATTGGAGGAAATGTGGGAGGCAGAAGACTCGTAGGAGAAAGGACATTCTGAGAAGGATGTTGGTTGGGACAGAGAATCAGACGGAGTGTGACAGTCATTGTCGGAAGCAGAAAAATGACCCCGGAGAAGATAGATGAGCTCATTGATGCACAAGAAATCTTTCTTGTTGTCCATAAATAATGGGACATTGAAGAGAAAATGATGAATTATGTTGATCATTGCAACTGCACATGAGTGTGAGTCAACCTGCCTGCCATGGAGTAATACAGCGCCTTTGGACAATGGTTGGAAGCCATGCTCCCACAGCCATCATTGGATGAGATCAATGTCTTCCTTTGGCAACGACCAATCCAATGAGTCGCCGTAACGGACCTCTTGTTTCTTCCCATCAATCAGCAAAACAGTCTAATGTATGCCACTGACATTCAGAGGGAATAGGATATGTGTGAGCTCTTCATTCACCAAGGAATCACCAAGCTGACAGAGCCTTCTAAAACACTTGTCAATTGAGTAACGACTCCATCGCTCACAACTGCAACGTAATGTTTTGATGAATGTCAGATCTTCGACAATTGTTGTCTGGCAAAGCTGGGGATTAAGCTGGATGTGGAGGGATATCTCGTTCACCATTGCATCAACGAAGCAGCCCTTCATTGGTGTGGATGATAGGAACTCTGCAAGATCGAGCACCTGCAGTGATGCAGCCGGGCCATTAAGAGTAGTACCCCACCCAAGTACCTGAAGACTACTAAAAACCTCGTCAATGGCAGCTACAAGATCAGTGTCTGCATTTTCTCACTGGCCTGCTAGCCAATCATGAGCCAGACTCCAGTGCTCTTTCGCTGCAACAGCACACCCTAAGTCATGCCAATACTGAACTACCCAACATGGAAGATTACCCGGAAACTGTGGATCCTTGATAGATTTTGTGCCATCATGATAGGCCTGACCGAAGATATCCAGGAGCTGAGTGGACAGACTGAGTGGTGGAAGGGAGCAATCCAGGAAGTCAGCCGGCACAGCATTTGCAATGTAGTGCTCAGAAGTGAAAAAATGATGCAAGTCGGTCACCATGAGTGAGTGATCAAATGGTGGCAGATTGGTGAAGTCAAGAAGAGCCGAGATGGGCAGGTGCAGAGCTGGAATAAATGAATTGTAGCATAAAGGAAATACAAGCAGATGTGCATAATCCTGTTGCGGGTCAAGAGAAAGATCAATAACACTATCCTGGGTGGAAGAATTCATGGTTGGTTGAGACAGGGACGTTCAGACCAGACAAATAAACTTACAACTATATCAATGTACCCTCGCATTCAATATTCCACTGAGACATTGCAGAAAGCTAGAAAGAAGTCAAATATGTTGCAATCTCTGCCATCAACTGAGGATCAGTTGAGCTAGCCAATCCAATTCAGACACTCCCAGTCCTCCAACCTCCAGGGGTAGTCCAACCACCTTAGCGAATCTATTTTAAGTTTGTCACAAGTCACAGTGGTGAATGAACATGCGAACCTACCATTATGTCATGTCACACCACAACCCCCACGAACCTAAGGTTGAATGTATACAGTACATTTGTTGTCCGAATTTGTGTGCTGCAGCTAAATTTGATTTAGACTTATGCATTAATTCAAACAATGTTTGTCCTGGGATGGCCTTTGGAGGTAAGCAGTTTTTAAGCCAAGTAGGGTAATTAATGGCTTTGGCCCATAGAAATTTTGGCAGGTCTTTTGCCAATAACATGGCCCATGCATGTTCAACCAATGTCCAATTGAGGTGTTTGGCTATGCCATTCTGCTGCGGAGAGTCATGTACTGTGAGTTACCTTGTTATTCCTTGCTTCTTCAAGTACTTATCGAATTCATTACTCATATATTCTCCTCTGCAATCAGATCGAACTTTGTGCAGGTGTGCCCCACGTTTTCTGCTGACATAAGCTTCATACTGTTTGAATGTGGTGAGTGTGTCACTTTTTCTCTTCAAAAATGTTATCTTCGTCTCCCAGCTATAGTCATCAGTAAAACTGATGTAATATAGACATCCACTGATTGTTGCTGTCTGTGTAGGTCCCCACAAGTCCGTGTGCACAAGTTCTCCATAAGTCTTTGCACAATTCTTTGTCTCCTTTGGGAATTGCTGACACGATGCCTTTGCTTGTGTGCAGCTCTCACAATATTCTGGTTTCTAGTTTAACTCCAAATCTATTCCTCTAACTGTTCCCTTCTTTACAGCTTCAAGTATCGCTTCTTGCAAGATGTGTCCTAGGATGTGATGGGCTTCAAAAATGGTATGTTTTGTTCTTGCTACATTTGCGCTATGTGTTGCTGATGATAAGATTCGATATAGTCCATCTATCTGTGGGATTTCAGCTATGGCTTTGTGCTCTGGTACTGAGGTGAGTATTTTGTCCTCGAAGTGCACTGTGAAGCTGGCAGTAGCAATCCTGTTGGCTGATATCAGCATAAACACCATCTTCAGCGTGTATAGGGTGTCTTTGAGGGTTACAGTAGTTCTCTTCATCCCACAAGGTAAGTCTATCCTTATGTCCCTTTTTCCTATAGCACTGATGGTAGAACTGTCTGCAGTGTGCACATCTTGTGCTTCAATGAAGGTGAACATTACGAATTTCAATTGGTCTGGATAGAAATGGGATGTTGCACCTGAATTGATAATGGCTCCTCATCTCTCGGCAGGTATGTTGATCTTCTTTGCCGCATTTGCTAGATCTGACATGACAAAGGCATAATCATTGACTCTTTTGATCTTGTCTGCCATATTAGTGGTTTGTCTTGGCGCCTTTCTTCCTTGTCTTGGTCCCTGACCTTCCTTCCCTCCTCCAGCTCTCCAGCAATCAAATTTATAGTGACCCTTCCTGTCACAATTGAAGCAAGTGATATCTTCACTCTTGCTCATTGAGGTACATCCTCTTAGCGTGTTTGTCCTTGCTGTAAACGCACTATTATTCCCTTTCTTCTGTATCTTGGGATTGGTTATCTGCTGATGTTCATATTTTTTCTGTGATAACATTTATCAGCTCATACAAGGTAAGCGGCTGCTTCATTATGTGCACTGTGGCATTTATTGATGAGAGTATTGGTCTGTAGGATTCTGGTAATGATCCCATGATAATGGTATAGTAATCTCTCTTGTCTATGCTTACTCCTATTCCTGCTAACGATTCTTGGATCCTTAACAGGTCTCCAAAATGCGCCTTTACATCTCCGCCTTCCTCACATCTGGTGTCCTGGAGTTTTTATCACAGGCCCATCTGGACCACCTCCGTCTTTCCTTTGTGGATGTGGCATACTTCTGTCCATATCTTTGAGGCTTCCCCAAGGCTCTAGATGTACAACAATAGTTGGTCCGAGACTGTACTAAATCTATGTTGCTTGATGAGTGAGTCCTTCTGTTGAAACTCATCTATCTTTTTCTCCTGTTCTTCTATCTCCATCTGGGTAGCTACTGATTTGTTTGGCTTTAGTGCTTGTCCTTGCGAGTCGATCTCAAAAGGTACAGGCTCCTTTATCCTACCATCAAGATAGCACATCAAACCTCACGCTTGTATCACTGTTTGGGCCCTTTTCTTATAGGTTATCCAGTTTGTTCTGTCATTGGAAAGCTGGGGGATGTTATATAGTGATAAAGAGCTGGGGAGCATCGTATCCATGGTAGTAGCAGGGCTCATAACCTTTAATCTGTAGTATAGACTTTAATAAAGACTTTTGAGATTATTAAATTGACTGAAAATCTATTCAAAATAATGCTACAATATATATACTAAGGTACACTAATTGTAAGTACCTGGTCTGTATGTGTAAGCATGGACTTGTCTATGGTCCATGCTATCAATGACAAATCATGTCCATCTCGGACATTTCCAGTTATTAGTCATTCCCTACATTATTCATCTATGTATATATTACTAAGCTTTCTCTTCTGTGCTCGTACTTTCATCATCATGTACTAACTCTAACAACCTGTTGGTTGATGTGCTGGTATTCCTGGACCAAGCTGTGGTTGTCGAAGACTAGCAGGCACTGCTATCAATGTAGGTGCCATTATTGGCTCATTGTCTAGTATGAGCACAGACGTGTATGAGCTTGGATCAGCGTGGTGCGAGCTCAAATGAGGATCAACAGACTCACTCTGTGAATAGTGAGCAACAAGCTTAGATCAGCATGGTTTGAGCTCAGACAAGAATCGACAGACTCACTCTGTGAACGGTGAGTAATGAGCTTGGATCAGTGTGGTTTGAGCTCAAACAAGGATTGACATACTCACTCTGCAAACAGTGGGCAGCAACCTTGAGTCAGCATCAAACGAAGATCAATACATTCAGCAACTGCAAACGGTGGACAACGACTTGAGTCAGTATGGCCCAAGCTCAAATGAAGATCAACACACTCACCAACTGCAAACAGTGGACAACAACTTAGGTCAGCATGGCCCAAGGCTTCTTCATATGCGTGGATGGCAGTAGCCACAGCTTCTTCATATGCTTGGACAGCAGCATTCACAGCTTCCCTGACAGCATCTGCATGTGCAGATATCAGATACTGTTTGAAAGCAACATAAAAAAGGGAACTGACTTTTGCTGGTAATGAAGATAGTGCTGCTTGTCGAAAATGTAGAAAGAGTGTTCAAGGATAATGACAGCAGCTAAATAGTCAATAATCAGCAGGTTCATCACAACATCAGTCAGTGAGAATGAGGTAGAAATAATATACCCACACCCTAACAATAAATCAGCAATTGTATTGGTAAGGAAGGCAGGAGAGGACAGAGGATGACCACACTCACAAGCTGTCAATGTACCGACAATATCTTCACTCAGTAGCTCAAGGTCAGTAGAGGATGAATGTACTGACCTCCTACCAATAGATAATCAATTGTGTTGGTCAGGGATACAAATAATCAATGAACTCACATCCTATCAACAGATAAGAAGACTTAGATTTGATGGACAATTGACACACTCACAGCCTGTAGATGGTGGGTAACAACTTAGATCAGCATGGCCTAAGCTCAAAAGAGGATCAACACACTCACAGGCTGCAAATGGTGGGCAATGACTTGGATCAGCATGGCTGTTGCTCAAATGAGGATTGACACACTCACTCCCTGTGAACAGTGGGCAACAACTTGGATCAGCATGGTTGTTGCTCAAATGAGGATCAATACACTCACTCCCTGCGAACTTTGATCAGTGGGCTGAGCTTAAAGGAAGATCAAAGCACTCACATATCATGAATGGTGGGCAATAACCATGGCATAAAGCCATTGTCGCAGTCAGTGCTGATGCCTAGTTCAGATATTAGTTAGGGTGAGACACCCATCAAAAAGAAAAATCAATCAATAGTCAAGGTCATTGATGACAAAAGTAGTAGCAGCAGTATGAGCAAAAACATAGAAATAGTAAAGGTAGCAGTATAGAAAAAAATTAAGAGACACATATAGACGTTGTTGCGATATCATCTGGAACATCATCACATTTGTCCTCTGCAATGACTCTGAGAAGGGCCTCACAATTGCGACTGCCAGAAGTTGTTGTGCTGATGGCAGATATCAGTATGTCACTACAGCCAGATGCCAAGAGATCTTCATGGCTCGCTGAGCCCATAACACACATCAAGTCATACTCCATATCCTTTTTGGATGCTGACCAGCCCTTCATGAAGTGGAGTCACTCTTTTTCAGCGTGAACTTGGTCATTTGCAAGGCTTCCATCAAGTAAGGACTAATGTGATTGTGTTTCTTGGTGAATGTATCACTGCTGGAGGAAAATATGTGCTCACATGGAATGGCAGAGGCTTGGATCAGGAGAAAGTCCATGGCAATTTTATAGAGTGTTGGAAAGATTGATTTCGAAACCTAGTCCACCATCAGTACCTCATCATCAACAAATCCTGTAATAGACTCTTACCATCCAAAAAGATAGAAGATCTGTCTTTCTGGGACTAAGAACACCTGTGCCATAAGCATTGAACTCGTCTTTGACTGATTGAGAGCCACCCTGGTGACACGGCAGTAAGTCCAACTCAGGAAGTCCATAAATCATTGAGCCTAGAGTTGCAGGGTGTGGCTGACGAGTCAATTCATTGGATTGCATGGAGACATCTGTTGTTCTCTTGCTCCGCATCTGTGGGACATATCAATTCAAAGTTTGGCTGTTATTATTATCTGGCAGACATACCAGTTGGAGAATATAGTTTTTCACCTGTGTAATTCGTGGCACTGACTAATGTTCATTTATCCATGTCAGACATCTTGTGGGGTCAACAACTATACACAACAATGAGAATTTATTCTTATTCAAGCATCAAAAAGACTCACACATTGCAACAGCATATGCTCCTGTGAGGCTCACTCAGTCATCGTACTTGGCTGCCCATGTTAAACCTATAGCGACAAAAGGTGCACAACGTGGGACAAGGTCTTCCATAAGCTTCCATCTTTGAATCAACCCTTCAAAGGCTGGAATAGTGCTACTCAGAAGAGGACTGGTTTTGCCGGACATGCATTGTTGGGCGTGGTGCGGTGCCTAATGTAGAATAGTAAATATGTTAGAAGTTTTGGACATATGAAAACATACTTCTAGAATAAGCTTGAGATCCTGTAGGACTTGCCAACCCATAGGGCTCAATTTATAGTGAGCTATGCAGCATTGAGCAGGGAGATCAATCCAATGGTCAATGGCCTGGGCAAGAGTTAAGCTGTGTGAAGATTCTAATGACATGAGACATTACCTGCCATAGGATCCTCAAACGATTGAACATGATGTATGTCAAATCCCAATGAGTGGGCTCATCACATAGCAATTCGACTATCAGCAGGGCCATATGCTCACCATTGTTGTTTACAAACCATCCCTCTGCATTGCCAGAAGTAATGGCAGCTTGAAAACTGTCATGATGCTGGCCTGATGAGTGGATCATGTGGACAACATCTCTGGCCCGAGTGATAACATCACTTTGCAGAGCCTTGATGTACTCGACTTTCTTGAAAGTGTAAGGGCCAGCTACAAAAGTGTCAGCCAAATGTAAGAAATCAACTTTAGAATATTTGTCGAGGATGTGTTGGACACATATGTTCACTATATGTGGCAAACATGGAGATTCAGTGATCAAGAGTGTCAAATTCGATCCTATCATTTTGTAACAGCTGCGAGAGCTTGTCCATTGCAGTCTGGCTATTACTGGCATTGTCCAAGGTGAAGTGTCCAATCTGGACAAAGTCAGAGCATACGACAGAGTACAATGAAACACTAACATTATGTTTCACTTCAGTGCGATCAATGAGCTCCAATATTTTTGAAGTGAGTGCCTTTCCTGTATGGCTACCAGGAATATGATGAAAGGCTATTAGAGCAGCCTTCAAAACAAGTGTGGCTTTGCATTCTTTTGCAATCCAATGTGCAGTTACAGCAAGGAAGGGACAGAGCTTAGAATTGGACCAAATATCAGATGTGAATGAAATTTGTCCTTGGGCGGTCTACAAGATATGAAAATACTCTATACAATAGATAGTTAAACACTCACAGTGAGGTCAAGTTTGATGGCTGCAAAGTGTTCATCCCACACATTGATGATTAGTTGCCGAAGCTTTGAATGATGGGGAATATCAGAATCCTCTAGGTCTTGCCACAAGAGGCAGAGCAGTTGACAAAACTCTGGACATTCAATGACACTGATTGCCTAGATATGATGGTTAGCAAGAACACATAAAAAATGAACAGTACTTACTTGGTTGTCAGCTACAATAAACTTCATGATCTTTCAATGCATCTCCTCAATAAAGAAGTCTTATAAGTCATAATCCAAAGATGCTGACTTCCCAACACCAGGCCTTGAACTGTCACGTCTGGAATTAGGGGGAGGGCCAAGTGTCTCAATCGTGCAAGTGGGATTTTGGAGTTGTTTCTGCAACTCACTGAAGGTCCAGCCTTCATTAAGGCAGTCACTTACAGGATGGATGCCGATTGGCCATTGCTGCTTCTCAAATTCCTTGAGGTAAAGGTCAATATGAACTTTATGAATGTGTAGATGGAGAGGGGTATTGCTTGTGGACAGACTGTAGATAGTGAGGGAATAGGACGAGTCTATCTTATTTGAATCCCTGGTAAAGGGGTGAGAAGAGTAGAAGAGACTCTCAGACATGTTACTCACTCACATGGTACACAAATGTGCTCACCAGTGTCTGAGTTCTTCCTAAAGAAGAACTGGATATTGGAAGTAGTCTTGAGGCCTCTTTTTCTCGTGGCAAAAGGGTTAGTGTGTTGAGTACTGGTTGTCATCTGAGTTGTTGTCTGTAGTGGGCTTGGGCCCTGTGTGTGCGTGGCAGCTACAGCTTGAGGTGGGACATCATCATCTTCACTGCTGCCAACATTGTTGATGTCAATCTACTTGTCATCATCTGGATGGGCAGCTGCATTATCCTGCCTATATCTCTGAGGCAGTTGTTGTTGTCTCATAGGGTGGTGAAGTGCAGTAGTAATCACAGCAGCTGCAGTGGGAGCAGGAGCATTAGGCACAGGAGTGGGAGCAACATGAGTAGGAGCAAGAACAATAGGTGTGGGAGCGATAAGAGCAGGAGAGACAGGTGCAGGTGCAGGTGTAGGAGCAGCTTCAACCTGGGGGATTTCAGCATTCTGTCAACGACATCCACAATGGTTCATGTTAGTAGTATTAGTGCTGGAGATGTAACGAGAGACTTACCCATACATAACATATATATCTTCATCCTGGGAACTCCAGAAAAACACCGCTGTGCACAATGGTACAGAATCACCTTGGCACCGCAGGGTCTAAACACAATAGTTAATAGCAATACATAATGATTAAGACTGAAGACTGGAGTACTGATACACATACATTTCATTTAGCAGCTCCCCATAATATCACAACTTCTCCCTACTGTATTGGCCAGATCATGGTGACTGGTGTAACACTCGGATCGGTGTTGGGCACATATCCTGTCAAATTCACATATTACATTCCTCAACATTCTTCCGACCTTCCAAAAGTTTCACACACTTGTCCAAGTCGTCCAAAGGCCATCTGTCCACTTCCGAGACCTTTTTAGCTTTTCTGATCCTCCGTACCATGTCCTGTCCTTGTCTGTTTGACTTTGCTGGTGCGTTTTTCACTTAGTTATTTGTTATTGATTATTTCTAGGGGCACATATGTTGAAATCCCTTGCTAATATGTATAGATATGCACCTCATGTGTTATTACATGTATATCGTCGTAGCTGCTCGTCTTGAGTCTTATTACATTTCAGATGTCTTATCTCACTACAGTTTTCACCTATGCAGATTCCAGACTTTCACGCAGTAGGATATAATCTGGTTCACTAATCCTTACAACTCACTTCACTCCCCTTGCTATGAGTCATAGTTAGTAGAGTCACTTTCGGATTTTAGTACTTTGTGCAATCGATCTTTGTTCATTTGGAACGATTGTTTGGCCTGACCGCTGCCATTTTGCCTATTGATTTCCTTAAATCTTTCGACAGACTTTGCTAGTTAATCTACACAAGTTCTATACTTTGACAAATCACCGTATTCTCCACCGGAAACCTTTGTTGTTTCACCGGAAGCTCACTGGAAGCTTCGCGCAACCTTGGACCTTCATTTCTTGATGTCAGACCTTAACCAGACCCTTCAGACAACTCATCAGACACTTCAGACAAGTCATCAGAACTCTGAACACACTTGAGGTATCCTTTCCTTCTCTCATCTTCAATCTTAACAAGATATCCCTTGCATTTTATATCAAGAGATAATCCTACAGGCAGTCTCTTTGAGACAAACATCTCACTCGCACTTTTGAGTCTTAAGGTAACACCTTTGTATAGCCCACCAGGGATCAACTCTTTACACTGGTTCTTGAATGTGGGTGGGGATCTCTGTGAGGAGGATGCAAGTATGAAAACTGACATAATGTATAGTTAAATCTTGCTGAGCAGGAAAGATCGGTTGGGAATGAAAGCTTAGGAAAAATTGAGGTGATCATCACAGACTGCAGTGTACAGTGTACCCTGATCAGCGTGGGAGTTAATATGCAGGAATTGCACTGCATAGTACATATATGCACAGACCATGTGCAATACATACACATGTAAATACTAGGCAAACAATCTCAAACATGCGCATTGTACAGATGTAGTACTGAAAGAAGAAAAAAGAAAGAAAAGCTATATAGCACATTTCTTGATCCAATGTGAGGTGGGAGTAGTTACAGGTGTTGGGGTATCATTGCATAGACATGAACTTGTGAATGATGAGTTCATGGATGCAGTGTGTAAGGATAAATGAAACTACTTACACATGAGTTGATCTATGAAGGGGTGTTGCTTTCAGCAGACATGTGGGCACTGATTCAGAGAGTTCAGGGTTTTGAGAAGGTGGGATCAGATAATCAAAATCCAGGGAATGCATAGCTGGTGCAGGCCCTGCAGTACGAAGATCATGCAGTAAATAATGTAGATAGTCATAATCAGGATCTTCTGAGAATGAGAGAGTGTGCGAGTAGACAAGGATATTTGCAAATGCAGGAGTAATCCCCTCACATAGATCTGCAATGGCGGTACCTACTTTGCACTCGAGTATAAAGGAGCCAGAAAGCTTCTCATGGTCACTATTTAACCATGGTAGGGAGCCATGCAAGAAATATATCAGTATATAGGCAAGTGACTCAAGACTGCCACGGTGACCTGGCTCTAATCCCAAGTGATTGTTGATTGAAGCGAAGGCAGGGGTGCCTGTGAGATGTCGACCTCGATGAAATGGGATGTGGGATGCGGTTGAGGAATTCCAGTATCTCTTCGTGATACCAAAATCAATAATATAGACAGTTTTTTCCAAAATATCTATCATAGCGTTTTCTGGTTTGACATTGCCATGAACATAACCATGTGAGTGAATGTACCCCAGATGTGACAGCTGGAAAATGGGTTAGTATCTACAGCACAACACATTTGAACCAAAGTACCAGCTGGTCCCCTAAGTTTACAACAGTTTGAAGTCTGAATTTTTGGTTGCATGTGAGGAAAAGATCATGCAGCGGGCGACCGAGGAGGTCAAGAGCCAAGGCATAATGTGTTAACTCCCTACCAAACCAAAGGACGTGGGGGATCCCAACTCCACCTTCAAGTTGCTTGAGAGTGCAGTGTTTGTGCTTGAGAGAAGGTGGATTATTGGTGACTGGTTCAAGTTTGATGGCAATGATATCATCATTAAGGAAGTTTTGTGTGCAGTACACAATAGCTAGTGTATATTTGAAACCCTGAATATCAATCAATCAACTGTCGACATCATACAAATGCACCATATGAACCTGATCCCAAAATATTTTCCAGCCCAAATCTACCATCAATGTGTAATGGAGCCTTACTCATGCTATGTGACAGCTAAATGTTGCAGACTTTCAGCAAGAATTCAGCATGGCGAGTGGCTTCCACATGACTAGAGCCAACTGCAGTCAACTTGAGCCGGCTTGAGTCAACATTTCTTAATTAATGGCTCGTAGCCAGTTCATGCAGCTCATAAGTCGAACCAAACTGCACAATGTGGTTTGACTGACAAGTTTAACCAAATGGTAAGTGTAGCTGGTAAAAGACGAGTCCAAGCCAGGCCAAGCCGAGCTGTGACAGAACTAAAGACATCAGCAAAATTGCTGATTCCCTTTTTGTACTTAAATGACTTAATAAGCACAAATAAGCAAAAATCAGCGGGCAACTTATTCAGACATGTCAATCTCTGATTTTCATCTTAATCTTACTTATCCCTCTGGTAGTCAGAAGAAAAAGTACACATTGCAAACAAACAGCAAAAAAGTAAGGAAATATAAGGCGGCAATGTATTAGTGATAGTACTGGTAGAAAACAGGTAGGAAATATGTGCAAGTCTGTTATTGGCATCAGTGGGAAAGAAAAGAAACATTGTGTCAAAGCCCATAGTACTAGGGCAGTATTCTATTTTAAAAAAAGAAGTCAGCAATGATAATGCTAAGTGGAGAGAGAGAAACTTTACAAATGAGGGTGCACTCGTCCATGCACAAAATTGAGGGCACGTTCAAGCTGGAAACAATCAGAAAAGAAACATGGTTTCAAATTTAAAAAAACTCATGGCAATGACACAGGTGCACCAGGAGGTGCACCCATAGCAAAATCATCATTTGGCTCCAATAATATGATACTGTCCTCCATGCCCACTGCCATCCCATCTCCCTCCTGCTCATGGTGAATGATAATATGTGCATCTGTATTCACTTGGAGAGGTGCAGGTCCTGAGACTGCATCTGAAATTATACTATAGCGTGGTGTGGATGCTGCTCACACAGTTGCTCACACCTTCATTCCTGCATCCAGCCTTTCCATCGCAATGTCATTGTCACGTCGTGAACAAGCAAGAGTGAGAGCGGTAGGCAAAAGCAGCAAGTAAGAGTAGTGACAAGTGAGAGCAAGTGAGAGCAATGAGCGAGGGAGAGCAGTGAGAGCAGCGAGTGAGAGAATGAATCTAAAGAACAAGATTAGAATGAAAAAATCATTGCACACCTCAATAAGCAAGCAAGAGATCATCCTAGAATAGTTTTGTTTAAATATAACAAGATTAGAATAAAAAATCATTGCACACCTGAAAATTCAAATAAAGAAACATGCTTCATGGAGGCGGAGAACATGGTCGACAAGTTGAACTTTTGTGCCAGTGAGCGCACCGTCACCTGAACAAACATATACATACAAATGTTGCAACTTGGACTTAGAATATTTCCAATGTTGATGCCTGGGAGAAGTGCCTATTCTCATTCTTGCCAGATGGGATTCACATTGTGACTGGTCATTTGTCCAACTACCCAGTAGTTATTCTAACCTAGGTCCTGTATTCATACTTGTCAATTAGGTTACAAAAATCTCTTATTGCACTTAATTTACTTTTACATCTTATTAGCAACATTTGTTTGAATCACATCTGCAAAAAGTGGGTACCAGTAAAATAAGTGACATCAGAGCTTTTCTTTTTCTACTCAGCGAGATCAGTAATACAAATCAGTCATGTAAGTGCAAAAAGGGACTTGGAGATTTTGCTGATGGACATACCTGGTTGAAGACCAGCACCTTGATAGGGTATCATATGTCAACATCATTCACAGGCACACTGTTGGTGATTACATATCCTATGAGTGGAAGTTGGCTATGTAATAGTAGATATGCATGCTAACAACACACCAGTGTGCTAGTTCTTCACAACTTTGTACCATAGGCCTGTCAATATCATAGCCTTTGTAGATCTCACCAGTGTAACCTGCCTATCTATTCCTTTATCATATGATCTATAACTTTGGTATATATTTTCAATTTTATACATTAAATAAAACTAGCTAAATCTTTGTCAAACTCAAGTCAAATGCCTGATGATTGCAGTGGGTGGTGTAGTACAGTCTTATCATATTAATGAATTTTGTCTGCTTGTGGTCATACTTGGTATGGAGAAAGAAACAAATACATCTCAATTATTTACAGATGTACTTGATAAGCACTGCATCAAAATACTTGGCTGGCGGGAGACCCAATCTACACACTTGAGGAAGTACATCATAGATTACATTAATTGTGCTGTTCGACGGAGTCGAAAAACATAATTCGAAAAATAAAAAGAGCTATGCCACGAGCTTAGTGCAACAAAGAGCACTACAGTGTCATGGACAAGAAGCCTATGGAATTGGAAAGGTGCAGTGAACTTACCAGGTGATATCCGATAGCCAAGTTGTTAGTGGTCCTTCATAACATAGCGTGAGCCATAACATTAGTTACTGACGGGATGATGGGATCAGAAACAGAGAAGCGTGCGGTACTGACGCCACCCGAGGGTGATCTATACAAAAACGACCGACAAAGGGAAGAAAAACAAACAAACCGACAAAGCGAGATAAACCACAATGAGGCGTCATTCGCCATACATACAAAGAATTTTCAAAAGCCACCACTTCATGGGTGGCAGGAATTTGGCAGGGTAAAACCTAGTTCCAAGTCAGACGTTCTGGATAGGGAATTGAAACCAATACCACTGACATTTCGTGACTCGACATAGGCCTCGTCTATCGAAACTCTCCAGAGGATCGGAAGAATTCAAAAGATGTTCTAGAAGTCTGTCAGGTTCAAGACCAAGTGAAGACGAAGCTTCACTGACTCACTTGTTGAAACGTTGATATCTTAGCAAAAAACATGAGGTCAATCCGGAAGACTTTGTCACAGACTGGAGAGGTAGGAGAGTAAGGCTACTTCTTGGACCATGAAGTGTTGAGAGCCGATGTGTCCGAAGGAAGTAAGGCCGAGAGAGGGAGAGCCGAAAGGGAGAAGGACGATACGGCCGATGAATAATGCACATTGAGTGCGAGCGTCTCCAAACGGAGAACACGAACGACGTGTCAACGTCGGCAATATTTTCGTTCTTTAAGTATATATTTTTCATCAAAACAGTTGCTGGCAGACTCACCGTATAAGAGGACGCTGCCTTCGTCGAGACGTCTCAGATTCGAAACGAATACTGAGACGTAAGTAAAAGTCCCACTGTAACGTTTGAGCGCAAGTGCTGACGTACATGTAGTCGTACCTTTGTCTAGGTACAAACAATTGTTAATAGAGATTCGAAACGAATACTGAGACTCGTACCTTTGTCTAGCGTGCCCTGAAGCTCCCGCTCGTCTATTATATCCACATGAAGCCCGTTTCAATCGATCAGAGATTCAGAACGCAGGAATGGTAAATGAGTTTGGACGTATCTAACACAGGATGACGGTCATAACGCAGTCACAAGTTTGGGTTGTTGTGGGAAGCTTTCGAACATTCCCACATCTGCAGGGAAATTCCAATGGTGATGAATCCAGGAAGTGACTACTCCAGGGTTAATCTACTTAGATCTGGAGCCAAAATATAGGGTCAGTCTGGAGCTTTGGCGACAGGCTTCGGGTGTTTATAGTCATTACATATGCAATCTTTGCAATAAATCTCACTAAAAAGTAAATCTTTGTTTTACCTGTCTCGCAGTATATGAGCGTGATACTGCGTGGAGATGGAACATGAACATCAGGGTGCGAGAGTTTGACCTCTTCGATGTAAAGAGGGTCGGCGACTGAGTGAAACGGGCGTTTAATGACTGAAGACAAATTTGCCATAGACAATCCGACAACGAAGGTATTTTCCCATTTAACGTGTTGCACAAAGAGCGCGAGTTGGGTGATGTAAAGGGTGGTATCATAAGTTACTTGAGGAGCATCCAAGTAACCACAACCATATGAATCTACAAAATCAACGGGTTCGCACCGTGTCACACATCGGAAGACGATAACACACCAGAGAAGCACATAATATCCTCGTGAGGTGAGACAGGCGCTACGTCTTTCCAGGCGATGGCCGTGATGGAAAGTCTACGTATCAAAATAATCTAGTAGCCTTGATAAGTATATGATACTCAGGTGCACAAAAACACACACACCGTCCATCCTGCGGTCCTCAGGCTATGAGGCAATATCACACCTGGGTAATATAGCGCATCAGCACTTGACACGAGTGCACGTCAATAAAGTACGTGTCTATCCTAGAGATAGGTTGGCATATACACCTGCACTATGCAAGTTCTCTGGGTACACACTTCGCGACGGCGATGAGCTCGAAAGGTGCGCTAGGGATATGCACGGATGATGGGTAAAGTAGGTGGTCGCAGGAAGTTAGCCAAGAGAGAAACAGCGGGGAATATCCAGAGATAGATATGAACTTGAAATGGGTGCGCGCTCATCGCGGTGGGCGGTGTAGTACGGTCTTATCATATCAATGAATTTTGTCTGCTTGATGTCATATTTGGTATGGAGAAATCTACAAATACATCGAATTTGGGCTGCTGCATGCATGGAATGATTGAAGCATGAATGCCAAGATAGAGACAGGTGCAGAAGTACCGGGGAGCTTCCATGAGTGGGCGGGAGGCGTCGGGGTACAAAATGTTTAAGACACGGGTATGCAAGAGTGCAGATCATGCACAAGGAGGGCGGCAGTCACAAAGTATGGGAGGGCTCATGTAAGACGGTACAAGAGCATGTGACTGCAGGTAGGAGAAATTAGGGAGGTGTTGGAAAGTAGGAGGGTACTGTCCATTGAAATACTGGTACAAAAAAAACAGCACAAGGAATATGCATATAATGGTAGGAGGTGGGTACAGAAGCAGACGGGAAGACGGGAGGAGTAGAACTCGAGGAGCAACGGGCGGCGCGACGGTGATGAGCACGATATTGCAACTCCGCTGAAACACAGCCGCCGAAGCCAAGCCTCAGACTACCATTCCGCGTTGACTTATCTCAGCCGTTCGAACTCTGGCTATTCCGACAAAACCGATACGAGAAACATGTAATACGTCTCATTCATTTACGGATGTACTTGATAAGCACAGCTGCGTCAAAATACTTAATTGGCGGGAGACCCGATCTACTTGAGGAAGTACATCATAGATTACATAGATTACATAATTGTGCTATTCGACGTAGTCATAAGTCGAAAAATAGAAGTACAAGGCATAATTAATAAATGGCATCAGCTTGTATCATGAGCCATTCTCCCACCCATATCATACGACGTATCCGAGCTCCATGAGATCAACGTCGGCGTAGCAGACGAGAAAAAGGCACTCCCAGGTGTTGCTTCTCAGACTATGGCATTCTTTTTGCTCTGCGAATGTTCCCAATATAATGGGGACGAACTAGTTGGTTTGAGTTCTTTGACGACATAAACGGGCAACAGGCCTGCTGATGGATGTATCGCAGGCCCACGAGGAGCACAGTTCAACCTGTAAACGCTTATTAGGAAGGTGTATTTTGCTTAAGATAAGCTACTTACCTGGTTAAGTTGATATGCTGTTGCGGCTTTGGTGGGTAGATTCCGAATATCCTTGCTACCCACCAGAAAGCTATGCTGTAGTTCTTCCGCGCTTCTGCGGCAAACCCAAAGAAAGCGAAAAATATGAAGGCACAGACGACTACAATCCACCGCGTGAGCTGGATGGCAACAACCAGGAGGTAGTTCGTTGTCCATAGAGCAGATGGGTATTGCATGACACGCGAAAAGTCGTAGTGAACATTTTCCCAGCTGATCCAGGGCTCTACAGGCTCTGCTGCCGAGTTGATCCATATCATAAAAGACGCGAGGGGGATGGTGCATACTATTTCCGTCGTTGCGAGTGCCATGAGACGGAAGTAGCGACTAGCACTGAGAGACTTGTTGGATTTCATAAAATGGGTGAATTGTGCACGACGGAGGTAAAAGGCCTTCAATGAAAGACCTGCGGGCGGTGAGAACACGGACAGAAAACCACCAAGAAGAGGCGTACCACAATAGACCGAAGATACAAGGCCAATAATTATAGGCCAGCTATCCCACAAGAAAAACGCTGGTAGCGTATTGTAAATAAAAGGGTAGCAGCCGATGTCTTCGTAAATATCAAAGCGATGGCCTTGTACGACATATTCTGTAAAAGGATCAGTGGGGTGCGTGCTGTGGATGAAAGCAGTGCACTCACGAAGCGCAACGACTGCCATAGGAAAAAGTACGCAAATTAGGGTGTCGATAAGGACGGCTCGCCGTTTCTAAAACAAGATTAACGAAGGAACTGAGGCTCCCTTAATGTGGAATCGTACCCCTTCATCCGTGAGTGCGACCGCATGGGTTTTCGCAATGTTGTATAGCCTGCGATTAATGCATAATGATGCGGCAGGAATGCCCACTGAGGCACCGAGCATTATTCGAATGGCTTCACAGAGTTTCAGGAAACAAGCAGCGGAAGAACAGCATAACATCACTTACAAATGTCACACCAGATGGGTGCCCAGTTGATGGCATTGTTATGCCAAACGATGGAGTTGATGAACTGGTTGAGGCAAGAGAGTGCCGCCCAAATCATGTAATAACATGTTCCCGAATTCCATGCTTGTAGATGCCATGGAAGAGGTATAAGTGCGACTACGAAGCCAAGGAAAGCAAAGATGGGGTAAAGAGGATAGTCCAACCCAGTCATAATGATGGTAGAGAAAGAGTAGAGACGAATCGTGTCAAAGGATGGAGACCGTAAACGATAGCCTTATAAAAAGACATTTTGTGTTCAACAATGGGATGTGGTGCGCAATGCATTGTGTTCCTTGCTGTGGACAGTCCATTGTAATTTGTGGCTACGTGTCGGAGACAAATGTGGTAAGTCCCAAATTTGGACGATTCACCGGAGACAATACCACAAAAATACACCTGTAATTATCGAACAATGGTCATGATGATGAGTCGCTATGTAACGTGGGGCGGGAGATTCCTTTGTACCAATATTTTAGCCCACAAGTCTCGAGGCTCGCTACACCAAAGCCGTGCCATATGGATCACTTCATCATTTTGCTCGATACAGAACCATCGCCCTTTGTTGGGTCATCACATACAGAACCAAAACCCAATTGGGGTGACCCATCACAACTCGAAATGCAGTATATCGAACCTTCCGACTCACTACTGGTTGATCAAGACAACCTCACCAATTACTATTCCAACTTGTGTGTCATTTTATAACGTTTGCGGCTTGCGGTCAGCGGTCACTCTGAGGGTCAGCGCGAGGTATGTCCGTTCAACATCTCTTTTTCGATGGACGTCTCCTTAACCAGTTTTTATGAACAAGGTACTATATATCGTATGCGCTGGTTTAGCGGTTATTAGGACTAGAGGCTAACCCTCGCATCATTTATTTTACTGGCCCCGGCAGGACTCAGATTTTCGCGCTGTCGGACGTTTAACTGCGACATACTTCAAGCCATCTATAGCACAGTGCTATATCCCTCCTCCGACGCTCCTTTGACTCACATTTGACTGCTATATACTCATCTATAGCACAGTGCTTAATTATGTGACTATACCCCTCCTTCGAAGCTCGTTCTCTTCGTTTTCGTGTTTACCTGCGACATTAGCACAGTACTTAATTTGCCTACACCCCTTCTTCGATGCTCGTTGCCTTCGCTGGTTTCTTCATCATGCGTGTACCTGTGGTGTTTCTACCTATAGCATAGTGCTTAATTCTGTGATTATACTGCTTGGTGGACTCGCTGCTTGTGCAGCATTGCATATTTTCGTTCGTGTACCCCAACTACTTTCCTAGTAGTACTTATTCATTCGTCTTTCTTGAATCCTTGCTTACTACCTGCTAATTGTAATTCTAGCTGCCGTTGTTCTTACTTACCTTGTGACCACTTCTCTATGTCATTTGACTCATGTTCTGCTGTGGTTATAACTGTTACTGGGTTCTTCCTTACGCTGTCTCTGCCTTTTGCATTGTTGTAATTTGGCTCATGTTGCGTCCTGGGCCTCGTCGTTCTTGAGTCAATGTATATCTTCCACTTCTCAGTAAAGTCGAGCTCAGGTACCTACGATTAGATGCTCACAACCGTTCAGGGCGAGTCGCTATGTATGTGCACAGAATTGACTGTCAGAATTGCATTGGTATTATTGCATAGTTAATGACAGCATATGATCGTCATATTGAATGTATATATACGCGCAACGCAGCATGTCTAGACAAATACCCAGCAGGTGTACATGACTAGACTCGTGACTAGTTCTCACTATGCGGCCCGCTTGCCTCGTAGCAAGGACTCGTCACGAGTCTAGTACATGACATAACTTAGAGGGTGAATTGGAATCTCACCCCACATCTATTTGCCAGACGGTGTCGCGTACGTAGATGTAAAGTGACCGTGATGATTAAGGAGTGTAAATAACTACGAAATGAGTCGAGTCGTCTGTATGTGTCAACATACGTGCAAGACGGAAAAAAATAGTGCCAGGACTTGTGAAAAGTCGACGAAGATAAGAGGGAATTTGGGGAAGGTTGGGTGCAGAAAAAGGCAGCCACGAGAGAAGATCGAAATTGGGGTAATAGTGGTCACGGAGCAGTGTCTGTGCAGTGTGAACGAAGGACAAACGAAGCCAATAAAGCAAAGCCTCGAGAAGTAAATAGATAGATCCCATTCGTCTCTTGCGAACGAAGCATGACTTAGAGTCATAAGCTATACGTCGATTCTATCAGCCTGACGAACGAGCGAAAATGAAGGCGAGCGTACTATATCACAGATCGTTTTCGAAACGGTAACAGGCACCGATACCTGCGACACATGCTTCATGCAATGGTACAATAGAAGCCAGAGTTGCCGATTTCGTAGGCGCGTTCAAATTCCAAAGGAAGTGATTCAGCGGGATGGGAGGTGATAGATTCAGGAAAGAATAAGGACTCCGAGTCGAGAACGTCGAATGAGTCTGTCACCGGGTTTGACGGTAGACCCGATGGCGGAATTGTTTGTGAGCGCATAAATGGGTGGCGCGAGAAGGCTTGCAAGACCAACGTCGATATTAATGGAGGTGAGGTGGCGCTGACTCGTGGCGCGACAGAGGTTACTAGCCTGGGTGCTAGGCGCAAGGTTATTACAAAGGGCGGAAAATTGGCAGTCATGGTGACCAAGCTTTGTCTTCCTTTATACCATGTTGGGGAACAATGATATTTATTCTGCATTGACCGGCATCCATTGTGGAGTAGAAGATGTCGCGGAGTAACAAACAATGAGCGTACTGTGGTCACTTGTGGTCAGCTCAGCGGCTGGGTAAGAAAATTACCATATTCGGTCATCAATTTGCGATCCATTCAAGTTGTACTCTTGCTTGTCCGCCCTTTAATATGATGAGCTTATAGACGTTCTTAGTGTCTCCTTCGGTGGGATATTGTCATCACACTTTTTACTCACACGAGTTTCGCCAGTTGCGTTCCTCGCAGTTATGTCGCTGCTGCTGCTCCCTCGAGCTGCTATGGCATTGACGAACCCAAAATATCGCAACTCTCCTTGTCATGGCCTTACTTTTTGATAGTTGTCCTGAATGTTGTGCACGATATCGATGTTACTGTGTTTGGCTAACAATGTGAACATTGCAATCTTGGTGTGGTGCAATATCAGTGAGTTCAATCTCGAGGTGCCCTTGCGGCTGATGACCTTCGAATCAGCAGCGCCATCGCAGGGTCTGCATTGGCGCTCACTCAAGTGTATCAGTCCAATTCCATAGATTACTACGCAGCACGACTAACGCAACCGCCAGCTCTCCGAACTATCAATACACCTTGGAGTCTTGGACTATGGTTTTCATGGGACTTTGTATGAGCAGTATTATGAAACGTACTAATGCTATGCCTGCTACATTTTCCATTGCCCCTTCGCGATCCTCTGGACTATCGGTACAGTCCTATATGTTCACATTGGTGCTACATCGTCCCTCATAGGCACCCCTCAACATTCAACCTTGTGGTTCTCTTGCAAATTTTCTGGATTTCTATTCCGTGTTCATCATTAACATTTTCCTTGAAAAGAATGGTAGGTGTCGCCCATGAGCGACAGTATATAAATGGGATTGCACGCAAGCGGACGGACCACACTGCTTCCATTAGATACAATCGAATTCAAGGCGCTCAGTGAGAGAGGAGCAATCTCAACATATTCATGTCCGGAGAGTTGTGGAGTAATGTGTTATGCAATGATGAAGTGCTATCCTATGCTAAGTACCTGCGCTTGCTGCACCACCGCCCAAGCAGCAGACAATCGGATCAAATGATAAGTCCATCTCCTCCAGAGACTGTTGAACAGATGATGTCAATCATCTGGTTAGTTGGCAGGAAAAACGATACTTCGCTTAGTTGCATCTTCCGTTTGTCGATGGATAATATTTATTCGTCTGCTGTGATTTGAGACGCTGCATTCAGCCTCAAATGTAACTGTGTGTCCAAATCCGAGCGGTGTTTTAAACTGTTACTTACATTGAGCACAATTTTGGTTGACCCTTTAAGCCAACAATGTGATCCATTGTCTCTAATGTCCGGCTATCGGAGTGATCCACAAACTGAACCGACGCTCTATTTAAACCGGTCCTATTTTCCATGTGCCACCCACCATACCATACATTACGTTAAGAACATACCTAACTTTGTACGCTCTTTGACTCGGAGCGTTGCGACACTCAATTGCTACGCCTATACACCTCCATTGCGAATCCGATACTCAGTCCCACTCGCACTCATCACCCTTCCTTTAGCACTTGACACCCTTCAACTCGCATTCACTGCCTTCCACTTTACACATACCTCCGAGTTCTCCTACCTTGCTCTCACTACCTGCTCGTCTACTATGGACTCATTCGACAGGATTCTGGATATATCTGAGTTCTTCGATCCAGATCAGCTGATATTCACAGATGAGGGTTATTGTAGTGGTGACGAGTCCAGTCACTGCAGTGACGATGAACACTGTTTAGTTAACACAGATGCAAAATGGACTTATACAGGATATTGCGTCATAATATAACTGGCGACGTCATCTGTCGCGTCCATCGTAAAGTAAGTTGACGGTCTCTATTGTCTGATCATTGATTCACCTTCCCTCCATAGACATCATCTCGATGTTGAAGCACGTCGGCTCAAGGCTGGCCAAGCAAGGCAAGGGTCAGCTTAACTATTACGCGGTGCGAGTGAAAATCTCGTACCCCGAATGGGCCGACTGGGGCTGACTACGTCAGTTGCCTGAAGTCTTCTGAAGCCATAAGGTTTCACCTCAAAGATTAACAAAAAAAGTTGCGCAGTCGTGACGAGAAACTTCTGTCTCATTTGGTGGACACAAACTTTCGGTTCTTTCGGTTTCATTTTGGCCACTTTTCTTTTTCCCACTTGTGGGTTTTTCTCTCGAACTATACTGTACCACAGAGTATATCGAAAATGCAGCAATATAATTCCTTGCGGCTGTAGAATCAGCGCACACCCATGCGAACACACTCACGTGGAAAGGAGCAGGATCAGCAAGAACCATGATTCTTACAATCGGCACTCCCAGGATCCAGCGGCAGTCACGCTTTTTTCGCAGGATAAAATGTGATGGACGGTGAGTCATTGCCAACGTTTTCCTGCCAAAAATGTGTCACCTGCCGACTTGTGGGGGTATCTTTTGAAGGTATGCATAATGTCAGAGGGATAGTGGTACGAGGAATCATATGAGGGTTCTGAGTATTAGACAATAGAGGTCCTGTATCCACCATCTAAACTCGCATGAGCTCCGACGCTCCCACTGAACCATGATGGCATGAATTTGAATTTGAAGTAATCAGAATTACATATTAATGCAAATTCAATGACATTCTTGATTATATAATCCCACAAACACCACTCCTGCTCACGCACTCGCGGCGCACCACCGCGACCGTACCACTTCTCTTGCGTTCGGTAGCAGGCGACGACAAACTCATTTGCGTATCTCACGGCTGGGACGTTTTATTTTCTCTGGCGCGATCGAGCTTATCGCCTAACTTCAGTCACGAAACCATGGATCACTATCCGGAGGTCAAACGATCATTTCTTGACACAAGAGCTTTATCTTCCCCGCCTGATCAGGAGTCAGAGAGTGAGTCTAGCCAGGTTTCCGGCTCTGACATGCCCTCTCCATCGATTAGAACTTCTGCCCGATTCCCTTCGGCCACTCCTCCGCATGAGGAGAATGGGAGCTCGGAAAGGTCCTCAGGTGTTGAACCCGAGAGTAGTAAGGGGTGGTATGAATTTGACCTTTCGGTCATACTTGCGCTAGTTTCGCCCATCGGAAATTGGTTGACAGGAGGAGATCACGTCAAGAATTTCCTTCTCATCCTTCTCTTGATATTCTATTTGCACCAAATTATCGAAGGTAAGTGCCTTGTTTTCATTCTGAAACAGAAATATAAGTATACACAGTACCGTGGAGCCTCTATCATCTCTCGAGACCCAGACGTCGTTCCCCTGATTTCCCACCTCGTCAAACATCTGAGCAAGATCCATATCATGAAGTTGCTTCATCAGAGTTACGCAAGCTCGAGTTTTTCTACCTGTTCCTCACTGTATTATCGCCGTTACTCGGAGTCGCAATCCTTCGTATCGTCATCATATCTGTGGCCGGTCCGGAGACTATATCATGGTTCAGTACCTCCCTCTTCATTCTCGCCACCGGTATTCGACCTTGGAAACACGCGGTAGAACGTCTCCATCAACGCACACAAGATTTGCATACTGTCGTTCACTACCCTCCAGCCAGCTCACCAGACACGCACTCGCAGATTGAAGTTCTAATTGCGCGCGTCGCCGAATTAGAGACTCAGCTGAATAAATGTAACGACACCGTGAAAGTTCTTACCGAAGACGTTTTTGACCACGTGGAGGGAGCCGTCGAGGGGATAGAGAAATGCTTACGGAAACAGGAGAGGAAGAATGATGCTTTCTACTCGGCGCAGGAATCAAAACTCGCGACGTTGGATCAGAACATGCAAGCGTTACTGGAAAGGAAGGAGATTTCAGTGCACGGTTCGGCTTTATCTTATAATCTTGCTTCCGCATTCCACGCAACCTTGGTTGAACCACTTGGACTTGTCTTTCCTGAGTGGGCACGCAGCTCTCGCCGAGACAAACACCCACCATCTCCTCGTCCTTCCCCCAAAATCGGTCGTTCCCGTACTGGCACTAAGCTTGAGACGATACCAGAAGGCGCCACTTTCACACCCAAGAGAGCTCCATATCGCTTTCCCTACCTCCGTATTCCAGGTTTAAAATTCGCCCTGCGCATCGGCGATCTTGCAACCCTACCTGTCCGTCGGGTAGTGGCGTATCTTCTCATGGGACGCATATATGCGCCCAACGCGCCCAATTCCTCTCTTTAAACAGTGTTACCGCTCAAGGCCCATTTTTCACAACAATTGTTCTATTAGCATTGCATGGACTTGTTCCCACGTCTTCTCGCATTTTATCCCCGCATTGATATGCCGAGGATGATCCATTTTGCCTCATAATTATTATGGTATCCAGGAATAACCGTACTGTACGCTCGTGCGTCGAATTTTGTATCAATATCCCATTGTAAGCAGACTTTTGTCGTATCTCCCTGAAGTTTAGGCTGCTCTATAATTTACCACAGACGTCTGTACCAGGTGAGACTCGTTTTCTTATTCTTCTATACCGTTACCTGTACAGCTTCCCTCGTACAAAAATCACACGGTCTTCTAAGCTCAAAGCTTTAGAACATGCCTTATCGGGGCATTTGCTTGATGTTTCTGATTGTAATTATCCCCTATCATATGGGTGTTCCTCGGTGAAGTATGCCATGGTATGTGTCCTTGTACTTTCTTCGGCCGAGAGCTTATCAGATCTAGAAAAGTCAAGTATACAGATTTTGTGGCATCGTGTCCTTGTACTTAATCCCATACTGCTGTCAAAGGCGCAGCTCGCTGATTAAAAGAAATGCAGCAGGCCATCACAGAGATCTGTATGCCCTTTTTGTCTCCCCAGATTTCTTTCATTATTGAAATGCAAACAGAGATACCAATACTTTCGTTCATTTCCGCGGCACTTGTTCTCTTTCCATTGCCTTGGTATTGTCGGGCTGGCAACATTGCTGCAATGTCTATTGGAATGTGGCTCTTTGTTGTAAACACGATCAATGCTATAGATGCCCTCCAGTGGACTGGGGCGTACCAAATACCATTTTTATTCTGGTGTGACATTAGTGAGTGTTTTGATATCGATTCCATTCGAGAGCTCATAATTCCTGTAGCTTCAGCGCTGGTAACAGCTGTAAATGTAGCGATACCTGCGGCGTGCCTCTGCATTTGTATTCACCTGGAACGGATGGCGTCTTTCTGTCAGACATCCGCCTCTGTAACAAAGCGACGCCGTATCTTACTTGAATGTTTAATGTGTTTCGGAGTTCCATTAGTATATGCAGCATTGCGTGCGTACCTGCCACGGGTTCCCCCACAATGTTTATTGACATCGTCGATAGATATAATTGTTCAACCTCGACGTTTTGATGTGTATGAAAATTTTGGATGTCGCTCGGCGATATATCCCACTGTGGTGGCTTTGTTCGTGGTCTGGATACCGCCGCTTGCACTTTCTTTTCTTACTATAATTTTTTGTGGCAAGTGACTTCACTACGGTTCGTATCCTTACGAAGCTGAGCCTCTGCAGGCATTACTTGGCGTCACTTTCTCCTTCATGGCGTCCAATTTTCGAGGACACGTCCATCTTCCTCGCTTACTTCTGGAGCCTACATTCGGCTCGTCAGTATGGCCGTTTCAGAAGTCATCTGCACCATCGCCGCGACCGTAGTAGCCATGTCATTTAATCTAAGCTCAGGGCTGGCTCCATGGGCGGACTTCACCCGAGATTTGACGGAGGTTTCGTCGTTCAGCTCCGCTGCGACACCTAAATCAATCACTGCGATGCTCATCACTGAATGGGCGATCATGGTCGCGCAATCGTTCTTCTTCATCGGATTGTTTGTGCTTGGAGGGGAGGGGCGCAGTCGATTGCGTGAGGCTGTACAGGTGATGCGCAAGGTTCTCAGCTTTTTTCAGAGACGATCTACCTGTATCGCTGAACTCAAAGGTACATCTATGGCAGAAGGGTACGTTCCTTTGTAACACTAGCAGGTTTTTCCTGAATGCGTCTCATCAGCGACTTGACACCGGTTCCGTCTCTGACCGTCCTCGAGTTCAAGAATACCACCTCTCAATCTATTACAGCATGCACTTATCATGGCTATCCATGTGATAAACCTCTTCCGCCTTCGCCTGCCCCCTTGCGGCCCCCATCACTCGACCTTACACATGCGAAACGATTGGAAGAAGATCCTGAATTCCTTGATCCCGCGCTCCTTCCTCTAGATTCACCTTCCAACTACTCTGTTATCTCGTCGTCGCACAATTCTCTCCAATCAAATTTTGATCCGCAACAACTTTTTTTACTTTCGACGCAGTGGCCCGAACCCCCATCAACAGTCATTGTTCGACCACGCCCGGCGAGGCCCCACAGTATGAACTTTCTCCACATTGAAGGTTTGCCGTTTTATGGGTCCGCAGTGCCGCACAATTACTCGAGGAATCCAAAGAATCGTAACGCTGTCTACATGACAGTGGTCAGGGAAGTCCAAGGAGCATATTGAGCTGTTGATTTTCTTTTCTCGTATACCCCCTCCGTTGTCCTTCGCGGTCATTGACCTTGTGTCGGACAGAATATGTCGTTGACTTTTTGCTTGCATGTTCCCGAGTCCTGAAGCATTTGTTGTTATTTTCTTCGCCTTCAAATATTTGTATGACTTTCTCTGTTGTGTTGGTGAACAGTCTGTATCAATAACCAACGTGTATCGGAATGTTGACTGGCCGTTTTTTTTCTTACATATCTCATCTATTATCCCGGCGACCTCATTGCCCCTATGTCGGGTAGTATCAAACGCAATATGTTGCCGACTTTTTATGATGTATTTGTCGTTACTCTCCCTGCTTTCAATTGTATGGATTCTTTGTTGTGGTGTCACAGTAACTTGAGGGCCCGTTTCAATGTAACCAACGCTGTGCTTATGACAGTTTTGTCGTCGAGATATTAAAGATTTTGAACTAAGTATCCGTTTTGAGGTAATACCGGGATGCTGGCCAGTCGTCATAGTAAACTATCTTTATTTGCCTACATAGCAACATGGACCACGGATTTGTCTATAGGGGAAGCATGCTGATGGGAAACGCAGAAAACATACTGAAAAAGGCAATTCTCCGAGTCGCTCGATTACGGCAACTACCGCTCTTATTGTCGTCGCTTTTGGATTATCGCTATTGTTACAGAGACTCTCTTATAGCGTTCATGAGGGCCGTCGTTGAGGAATCCTTTTGCTTGTGAACCCACACCATCCGTGCTGTATAATTGCTGTCAGTCCTTGAAGTTGCTGCGGCGGGCTTGATTGTCCGGCGGCGTCCAGTGCAACTCGCCCTACTCCTTGGTAACACTTTGTATTCTACATTTCAGATGTAGAATGGCAAAGTTCCCGCAAAGTTCAAGCCTCACGGTACCACTTATTTTTGAATGAGAACAAGGATGTTAGTGAGTGCAGAATTCGCCAGTGGATCCGAATATCACTGACCAGTCCTATTTAATCGTACAATGCTAATGGACCACGATTCCATGTGTATCAACTTCCATTCCGGGACGCTCTGACTATGTTATCGGTCGATTTTCTGATATCTAATGATCATGGGACGTCGGATCATGCCGTACTCTGTCATCGAAGCCCTTCGGTGCGCCATTTGAGCGCACTTCCCTCGCGCTTCCTCGCTTTACCTTTTCGGTAAATAAACATATGTTCATATATAGACATCAGTTTGTGGGTCAAAAAGGCAATGCCGATATTTGCAAAGTGTTCAAAGTTTGAACAAATTTTATTACACCCGGACACAAGGGGATGTCCAAATTAGATGACAAGGCGGATTGTGCTCTCGAAGGCTTTAATAGCTTGGCTTCCCAAGGCTATGAATACTAGCTTCACGTTCCCTCTGCTCAGCCCCATCACAGGATAGCTAGTGTCCTCCGAACAAGTCGCCCCTGTCTTCACGTCGCGCGTCAGCAACTGCGTTGTTAAGATGTTCAACTCACCGGACTGGGTGTTCTCTATGTTTGCTTTCCTCGGATTCTTGTGCTGCATGATTCCGCTTCCCTGGCATTTGGAAGGTCAGTCATTATATATTATCTTTGAGGCGTTCAAGACCTGACCAATGCTTTAGCATGGAACACTGGAACTTGTCTTTACATGATCTGGACCGGTCTATCGTGTCTAATCCAGTTCATTAACTCCATCGTTTGGAGGGCGAATGTGATTAACTGGGCTCCCGTGTGGTGTGATATCTGTCAGAATTTTCCTCTTGTTCTCGTTGCCAAGACTCATGTTTATTTCGTAGCCGCAAAATTCATGATCGGGAGCTCCGTTGCCATCCCCGCTTGTTCGCTTTGCATCAACCGTCGTCTCTACCACATCGCATCAGTTTCCTCGGTCACAAAGACAAGGGCGCAGAAGAGACGCGACATCATGACCGATCTGGCTATTGGTGCTGGTATCCCCGTCTTGGAGATGATTCTGCGTACGTTCGTTTGTCGAATGGAGTCGTACTGCCATTGACAGAATACTCCAGAATATATCGTACAAGGCCATCGGTTCAATATTTTTGAGGAAATTGGCTGTTATCCTGCCACTTTTAACACCCCTCCTGCATTTGTATTGGTATTTACATGGCCCTTGATCCTTGGATGCATCTCCGCTTACTATTGCGGTACGTTTGTTCTGATATTTGCCTATTCCGACGCTGATCATTTTGTATTGCAGTCCGCACTATTGTCGAACTAGCCCAGCGAAGGGCTCAGTTCATGGAGTTCCTTTCTGTAAACAAGAACCTGAGTTCCAGTCGTTACTTCCGCCTCATGGGTCTCGCTGGTATTGAGATGTTATGCACGGTTCCTATGGGTGCCTATGTCGTCTACCTCAATGCTACTGCCCAACCAGTCTACCCCTGGATCAGTTGGGCCAACGCACATTACGACTTCTCTCGCGTCGAACAAATTGCATCAGAATTCTGGCGCCTGAACGATGATCTCGTGTTGTCGCTCGAGCTCAGCCGATGGCTCCTCATCGTCTGCGCATTCGTATTCTTTGGTTTCTTCGGGTTCGCCGATGAGGCCAGGAAGAACTACCGCCTCGCCTACGTTTCAGTTGCGAAGCGCGTGGGTCTTTCGACCGCTGGTACTGTGTCGCAAGGGTCTTGGACTGTTGGGTATGTTGTCACACTTTAATACTCAATGATGCGATCTGACGAGCAAATGTTTATTCCAGTGGAAAATCAGAGATGGCATACAACAGCCGCACTGGCACTTTGCCCGTGTTTGTCGTTCAACGTACCGAAAAGAAGCGCGATTCTGTTAATTCATTCTCCACCAGCATTTCCGTTGGCGAGTTTAACATGGCATTCGACGATGTCAAGGAGGCTTCGTACATACCAACACAAACCGCCGCGGGTTCGGTATCAAAGGAGTCGCTTCCGACCACACCTGTTGATGGTCAGACAGTCCCACTGCCAAACGCACCTGCGGTTGCAGGCCCCGCGCTTGACATCAACTCAGTTCCCCGGCTTGTCGCCGACTCACCTGAATCGGCGCGTAATTCAATAGATATCGTATGATCCATATTCACACCAGAGATCGGCTTTCTTACATTGTCCTATCATTCATTGTATCATCGTTTCATTGTATTGTTAGCTTTCCGGAGTCTGGACGTAACCACTCGGTTATTATCGGTTTGATACCCACGACCATCAAGTACCTTATGACTATTTGTATGAGTCGGGACATATTTAGACGATGTAGCATTCTTCGTAGGTCGAATCGAACATCTTCAAATGAAGTGAAGGATCCGTGAGTACGTACGCTGGGATTTCATACCCGACGGCGATCAAAACAGTCGCCCACAAAACAATCACCCAAACATCGTCAACACAGGATGGAGATATGGTTTGATTTGCAGGGTGCTTCCTAGGCCTGACTATGTACCAATGCACTTCATCAACGCTTCGTGCGCAGTCCTCTTGGCGTGATGATCGATAATTTAGTTCTCTTGAGATCTGTCGTGCCATCTAAGGGATCCAGAAGACTGCTTCGATCCGGTTCGTCTTAGTTCATCTGATGAATCCTTTGTTGTGCTGGTTTGGACGAGGCTTATGATTGGAAATGGTTTCTGGTGACAGCGTGAGTGTGGTGAACATGCGACCAGGCCCCAACTTGTGTGATTCCCGACTAGGGTCATGGATTCTGGTAGTATTAATGGCGTCGCAGTGATACGTGTGAAGGTACCAGAAAGTAGGCCGTCGTGCTCAGTTAGTGTTACGGGCACATGAGGTGTGGAATGGGAGTTGTACTTGCAGGTGAAGAACGAGTGTTTACCCTTGTTTTCAACATACATACAGCGGAGACATCGTGGAAAGACACGTGGAGACTTCACGATGTGCCCCAGGTGACAGTATCGAGGCTATGTAGCTTGTGTCTTTATCCTTGGTTCAGTGACGGTATGGTTGCGGCCAAGATCTGCCTGCTTCTCTGTGCCACAGGAGCGCAGTATTATGCCATAACACCCCCGACTCCCAGACCTTCTGCAAAGGAACGTTTGAATCCCACCGGTTTGGAAGTCGTCACCCCTTGGATACACACTTTGATGAAGGTACTTCCCTGCGCGAATTCCAGAATATCTTGCCAATGTTTAACTGAACGTTTGCCCTCCAAGAGCATCATCGGCGTTTGCGCTTTGTCAGACATCATCCTCGCATACACAACGGGCAAGGAATCGACCGCGATTCCGAAATCGCTCGTTGCCCTTCTAGTCCGCAGTGACTTGTGTCCGCTATCGAGCTCGGACCGTACAATGCCGTCGACCGCACTTGTAGCTGGGTGTTGTCTGAGCGTCATCGGCAGCGCCATTCGTTTTCAGTGCTATTCCACGCTAGGCAGGTTCTTCACCTTCGAACTCAGTATCCGCCAGGATCACAAGCTGGTCACGTCTGGCCCTTATTCCATCGTTCGACACCCCAGCTACACCGGTGGACTGTGTGTTTTTCTGGGCGTCTTGCTTTGCCATTTGCACACTCTGTCATGGATGGTTTCTTGTTCGGGCGTGTTTCCTTCGTCAGACCAGGGGGTCAGGTTGACTTTGGGATGCCTTTGGGCAGGTTTGCTTGGGTTGCTTTATTCCGGACTGCGCGGGCGAATCCAGAAGGAGGAGGCGATGTTGCAGGGAAAATTCGGAGACCAGTGGAAAAGTTATATGAACAGGGTACCTTATAGACTAGTTCCATGGTTGTTCTAATCACCGTCATCTATTCAAGACACCATCAAAGCATTAAAATACAACAAGAGCAACTTCTTTATCATTGGATTGTGAGGAGATTATGAAAGAAGAAAAGGAATCTTGACCAGACGCTCCGCGAGGCAAGAAATAATCATCAGGGGTACGGGATATGTAAATGCGTCAGTAATCGTGAATGGGAATGGAGAGAACAAGAGACTTTTGAGAAGCTAGTAAAAGGGTGTGGTACGCACAACTAATAACTGAGGGTCAACATCACATCAACCCGTCGGCTTTGCCTTCATTAGGTGGAGCTGCAATCCACCCTCCACATATTGATTCAGACGTTCCCTCAGCTCGATAATTGTTTTGTCTCGTGAATCCTGCCCATAGTCAAATGCTGCGATTTGCAAGCAAAATTCTTCCAACTTCGGACTAGCACTGCACCTCGACTCTACAAGCTCTGTCACCCTGTCCGTAGAAACACGCTTTGAGCATTTGAGACTCAATGATTCGAGTCTAGGACAGATGGAGGTGCCCTGAGGCGCTCCGGATAAAATGAGGCTGTCCACGAGGTTGTGATTGAGTTGAAGAGGGCCAGGCAGGAAACGTAGGTGTTTCAAGTGATGAAGCTGGGAGAGGCACGAGAGCATGTCGACATCTGGGATGTTGATTGTGTCAAAGGATAGGTTCTCGAGAGTCTCCGCACTTCGGGAGATCAAGGGAAGGGGTTCCGTCTGGCTAGCGAACGCACCCATAGAAAGACTGACGTTCTGAAATTCAAATGTGTGCAGTTTTGGTACGTGGAGCGCATCGAAGAACTGGCGAGTGTAGAGCGTTTGGCAGAAGAGGCGTACTCTCATTGATTCGAGGTTTGGAAGTGTAACAGGTACAACCGCATCTGTATCAGCATCGAGTATTGTCATTCCTATTCCGATAGAGCAGCATTTGAGATTAGGACATTCACGAAGCAGATTGAGGTAGTCGTTGTGGACGGGATTCCAGTAGGGGCTGGCGTCATACTGAAGAGACAACTGTGTCAGTTTGCTCCAAGGGACGCAGAACTGGGCGGTGTCGAGACTACCCCACGCAATGGAGAGGCTGCGGAGGTTGGGTGCATCATGAAGAAACAATAGAGGTGGGTTGTCGCTACTACTAGGAAGGGGATTGCTGTTATGAAGCTCAAGATGCCGTAGGTGCGGGAGTGAACTTTGGGTGAATGTCAACAAGGAGCTGAGTGCCAATGGTGAAAATCTGAGAGAAAGCTCTTCAATGCGGCATCCGAGAGTCAAAATCTCCTTGTCAAGCGACATAAGATCACCCGGTGTGATCGGAGAGCTGCTCGGATGCTGGAGGATTAAGGAAATCGGAAGGGCTTTCGCGCGCGAGATCCACACGTGCATGGACATAATTTTCGATTGCATGACGTTCTCCCAATTTGGCGTTAGGGATGGAAACCCAACCTTGAGTCTCCTCCACAAGCAAGGTAGGGAGAACATGAGGTCTCTCCAAGCGCCGCAAACTTGACACAATAACAAGGGAGCCCGAAGAGGATCAGGCTCCTGATTTTCTTCGTCCTGAACGCATTGTTCGAAGACTTTTGTCATGATCTCTATTGGCATGCGGCGGACGGGAGATCTAAGCGCTTCCAATTTTTGGACCACTTCCATAGTTCCAAAATGTTTAGCCTCGAGGCGCAAAACCTCTGCACGAGCGCGATCTAGTTCCTTCCTAATGAGCTCAAGCTCAAGTGTCTGTTCTGCGAGGAGGCAGCTAATACGCTGCGTATCCATTGGAGAGGGAACACAGTTCGTCTGGAAAAGTCGTACGATGGATGTCTGGAGGAAGTAGTTGAGTCAAGTTCATATATGTGCCATAGATCCGTGCCACATACCGGTATTTTTGGATCCATGGCAGCAGAGACAGAAACGCCTTGATGGTGTTTTTAGGCTGTTGGTTGAGACAGTTTTGCGCTATCGCAGTCCCGTTTTTTGAAGGAGTCGCTGTTTGAGGGGGAGAAGAAAAGAAATGCACGAGGCTCATGGGGCACTTTGCAATGCGGTTTCCATCTAGGTGTAATTCGCCTCCACCTTTACGTGTTTAACCCTTGCATGGGATAACTTCGAAGATCTCTTGTCATTGGCTCCTTGTTGTACCCACCACATGCCAAGAGGATTGGTTCTTGAGGAACAGCTCGCGCGCACGACCCAGGCTTGGATTTGACGCCGTTGACATATACATGGCGCACCCAGCCTGACACCTCCACCGGTCCCGGTCATCGGTCAATCTTGGCATAGGTGCCGTTGTGAAGTATTTGGTACTGTTATTTCTGAAGGCTCTTGCCAAACAAGATGAACCTTTCACATAACTTGGATAATTCTGCACTTGCTAGCAGGAAGTGATTTACAATGTGGATCACTCTGTGAGGCCCGAAGAATCGCTCCCTGATTTATGTGCATTATGTCGGAAGAAGGGAACAAGAAGGGCCATTGTAATGCTGCCGGATTACAAGTTTAGTTCTTCAAAGTGCCTTACAAGCGAGATATTTATATACCGCAAGTTTACAAAAACAAGGGAAGCTGTGCACAAAATGCGGCGCTGTATGAGCTGCCATGTGAGGTAGTGTGCGAGATAAGGGAAGCCGATAAAGTCTCCTTGCAAGAGTGTAGTACTACAAGCCATCGAAAGACTACAGATTTGATGCCGCGGCGGGCTGCGTTCAACGTAAGGCCATCAGAGATTAATTGTCGTGACCCTTACTTGGTATCGTAAGGCCAGAAGACATGTATTAGGTACTATAAATAGGTTCAGCACACAGCATTAATTCAATACATCCAACGCTGAAGCGCTGGAGGGCCATACCTGATTTCGCCAGTAAGCATATTTTTACCAGCCATTCTCATCTAGTGTCTACCAGGCACGATATTCCACTTTCGACGCTGTTCACTACGCAATGATGCTCTATAAGCATCGATCGACAGGATTCGGGACGCTTCATAATTGGGAAAAGTCTTGACTACATCTGCTCGTACCGTAGTGTGAATCCTTTGCAGCTTTATACAACTATCTTCACGATTACTACATCAAAACAACGTTTACAGTAATGTGCATCTTCTGCTGAGAGACATATTCATAAGACTGACAACGTGAGAACAGTTGAGAAGTACTCACAGCTAACATCACAGATCAAACTAGAGTGGTACAACTATCTATCGGCTGAAGCGCTTCACCCTGTCGAGGACTGTATGGTGTGATCAATAATCGCGACCTGGTAATTGACATAGGTAAGACGGACCGGTTTCATATGCAACCTCCGTTGGGTCCGTTCCCTGAATCTCCACACCAATCCCGTCTAGCGACCTCCGTAGTGCATCCTTTGAGGATGCGTGGACCATCTTTGCCCGAATGGGTGCATTGTCTGGTGACCTGTGGTTACGATTTAAGCATGCAAAGTAGTTAAACTGGTGCCTCAAAATAATGAATCATCGGCCAGATGAACTGTGGACCTACCAGGAGAAGAAGCAGAGCTTGTTCCTCTGCGACCCATCTTCCAACGTATAGTGGAAGTCGTAGACGGCCCATTTGCAACCATCGCCAGGCAAGTTGTCCAGAAATTCATCGTAGTCAGGATTTTCCGAAGTCTTATCAACGACGATCTGCGTTCGGGTATCGTTCAATTTGAACAAAATGTACTTCAGCGATTTGGACATCTTCAGTTGTGCAAATTTCTCGAGGCATTCGGGAGCTGATGTCACACCGGACGACTATCGAGAGCCTATCAGGATAAGCCCTGTTATTGCGTGTGTTGCTCACCATATCGAATAAGATAATGAAAGAGAGATGCAGTATGCTGGAAACAATCGCGATCAAGATAAATGCGGTATGGATACTGGAACGGCAGTTGCCAGCTCCGATCTAACAATCACATCACGTGATACTGCGCTCGCGGACCGCAGTCATGGCAAGTCAAGGTGTAGTGCAGGCTGCGCAGCCAAGTACTTCGAAAATTACGACGCCATGAGGGACATGTAAGTTGGAAGAGTGCTATCGGTGATTGATGGTGGCAAGTATATATTGACGGTCAAAGTTACCGCGTTTTGACACTGATTGATGTTCTACCATCACAGGTATTGGTACCAATTCACAAAATATAAGTTACTATGTATAGTCCATGCCACAGGAACCTGTCCTTCTTTCCAAAGGCCTGATGTACCGAAACCACGTGGGTCTGTTGACAGTGGGTACAATCTTATTATGGCTGGCACAGGCGATGTGCTGTAGATGCTTAGTCTATGAGAAGACTCTAAGTTTATGGAATTCCTCCCTGACCGTTAACTTTCTTTCCGTCTAGGCATACCTAGTCATCATGACTGACTCGCAATCACCATCATCTGGATCGCAGCAGTCCGTGACAAGGCGGCAAACACTGTACTATTTGACGGTGTTATTTTTGAAGGCTCTTGTCAAACATGGCCAAATTATCGCTACCACGCTTCTCCGCCTTGCGTGGCACAGAACGTACGCGTCACGCCTATTTCACCGCAACACTCAATTCTCATAAATTACAAGGACATTAACCACAGGCCACATTGCTTGTAGTGAGGAAACCATGCCGTCATCTACATCAGTACCAGTAGAGCTACCCAAACCTCCGAAACTGGATCTGGATAAGTTCGTTGCGACCGCCCTGTCAGCTACGCCAGCGGAACTCCATCCATTTTTTGAATCTTTCGGCAAACTCCACACGAGAAAGTAAGAGGGTGATTAATACAGTATATTCATTACTCATCGATCACACAGACTATGGCACCAACTGACGCTCAAGCTATATGAGTTTTTTGACCACCCGTTGTCACGACCCTTCCGTGTGAACGTGTTTGAGCAATTCGTGCGCGACTTTGAGTCCAAACTGAACCAACTCAAACTCGTGGAGATGGGAACTAAAGTATCGAAGGAGATCGACAGTAGGTTTGACCCCCAATTCCTAGATGATCCAACCTGACGTTCCGTTAAGACCCGCAAAGCCAGCTTCTGTTCCTCAACTCCTTACTTTCACGGATTGATGCCGAAACATCACAGGAGGCATACGTGCTGCTGCTTGCGAATATTGCATATGCAAAGCTGGTGTACGGTGATTTAGAGGGTACCAAGACGGATATGGATACTGCCTGGAAAACACTCGATCGACTGGAAGGGGTCGACACTGCCGTCAATGCTTCGTATTACAAAGTTGCCGCTGACTATTATAAGGCAAGAATTTTCGAGAACGTTGTAATTCGCCCCGTTAACTTGCCCGAAACAGGCCAAAGCAGAATATGCGCCGTATTATAAACATTCGCTGCTGTATCTGGCATGTGTCGATGTAGCAACAGATCTTACTTCAGAAGAACGTTTGCTGCGCGCGCACGACCTTGGCATTTCGGCATTCCTCGGCGACACTATCTATAATTTTGGGGAGCTGGTAAGCAGATACGTGAATTTGAAACACCCACTTTCATCGGTCACAGCCTGAGGATGATCGTTGACTGACTTCATCGGTGTTAGTTGATGCACCCAATACTCGACGCGCTGGACAACACGCAGTATGATTGGATCAAGAAGCTGTTGTTCACATTCAACGAAGGCAACATTGGCAAATTCGAAGCATTGGCACCACTATTCCCGCAGGAGGTACGTGCATGTTGTTGCGGAGACTCGTACCGAGTCGAGCCGACAATCTGACAAATGAGCTCTGCCACAGCCGATTCTGGAAGAGAACTACCCCTTCCTTCGACAGAAGATATGTTTGATGGCGCTGATCGAATCAGTGTTCAAACGGAACGCGAATGACCGAACGATGTCTTTCCAGACTATCGCCGAGGAGACGCGACTTCCAGTAGACGAAGTGGAACACCTCATCATGAAAGCACTGAGGTCAGTGCATTCTTCGTTGAATTGAAATATGGGCGTTACATGTGCTGATAATCTAATTGACATCGGTACTTGCCTGCTAGCCTCAAGTTGATTCGAGGTTCCTTGGACCAGGTGGATCAAAAAGCGCGTATCACGTGGGTCCAGCCTCGTGTTCTGTCGCGCGCACAAATAGGCGAGCTCACGACACGGCTTGGAGCGTGGATAGATAAGTTGGGGAGTGTGGAGCAGAGGATGGCACCACATGTGTCTGCGGCGGCATGAGTATATTCACCATGCCTGTAAGGTAGAAATGAGTGCCAAGGAGATTATCCCGGAGCAAGAATGATCGATGTGACATGCTGCATGCATTCATTCATTGTATGAATTTTTAGAAGGAACACGTTTACGGTTCCGGATCAGATACGAAGGTTATAACGGTGGTTTGCGAGCACGTTGAGGCACGATGCAGATTGTTCATGACATAGAGGGAACTGATGAGTGGGATATGGAATTGATATGAGTATGTTTGAACCGTAGGGAAGGAGGGTTTAAGCCGTAGTAGGGGAAGAGGCACTGCTATCGAATGCAGGCTTCCTCATTTAGGGTGTGAAGTACTAACAGCATGCTCATTGCTGTCCAGCAACAACCTAAACTAGTTTCAAAGAATCTGTTAGTCAAATCTGGTACTTCGTCCTCTCCGAATTTCTTCTGTCCTCATTGCAATCCACGACTCAACCGTTTCGAACTATCTGAGCAGGCTGTACGGTACAGTGACAACGCCCGTCCATCAACGTGTCCGGTGATACCCTCACGCGAGGTCTGCCTCCTGCAATTCATATCCGATTCTACTTCTTCCGGTTTTCATTATAACTCTTCAAAAGATTATCATTTTCATCCAGGACTTGTCTTTGTCGAACATCTGCAATGTCAGAATCAGCAGACCTGACTTGTAAACCTCCAACTGCTGTCACTTTCTCTTTCACAGCCCCCTTTCCTGCAGTATCTTCTTCCATTTCCTCGGCGTCATCAACCTCTTCCGCGCTAAAGCAGAGACGCGTGTCGCTTGCGCTTCCGTCCTCCCCCAGGCTTGTACCAGCGTGGAATTTCCGTGACGACACCGGCCTCACTTCGCATGTTGCTGAAACCTCTGCACCAATGCCAGAACGTAAGGGAAAGATGCGCAAGATCGCTGGTGATGGCGACTACCGTGAATCAGTCGGCTCTTTCATAATCCAGCAGAAGAAACCACGCAAGAAATGGTCCGAAGAAGAGACCCAAATGCTCGTCGAGGGATGCAACACGGTACATACGGCTTTCAAATAGTCTCACACAATATTAATCCTGTTCCCTCAGTGGGGCGTCGGCAATTGGAAGGCCATATTGAAAGATCCGAAACTGACTTTTGACAACCGCTCGCCTGTTGACCTCAAGGACCGGTTAGTACTCCTTAATCTCCGCTTGTTCATATTTATACCTGACCTCTGTCAGGTTTCGTACCTACTTTCCTGACGCGTACAAGGAACACTACCCCAATGCGAAGACGCATCTCTCCAGTAAGATTCGGTCAACTCTCCCAGATGGACGCTCCATCTTTGAGAAAACGCGTAGTAAGAAGCGTCGTCCATTTACTGAAGAAGAGGACCGCGCTCTCAAGGCTGGCTATGAGAAACACGGCACTGTATGGGCAACGATAGTCAAAGACCCTGTCTTCCAGGAGCAGAATCGACGCTCGACTGACCTCCGTGACCGTTTCCGCAACGCGTTTCCTGAGCTGTATCAAGCAGCGGGCTATAAGCCACGGAATGCGCCTAAAAAGCGGAGAGAGTGTGTCCAGCCACTTCCCATTCGCTCAGCAACTGATGATCAGTTGACTGCGCACAGCAGCCACATAGGTCCTGCCCGCAGGAAGCGCGTGCAGTCGAGGCAGGGTATGTTCAGAGGTGGGACGAAGAGCGTCCCCGAGAGCGCAACATGCTCTGAAGACGACGATAGCTCAGGTGGTGAGGAGGAGGGCGTCACCAGGCTGTTCAGATGCCCACCAATTATGCACGACACCTCTCAGCCTGATGATATGTCTTCGCCAGACGGACTTGCGGAGATGGACATGGAGACGATAGACCCCTTGTCCGAGCCATTATCTATTCCTGATTTTATGCCCAGTGCATCGCACTCTCTCTCAGAGCTCACGGACTCCTCTCAGTCACAGACTTGGTCCAGCATAGATACACCTCTCAACTCCGCGACATGGTCCGCGACCACCGCTTCTCCGACATCATCACATATTTCTTCTGATTATCTGCTTGGTCACTCTCTGTTTGACCGTCGCTTGAACACTATTGGCAAGTCGGCTTGGGGTCCGCAGGACTGGTTTTCTGCCAACCCCCGACTCGACACGTCTGCTTTCTCCAGTAGCGGATCATCATTTGCCGATGGGTTGTCTCCTGCACCATCATCTCCATTTTCCTTTCATAACCTTAACCACGGCGTCGTCGATCGTTACGACCTCTTTCCGAGCTCCTTTCCAAATGACTTCACCTCTGATGTCGGCGTTGGGGACTCACATTCTACATTTTCGGACCATGAGATGTTTGCGTCGAGCAGTTTCAGGGGGTTCACACATCATTCCAACTATGCCGGTGACCTCATCTTCGGTGCACGGACACATCAACCCCAGCAGCCATACTACAGTCCCGGATTCGGGTTTGGTACATCTGGCCTTGGACTCTCAGGGATGCAGCAAGCCACCGGTCTACATCCTCTCCAGATCCACACACCTGCACTGCCAGGTATTGATGAGATCGAACTGGCGTCGATCACACTCAATGACCAAGCGGAGATTTCGGGTGATGCCCCTCAGACCACTGGTGAGATTGGAGTGCAGAAAGACGATTCAGCGGCGTCTTTGAGCCTCTCTGCCCTGGAAATATACACTATGTCGCAGCAGAACATGGATGATATCGTCGACTTGACGCATTCCACTCCCCCTGCAACACCCATCACCTCGACTCGTCCTCTACGGGGTCATGCCCACATGCACGCATCGTCTCATCATGGTCGATCTATCTCAGTTCCCCCATCTGAACACCGGTATATGTCTACCCACCTGTCGCAGAGTCATGGTGCATCACAACCACAGATCACGAGCACTCGCTCACTTCCTTTCTTCGACACCGTCCCGCTCACCCATGCTTCTGATCCGACATCTATGCATGCACCGTCTTCGTCACCACCAGGGCCAGACTTGTGGCGACCCTCAAACCCTACTGATTTCCACGGCGTTCCCTACCTTGATTTGCACTACTTCAGCAGCCATGCTACTGACGGACATGATGTCAACCCCATGACCATTGATACTTCACGTCAGGGGCAAGCGTTGGACCTCGCTCGTTCACATCCTTCTCAGAAGTCGGCTCCTCCGGTACCGTACTCCACAGTCTCCCAGGAACTTCAGCAGGCGCAGGCGCTTCTGACAGGCACCACCGTACGTCAGTCGCACACGATGCACCATCGCGGGACGAGCTTTGTCTCCCCACAGGATCTACATTTCCGCAAAGCGAGCGATAATAAGCGGAAGAGAGCGAGCTGGGATGGCGGAGTCTTCTAGTCCATTGATTATTTTACTCTGATTCGTGAACTCGGGAATTCTTCGTCGAGAGACATATCTGTCTCTCTCTAGCTTCTTATCTCATCGTTCCATGATTCCTCATCATAGCATTGCATGTCTCGGTCGCATCGCATCCCATAATCTATGTTTAGCTCCAGTAGCAAGCATCATGTTTCAATACTATTGTGAATTTTATGAATTTATGTAATTATACCATTACATGTGCAAGCTGGGAGGCTCAAAATGGGAGTCTCGAAGGTCCGGCTTCTGCATTTAGTTGTTCGCGCCGCCCGGTTGGTTCTACTTCCATGGCGATCTCATCACTGGGTTCTTCTGGGGGAAGAAGGTACTGGATCTCCTCGAACATATGAGGAAACAAGATGGCCAGCATGTCGTTGACTCTGGCGCCCGCACGTGGTAAGCATGTGAAAATAGCACATTGGGGTGAATCTTACTTGAAGATAAAGTCGCCTTTTTGTGCCTGGTTCTTCTTCCCCGAAGATTCGACGGTCTTCTTTCCGGCATCCATGGCGAAGGGTGTTAAGTTGAGTGTTCCGGCGGAATTGTCCTTGGTGTAGAGTGAAAGGCCTTGCCGAGCCGCTAAGTCGAGAATATTCTTCTCCACGGTGTCTATCGGAAAGAAATTAGGAATGAAAGGTGAAATGACATCTTGCACTAGAAGGCAATACCCTCGGCGTAATAGCAGAAGACTAGAAGGTAAGAAATTGAGAAGCAAGTAAACAAAACAGGTTGTTTGACGCATACCTTCCGTCGGCTGAGTTTGTCCCATACGATCGATTCGTGCAATAGCTAATGTGGATCGGTGAGGTGGTTGTAGAATTCAAAACCGAAAGCGAGCCAACCTTGAATTTCGAAACCGTGGTTGACTACGCTTTCGACGAGGAACACACGGGAGGCACAAGTCACATTCAAGCCAGCATTGTCTCTCTCCCTGAAAAAAATGTGAAGATACAGGATGAACAAATATGCGCTGAGGGCGTACCCGTGTAGTAACAATACTTGTAGGGCAGGATCTGTGCGGAATTTTTTAGCACCGCTGTCTTTGCCTCTGCCCTTTGCGTGGTCGAGTCTTAAGTATGGGATACCTGCGAGTCCGTCAGAACGCTAGCCAAGGCAGCTGAGAAAAACTCTGGCCATTGCAATTAAGGGCATGTTCTATGACTGCGAAAAAAGTTAGATCATCACAGAAGAGTAAAGCTTCGGAAAACTGACTCTGTAATGAATCGGCCCACGCCGAGAATACAATGCTCTTTGCACCCGGGTCGGTGAACTGGATATACAACAGATGCCTGACCAGCGCCTGTATTTTGCTGCCGTAACTTCCATTTGATTCCATAGTCTGTATCTCCTGAAAGATTGTATGGTCTAGTGGGGTATATCAGATAAGCTACAAACCGAGTGACTAGACGTGTCCTCACTTATCATGTTGTATTGGATTTCTCTTCGAGACACCGGAGCGGGCTCTTTGTTCGCCATGACAAGTTTAGCAGGGGCAGGCTTGTCTACTTTGACTGTGAAGCGTTGCAATTGATCGACATTGATAATGACGCTAGAAACACAGTTTGTTGTGGTGTTTTGTTAGCAGACAAGGGACGCACCGGCAAACCGGGCAAGCTCTTCCGTTTTTGCGATTGACCCAGGCTTTTATACATCCCTAAATGTGCGTCAGGAATGTTCATGACGAGAAAAATGTTGAACTGACTTCACAGAAAACATGCGCGCTGTATAAGTAGTACATGGGTCTGCATTCCTGAAACTCCAAGAAACAGTCGACTTACCATTGAGTAATAAATCCTCGCTTAAAGTCGCATCTACAAAGAATGCAAGCCTCGTCATCATCATCAGTGATGCCCTCTTCTTTGTTTTTTGCTAGATGGTTCAGGTACCGCTGACGCGCGCGGGATGTG